GTCTAATCTGACTGGAGGGCAGATGTGCTGCTGGAACACAAAAAATAAGAAAAGGAGATGACATCTTGAGTCTCTCCAGTGCTGTGGGTTTTTCCTGCCCTGAACGCCAGATACTGTTTTAGTTACTCAGGTTTTTGCTTCCATTCACTCTTTTCTCTCCTGTGCCAGTCAGTCAGTTCTCTCTGAGATATCCTTTGGCATGTCCTCTTCAAAAGCACTGCTACTGTCAGTGACATAATCCTGCTATTCTCTGTTTAACTGTCTAAAACTCAGAGGGGAAAGATTACTTCTTCCTTTTGTTCTTTCTTGAAGGGAAAATTTGAGCCAAGACCAAACCTTGGCCATCAGGTGATGTTTTCCCCTCAGTCTTGGCTGAGCATCCATTGTCATCTCGGGTCAATGGAGATGTATTTACCCAGTTGTATGAAAGAAACAACTAAAAATGAAAATGCACCTGAAGTCTCTTCTAGGTTGAGCAAGAGGAGGTATCATTTGGGACCTGCATCTGCTGCTGTGAAGCACTGCTCTTGTGCTGTTAGCAGGACAATAGGCAGGCCTGGGGTATCTCTGTTACTCTAATCTTTCTTCTGTCAAATGCAGTGGCCAGGTAGTTTTAGCATAGCTTGAAACATGAATGAGCATTTTTCTGTAACGTGGTGGTGGTTGTGTCCTCTTGTATTGAAGTTCGTGCAGCAAGGCCCAGCCTATTGCTGCCTAGAGCCCTGCTTGCTGCTCACCAGCAAGGCACCTTCCTTCTCCTCTGTATAAAATGGCTGCAGAACTCAGCAGATGGGAGCAATGGCTTGCTATGTGTGGGTCTGATTTCTCTGCCAGAGAGAAAGTTGTATATTACTACTTAGCAGAGTCGGGATGCTAGAAAGGGGTTGTCAGCACCTTATAGCCCACTTCCATTTAATTCATGTAAAACTATAGGCCGCATCAACAAAACTAAGGGAAAGGATTAGTTTCTGCTCTCAGGTGCCTATTTCTGAGATGAGGAACAACTGGATGATGCAGGGGCTTAGAGGTAGGTATTGTCTTACACCATCAAGCAGCTAGGCAGCATCTAGTTTCTCAAAGATGCAGAGCTTGAAGGAGTTTCTGATAAAATTATCTTTATTTATTGATACTTTTTGATAACTCCAGACATCCTTATTGGCTCTTTATCTCTTAGGCAGACAGAATGTGATACATTCTCAGAGAAGTCTGTATTTAATACCACAAGCATATTAGATTAGTAGAAGCTATTGTGGGGCAATGCAGTTGAGCTGCTTTTAAGCCCATCTTATGTTTTGACATACTGCAGTTGGTAGTAAATGCTGGTGTTTCAACCATTTCAATTAAGTTTATTTGAATAGTATGCCATTTTTAGATTTCATACACAGTAATTACATGGAGTGTGGCAACAGCTCTGTTTGGGTTCACGTAATGATAACTGAGGTATGCTGATTTCTCTACTGACAGAATCAATACGATTCCTCACTAAGAGTGTAAGACTGACCAAGAGAACAATTGATTTCATTGTGTGAAACTGAAAAGCATTTAGATGGACAGGGGTGTCAGTCATGGAACTCAAAAAGCTCATGGCTTCATTAGACATTCAGTGACTTGGAAATGTGTTAATTCTAATGGAATAAATGACGTCAGGTTGGTGGCTGTTGTGTAGGTGTCTGTGTGTGGTGGTTGTTTTATTCTATCTGGTTGTTGCTGTGCAGGTGTGTTTTTAGTGCAGTTCTAGGTACAGCTCTGGTCTTCCTAGCCCTGAAGCGTGTATGCAGAGTGAATGATATTCTTAGTATCCTTGCAAAGGTTCAGGAATATATTCCAGAATAGGTCGTTTTACTCCCTATTTCTGTTGGGGATGTCATTAAAACAAACAGTATTTGACAGTCTCTTTGGTATTAATTCCTCTTCCACTCATAGGAGGGGGAGGCAGAAGTGATGAGAAAAGCTGGTGTAGGTTGTACCTGTTGCTCCCTTCACTGCCAAAAAGAAGGCGGCTTAGACCTCTGGAGACAAAACCAATCTGTGCAAGGGAGTGAAAAATGTGTGGATGTTTCTTTGGCCAAAAGTGAAACAAAGCAAACAAAAAAGCCCAACCACCTCACAACAGCTTATTTGCTCTTCATTAGCTATTTTGAGACCTGTCAAAATGTTCTGGCTTAGGTTTCTTCACAAATGCTATTGTATATGTTCTGTGTTAACGTGTTTACAGCAATAGCAAAAACTGCTAGCTGGAAGGTAGGGTGATTACTTTGGAAAAGGCTGTCAGGTGGTGATACAGTTGAAGATGGTATTTGTATTGATTCCCTGAGGGGAATAAGTTGTTCATTTAAGTTGCTCATTGTTGAAGGCCTGAAATTATATACTATGGGGCGTCGAGTCTGCATTTTGTACTTGAAAGAGCTCACTATTTATGCTGTATGCAATGAGTTGTTAGCTGTATGTGTGTTCAGTTTTGCATGGCTCTTCTGGCTGATAGTAAAGGTGTGGGTTGTAGCTAACATAACTTCAAAAACACCCCAAAATCCTCTCTGTGAGCTCTACTTTCTTGTATGGGTGGCCAAGAAAGCCAATGGCATCTTGGCTTGTATCAGGAATGGTGTGGTGAGCAGGACTAAGGAAGTAATTCTGTCCCTGTACTTAGCATTGGCAAAGCTTCACCTCAAGAACTGTGTTCAGTTCTGGGCTTCTGGGCATCTCAGTACAGAAAAGGACACTGAGGTGCTGGAGCAGGTCCAAAGAAGGGCTTGGAGAACAAGGCTTGCGAAGGGCTTGGATCTCATGCCCTACGAGGAGAGACTGAAGGAACTGGGGCTGCTTAGTGTGGGGGAAAAGGAGGCTGAGGGGAAACCTTATTGCTCTCTTCCATTATCTGAAAGGTGCTTACAGTGAGAGCAGGGTTGGTCTCTTCTCACTGGTGACAGGATGAGTGGAAATGCCTCAAGTTGCATTGGGGTAAGTTTAGGTTGGATATCAGGAAACTCTTTTTACAGAAGAGGTTGTTTAGCACTGGAATAGGCTCCTCTGGGAGGTGGTTGATTCACCATCCCTGGATGTGTTTAAAAGCCACTTGGATGTGGTGCTCAGGGACGTGATTTAGCAGAGGGTTGTTAGAATTAGGGTAGTATGGTTACATTGTGGTTGGACTCGATGATCTTTAAGGTCTTTTCTAACCTGAGTGATTCTATGATTCCACGTCAACTAAATATCACTGGGCAGATGCAGGGCATGCTATGTGAATATGAGTTTATCCTCATTTTGTTGATATGGTATACAACTTAATCGGTATAAGGCAGCCATCATAGTTGGCACATTGCTCTGTGTTCTGTATGTTGTTACAACCAGCGTCAGCTTGCTCCAGGTTGATCAGAGGTGTTAAAATGTTCTACTTATGTATTTTAGAGTCTTAGATACAGTCCACTTTCAGGGCTTGATGGGGAGTAGGAAATAACACAGGGGCTGTGCTAGTAGAGTTGATATTTTAAAGCTGGTTTGCAGAGATTTACAATCTGACTAAAAAACTTGTTCTTTACAAAAATACTCCATTTTAAGGTAAATGGTAGATGCTGTATTTTTCATTTACAGAAATGAAGTCTGCCCTATCTCTTAAAGAGAAGAGAGGGGAAATAAGTTATCCACGTTGTTGATGCCACTCACCGGTTCATACAGGCACAAAGCTAGTCATTGGATTTGGTGACTTCTTGTTTTCTTCTTTTTTTTTTTTTTTTTTTTTTTAAACAAACGTGAACAGGTGTTTGCTTTCAGATATTATTTACCAGAAGTGGCCAGAATCAAAGTGGTTTCTACTTAAAAAGTGCTGATAAAGTGAAACTAGAGCTGCTTGGGTATAATTTTAAAAATATTTTAACAATACTGGCCTACCCCTGTTCCATGTCCCCACCACCACCTGTGCAGCCCCATGGTAACAAAATGATGCAGGACAGGACACAGAGCAGGGACCATTTGTGTTCACATGGACGTGGAGTGGTGCACAGCTGTGGTCTGTGCTGAAGCCCACCTGTGTTCATGTGTAATGTCCCCACTGCCTTTACACTGCTTGTGCAACTGATACGTGGTCTAATAGGCAGACGTGGAAGAAATAAAGCTTTTTTTATCTGTTCCAGTTAGTGTATTTAATAGCCTGCATGGAAAAATTCATTTTTACCTCTTGAAATAATGGTGTAACTCTAGTGCTTGTCTTTTTGATCTCAAGCTAATGTCCTGCTGCTGCAATGGAGTAAGTGTTGTGGTGGGTTTGGTTTGGTTTTTTTGGCAGGAGGGGGTGGGAGCAGTACTGTGTTTTTGTAGATTCTCTTGGTTGTTTGCTTTTTTTTTTTTTAACTGTTTCACAGGGGAAAGAAAGGGGGGAAAAAAAAGTGGGGAAAAAAATCAAGACAAAAGCCTGTGGATTAGGCATGTAACTAGAATTGTGAGCCTTTAAGGGCATGTACGGAAACTGCTTACATAGATGATGTTTCTAGTGTGAGAGACTGTCAGTGGGAGAACTGAGCTTAGCTGGTTCTTGGGGAACCATGCAGGCAGAGCGTAAGTAAATGAATAGCAGGCACAGTGCTGCCCTAGAGGGGGCTCCTGTGCTGCAGGGATCAGCTGCAAGCATGGAGATTAGTACAGATTTATAATGCTGTCTACCTTTCCTTTGCTTGAGAGAGACTCTCGTGAGTAGTATAGAATACTTGTGGCTATTGAAAAAGTAACCGGCTGTAATATAGCTTGCATTTGAAGGAAAATCTTGCATAGCTCTTGGAAAAGAGTTAATGATTTAAAAAATAAATAAATAAATGAAAAACAGCACAACATGTGTCTGACTGTTAATAGGGACTTTTACTTACTCATTGCTGAAGAGCATAATTTAAAAGATCATAAAGATCTGGGTACAGAGGAATTATAATCATGATAGTTCATTTAAGGTACCTAAATATGTATATGCTGGTCCTTTTGTGGTGTGTTGGCAGTAAAAGAGAATGAGCCATTGTTGCTACATTTAACACTTGTACATTTTTATTTAGTTAAATCAGCCATTGTACACATTGCAGCTATGTATTGTTAGTGTTGTATTTTTTTTTTTAATTTTTAACTAATACATGCCCTCATAGATATATTCAATTAGTGTTATCACCATGGGAACAAGATGCTGATTCATCAACTTAAAATTCACTTCTTCTCACAGTATTCAAGTTCTTTGATAACACAGCAAAAAAATCAAAATAAGAGGTGAATAACCATTATGTTGTTACACAGAACATCATCTGCACCGCAAATAACACAACAGAAATGCATTTCTTTAGAGCCCCATTCTTGAAGATCATCCTGTGCTTTGACAATAAGAAAGCCATCGATGTATCATGAAATGTTTCATCAAGGGTCTCATTCATTTTGGCTGCCAAAACACTTTTTTTTTTTTTTTTTTCTGCCTGCCTGCCAAAAAAAGTGTTAGCATGGCACCTCAGGTTGCTTTGTCTGCAGGAAGCCTCAGCTCCCAAGATGTGCTCATGCTTTTGGCATCAGTACTTTAATGAGAAGTGCCCTTCCTTATTCTGAGCACTGAGTGAGTCACAAACCCAAACCATAATCATAGAAGGCCAGGTAAGCTTGGAAAAAGCATTAATCTTAAAGGAGAGTATTTGTTTTTAATCTGTTCTTGAGTATGCTATTAAAAAAAAATCAAACAGCTGTTCAAAAACCTTTAGTGTGTTTGCAGGTGTAATATATTCTAAAATGCTGCAGAGTGCTCACCTTTAAATGTTAAGGTATAGAATACCAAATATGGCAGGTCTTTGTTCCCTTTTTTAAAGTAAAAGTGCATACATGCTATCGTGATTTTTTCAGAGGGTAGATTTAGAAATATATATTATATATAGATAGGTAACAAAATATGAACAGAAACTGGCTTTCGAGGATAGTGAGCACTTTCTCTTTAAAAAAACATTTGAAAGATAAAAACTGCTCGCTCAGTGCTTGGAGGGCTAGAGTAGGTTGACACAATTACAGGAGGTTTGGTTTTGACCTTCAAATGCCACATGCATGTATCTGATAAGAGGCAGTCTTGATTAAAACACGGTGAATTAATTATTCTTTTCATATAGTGTAAGTCTTTCTCCCATAGTTATCTACAGTGCAGTGGCCAGTAGGACAATGTGGTTTGCTAAAGCAGTGATGAAAACAGGAAACTACTGTAGTTATAATTGTTTAATACACCCTGCCACATGTCCAGATCTAAAAGATTTTAATACCGTATGCAAATGTGCCATAGATATAGCTGCTAGCAAGTTGGTTACCTAATTGGATATTTTTAATTATTTTTTTTCTTTTCTGGAAATCTTGAAGTGGCTGTCCAAAGGTCTTAAAAGTATCGATGGCCACCATCAGCTCTTACTTCATGAGAACAGCTGAATTTCCAGGTTTTTAGCCTGACTCTTAGAGCCTTTAACTATAATAATAGATCCCTAAACTGGAAGTCTTATGGATGCAGTAGATCTGCAGTGCTTCCTCCTCAGTCAGTGTTCGCAGTTGATCATGTTAATGTTACTTTTTCCATTGTTCACCAGTGTCAACAAACCTTGTAATCCACGACACTAATAGTATTCGTAGGCAGTGTGTTTTCTGCAGTCTCATAAGTAAGTCCAAATACTCTTGCTATATACAGTTTACATATTAACTCCCTTTTTTCATGGTGCCTGTACATAGTCACTTGAAGAGGCCTGTAGATGAAGTTGGCTTGACAAATGCAGTTTTGTGAAGCTAGTGCAGAAGCAAAGGACCGGCAACAAGTGGCGATGCTGACAAGGTCCCAGTACAGCACAAAGACGACAATTCGGTGGATAAATCATCCCAAATGAAGGATGCTATCTTTGGTCACAAATTAGCTTACAGGGTAAAAAATAACAAAAACCCAAAATCAAATACAGGGGAGAAAATGAATTCACTGCATCTGCACAAGTAGAAATGGCAGTGTCTTCCAGTGATTACGTAGGTCATAATGTGTACACCTAGAAAAGATGAATGCTGTGTACTGGATGGACATGTTGTTGTTGAGGGGTGACAGCTTCTTATTTTGCATCTTGTTTCCAATCCTCTTTGCAGAAGTGTCTAAGAAGCTGCTGAAGGTCATGCTGGAGGTCATCCTGTGGTAGTGCTTCTGGTGTGTCATCCAGCTCTTCTATGTGAACATGTTTTCCATACCGATCCTTCATCACAGTCCTCTTCTGTGTGCTGGCTTTACTTAGTGTTGTCCTGAAGAGAGAGAACGAGAAAGCATTCATAGCCCGTAGTTTCTGAAGGCTTTAAAACATGCTCCTCTACAGCTAGAGGCTTAGGGTTTTTTTGCTGTTGTTTAAAAGTGAAATCAGAGTAATTGTAGCTGGCAATTTAAACTAAGGTCAGGTGTTCTTTATTCATTCTGAGTAGAACACACACCACAGCTTTAACTGGCTTTCATAATGTAAGCAGCTCATTTCTTCATGCTTATTAAGCATACAGTTGTAGATGCTCAGCAAAAATGTTCTGTAGTACAGGGATATGCAACACAAGACATTCGCACAGGACATCCCTCCTTGCCGTATTTAACGTCAACTTAGAAAGTTGTCCTATACTTAAAGCTCCTTCATGGTATTTTCAGCTTCTTAAGCTAACAATTTCTTGAATGCATGCAAGTCTTCCTTAAGTCAATAAAACTGTATTTGTGGCAATCTAGTGACTTACACTCTTTTCACTGTTTATTCTCTTACCCCATTGGAAATAGCTTTGCTCTGCTAGCCAGAACCATAAATGTCACTGAGCCTCTTCCAGATCTAGGCAAATGCATGTCTCTGTTAGCCTTTACCAAAAGCCTGCTTTCTGATCAGAGTCCTTGAGAGAGGACCATGGGAAGCCAAATACTCTTGCCAAGCCACCACATCCTTTCTTTTACTGAGCACTTTCAACTATTTGCAAGGCCTTCCTAGTGCACACTTCCCTTCCTGTAACACAGTGTTAGTAGTAACGTTTAGTAGCTTCGCAAATAAATAGTCATGTGCTGTCAGTGGCTTCACTTCAGGCACGCTTAAATTCGCTTACGTTCAGAGTGAGTTTGTTAATTTTTTTCTGGTAGCAGTTCACTGCCATGCCAAGCCAAACCTTTTAATAATTGATCCATCCTCTTTCATGATCTCCTTTTCTACTAACGCAGGGAGTTGGATTTTAATTTGGTTGCCTGTATAGCTCAAAGCCTCGAATTAAAACATAAACTTCCAATTAAAACATAGAAAGCTAGGACAGAAAGTAACTGTTCTTCATGCTTGAGTACCTCATACAATCAAAGCTGAATGGTGAACTCCTTACAACTTTTCCTCTGTACAGATTGGTAACAATTTCTTCTGTAGGATAGTTTCACACTTTTGAGAGTTTTACTGAAGTATGTCTTACAACTTTTTTTTTTTTCCAAGTTTGAGAATGTTCAAATCAGGGCCTTGGAGCACTACATCATCTGCTTACAACAACTGATACAGCAACCCTTTCCTGTTGCAGGAAATATTCATGCTTTTATACGCTTTCTACCTGTCAGTCTGAGCTGCCTGCTCTGAGAGCTAGCAATAAATAGACAGGCATGCACAGAAATCGATGGGGGATACTTCTGAAATGGATGAAACAGGGAATTGAGTTTGGCAAGGTGTTTCAGCAAGTATCTTGTTACTAATACTTCACAGAAAATAAAATAAAAAAATTAGAAAGGCAGCATTTTTATTTCCTTTTGGCTGGATGTGGGTTTTTCTTTGTTCTGGGCATAACAGCTTTTGGCTCTTGCCATCTTCCTGCACTTTTCTATTACTGAAATGTTTAACCTGATCAGAAGTACAAAAAAAAGGTGCTAATTAGCTTGGTAGCAATTTCTTCATGGACAAAAGAAGTAGTAGTTGTGATACAGCAGTTTATCTGGAGAGTAGAATTAACAGTGTTGATTACCAAAATCAGCAACATAAGGGGTAATGTGTGAATGAACTTAAAGCTTGAAGAGTAACCACACAAAACATTTCCATCAACTTAAATCCTCCATGGATTGCTTTCACTTTTTATTTTTCCAGGAATCTTAATGTTTCACAGTTAATTCTGTAATTGTAGACTCTACCCGTAAATATATAATCTTTTAAATAAAAGCTTTTCATAACATGGTCAGGTGTAACAACCGAGGTTTGTACTTAGTGGTTGAGTTTGATACTACACCACCAAAACTTTCAGTGAAATAATCTGGCCTGGTTTAATAGTTACATGAGAAAGGTATTCTTACCTCTTCAAAGTCCTCTTTGGCTGACGGAAGATCAGTAGCTAAGCTCGCATCCCCCAGGTGTTTCTCCATTCTCTCTCCTTGCACTACAGTAGTCTTTATGACTTTGCTGACCTTGCGGCCTTCCACTGGCTCAGACTGGAAATTGGAGGCACTGGGCAAAACACCAGGTTCAGACAAAGTCACCTGGAAGGTTAGAAAATTGATCAGGTTGGATATGATTTACATAACAGATACTAGCTAGCTAAGCTTTTAGTACTTCTACCATTGTTTCTTAATCATTGCATAGAGAACAAGAAATGTTTTACTTTCTATATTACCAGTGTACATTTTTATTACCTTTTTGATAACTCTGGAAAAGATGTTATAAATATGTACCTGTTCAGACAGCAGGAATAGCCCTGAATAATTTGTTCTATTGGGAAATTTTATGCTAACAGGGTAAAAAACTACTGCTGGAACCTGTACTAGGTTAAGGGTGCCTTCTGCCACACCACAGGCTGCCATACTGGCTTGTTTGTTCCAAGGTGAGTGGAATAACACCAATTAACAAGTGGGCCTCCTGCTGCAAATCCTTGCTGTATTCACTCAGGTAGTATTGGTATTAGTCTGTATCATAAAGTTACCATAATCTTCTGAGAGATGACCAACACTTATATAAACCAAGGAACTCACAGGAGCATAGACTGGAATTTCAGAATACCAGATGGAAGTGAAAAATATGATTGTTTGGCAAAATATAAATTTAGTTTATATCCACAGGAGAAGGAGTAGTTCTATAGTATGCTAAGCTAACTAAAATAAATTACTTTTTCTGTTACCTTAGTCCTAAGGAATTACTAATTCCTAGGGAATTAATTACGATGATTAATTCTGGTGAAAGAGAACACTGATCACATTCTTAGCTTTTCTAATGATCATTTGTTAAATGTTGCTTTCAAGTGCAGTACTACTGAAATCAACCCGTTATTTGCTCCTGCCACTCTGTTGCTGCCTTAACTGTGCTAGTGTGTCTACAGGGCTGCATGGCGATCTAAAGCAGGAGAAGATAAGCTGAGAACCTTTTCAGGTTGTTGTGGTTTTTTTTGCTTTTTTTTTTTTTTTTTCCAACTACCTGGCCTTGAAACAGTTTGCATAAAAGTAACCCTTTTGTTTAACAAAACAAAAATCTTCGAAGCAAAGAATGTATCAGTAACTTAAACCTAATGCAATGGTATAGTCATAGGCTGGCTTAGTTGCAGAAATTTGGAGAATATCAGATCATTTAATTTCAGTATTCATTTTTTAGAGTGTTCACTTATTTGCTATTATGTCTCTTACTCTAATATTTTCCATTTATCTATGTGTCAACTTAGTACAAAACTGCTTTCTTTGAGATTAGTATTTCACATAAATTATAGAATTTCTATCTTGACTTGTTTTCAAAGAAAGCTGTCCCCTTCCTCCATCCTTTTCTTTTTTTTGGAGGCATTTTCATCTGCAAGAGAACTTCTCAAAATCATCCAGAACTGAATGTTATTGCCACTATGAACCTGTGTCCAGAGGAGAGCCACAAAAATGATCACAGTGATGGAACTCCCTTACTAGAACAGGCTGAGAGAGCTGGGGCTCTTCAGCTTGGAGAAGTAGGCAGCTCTGGGGAGACCTGAGAGCAGCCTTTCAGTATCTGAAGGGGCTGTAAGGAAGAAGGGGACAGACTCTTTGGCAGAATCTGTAGTGGCAGGACAAAGTGAAATAGCTTCAAACTAAAAGAGGGAAGGTTTAGACTGGATATGAGCAAGAAATGTTTTACAGTGAGGGTGGTGAGGCAGTGGCACAGGTTGCTTATAAGGGTAGTGGACTCGGTGTTCAAGGTCCGGCTGGAGGGGCTCTGAGTACTTGATGGAGTTGTAAGTGTCCCTGTTCATTATAAGGCAGTTGGACTAGATGATCTTTAAAAGACCCTTCCAATGCAAATGATTCAATGATACTAAATGATACTAATGATACTTGTGCTCTTACAAGGTTTACTGCACTTTTGTACCATGATAAGCTAAGTAGATCTCACCTCTGACTGCTCACTGTCGCTCTTCAGCACAACTCGTTTTACAACTTTGGAAAAGCCATCTCCTTCTTCAACCGTGACAGGTTTTTGAGGTGTTCCTTGCATAATGATGTCTTCTTTTTCAGTGCCATCTGGAGAAACATATCGCCGGATGATCTTTCTAGTTACCTGAAGGAATGAAATAGAGCTTTGTCCCAAAAGAATTAACAGCAATAGATAATTTATTCTTATTCTCTAAATAGCATGCTCTAGTCAAAAGGCATTTTTTTCCTTAAATTCCATAAATTTACTTCACAAGTGAATTGAAGATACAAATACACTTACAACAACACATATTAGAATGACTTGCTAAAACGGTATAGCATCTCAGAACATTGTCTGCAAATTGCACAACTGCTAAAAGCCATTTTCAAACTGTTTTGTTTGTTTAGCATCTTCAAAGCAAAGAATGTATCAGTAACTTAAACCTAAAGCATTGGTATAGTCACTTTCAAAAGTATCTTAACACCAATAAAAAGGCTTCTGTAACTAAGAGCTTAGCTATCAAGTACTGTATCAAGAACTATAGAGTGACTTGGTCATTACAGTGATAATTCAATCATAGTACCAACTGCTGCTCTGCACTAGTGACCTAGAATTAACCTGCTTAAGTGACCTAATCTGATGCTTAAGCTTTCTAGGTGTTGTCAAACCACACAAAGAGGAGCAGAAAAGAAAAACAGGGTTGAAGATGAGATAAATCTCTCAGGAGGGCAGCTATGCATCTTTAGCTGGACATTCTCATATTTTCCCCACCCCTTTTGATGAGATGACACTAAGCAGTTACATCCTGCTCTATCCAACAGCTCATTTGAAATGAAGGTCGATCAGATTGTTTGTGTAAGAGGTGAAGGTAACACTTGCCCAGACTCAGCCAGATGCAGCCAAAAGAATAAAGTCAAAGTATACTCACCTAAGCCTGGAAATATTTGTCTGAGGGAAGAGGGAGTGTGGCAGGTTGTTTTATTTTAAAATTATTTCAAACATCTCATACTATCCAGCTGAGTGTCTATGATACTTTATTAGGAAACAGCAGAGAAGTTTGCCATGTCCTAGACCAATTGTCTAAGTACTGAACTGTTAGGTAAAGCAAGGAGTATAGAAATTCCTATTCCATTTCCATTCTGCTCAAAATTAAATTTTATAAGCAAGCTCTGAAAATACTTATGAGGCAATCACACAAATCATTTATGGCACAGAGAACAGAGAAAAGTTTAACTGTATGTACAGCTACACAATTAGGAAACTCTGGGCACAGCTGAGTACAAATTTCAAGGGGCTAAAGTCTGAGTTTAGGTGATTTGTGGTTCTAGCCTTCCATTAGTTTCATTAATATGGGTATACTTATGCTCTTAGATAAAATTGTTTGGTTCTGTTGTGGTTGCAGTAGTTTGTTTTATTAGAAAACTTTTTTTCATAAATTGAGGTCTATATGGATTTAAGTGAGAAAATAAAGTACATCAAGTTATGAATTATAAAACACAATGATCTTGTAAACCAGAATAAATCCTCATATTTTGGAATCTCTCGTGAACAGAACTCCTGTTGTACTTTTTGCTTAATTTATAAAAATGATGTACCTTCACAGAAGAAATTTGGGGATATATGTGGATTTATCATCGTTTTATAGGACAGTAAGAAGGTAGCAAGGGGTGTAACTGATAATACCTTCTTTACCACTGTGTGGCCATGTTCATCTGTGTATTGTTCTTCTGTGACTGTTTCTGGTGGCATTTCAGGCATACTATCGGCCTGTATGACAAAGAACAAAATTTCATGAAGCAGTGCCTTAATGCAGGTAATTTTTTCAAATAAGCAACTTTAAAATCAGTTAGAATTCAAAAATTTAGAAATATTAGAATTTGTTATTCTGCAAATAAGTATCTAAAAACATGCAAAGAAAAGCTGTACCACAACAGGCAAATACGTGTTAGTTGATGGTGTTGTGGATTGGGCTGAATAAAGACTTTGTCCTCCTGCTGAAGTGTTTAATGGCATTTAGAGTTGTGTTAGAAAAGGTATTGCTATGATCCTCTTTTCTTGAAAAGGTATTAGAATTATTTATCTAATGATCATGCATTATTCAGGAGCGTTCCAGCTTCAGTTGCAATACCAGCCAAGTGGTTGTCTCAGCATCACTCCTAAAGGTGTTAGTCACCTGGCCTTAGTCACCATTGGCTTATGCAGTCATTCCACACTTAGTACCTGAATAATCACCCGGCGACGAACGACTCTGGTAGTTACCATCTCGTCCTCATCTGAGCTGGTTTCCAGCTCACCTAACTCCTCTGCTAACTCCTATTGGAAGCATGGAAACAGTGCTCTGTTGTATGCAGCATTAGCAGCGTTTATAGGCTCTGTCTTGTTTTTATCTAAAATCATCTTCTCAAAATGTTTGCTTTAAGGATTTTGGCCTCTTAACTGTCTTTAACCTATGAAACATTTACACAAGAACTGGAGGGAAGCTTTGCCACATAACTGTAAGTTACCTATTCATTACCATATTGAAAAGAAGGTATGGTACTAATGGTAAGATGCTCTTAGTAGTCTTGGTGCTCTTAAGGTTGCCAGAGACAAACCTGAAATGTGTCACATGACGCGGCTGAGTTGAACTAGACTGTGTTACTACCACCATCTCTGGAATTCATGTGTATTGCATACAGATTCTGTATTGCACAGAAAATCGTATGAAAACCTCTTAATCCTTCATCCTTAGAATTGCATAGCACAGTATATAGACAGTAAGACTAAACAGTATTAAATATAAGACGGTATAATATATCAACAGTTCTGGCACCAGAGAGATCCAAGAAAAATTAGTTGCGAGTGTCCTGCACAGGAAAGAATTCAAAATTTAAATGAAGAGATGAAAAGAGAAAGAGAAGCTGAAAAGAAATACTCGGAAAGCATAAAAAATAAAAAGCATAAGTGAGAGAATAAATAAGGTGCAAGAGGCAGTGTAGACTGGGGGGAGATGGAGATTACGATAGTAAATAAGTAGTATGTTATAGTTGAGGGCAGCCTTTCCTGCAGAAATCTGAAGCTGACAAATAATATAATTTCTCCACTGAAAGCCATGCAGATGCTCTCCTTTATTCCCCTTGGACTTCTCGTAACCAAATGTGCAAGAATGTTCCTTCTTCTGCCACAGACAGACCTACCTCAGATACTTCTTGTTTTTATCTTCCATCCTTTGTCTCTCTTATTACTGCTTGTAGGCTATATGAACAGCAAGGTCTTTTCTTCCAGTACATCTTTAGTCTTCTCTAATGCACATCCTGCTGTCATATTCTTTTTTTCATCTCACTAAGTTTATAATTCTTTCAGTGACTTTCTTCACAATGCTCTTGTCTTTCTTAAGCTTTTAACGTAACTTTATCTCGTTACATATATTTTTCAGCTTTAACTTCTATGTGGTCTGTGTCTGCACATCTTACAAGCACCACGTAATTCTTTCTCACATGCATGGCATAAATGCCACACACCAAAGGACAGGTAGGGGAAGCAAAATCTGAATTACAGTTCAGATTTCAGGATTTTGGTTTTGCTTTTGTTTTCAAACCTCTATACAAAGGATTTAAATGATTAAAATGTTCTCATAACCAGCGAGGAAAGGGAAACAGCTCATTTGCAGACAGATTAATTAGGCTGTCTGTAACTGTCTGTAAATATTCCCATCTTATGGAATGAACCAGACATAAAACTTGTGCTTCTGTGTCAATTGAGGAAAAGTTGGTATTTACCTTTTCTAAAGATTCCTCCTCATAGCCACTTCCAAGCTTTTCTGGTTGTTCATCAATTGACTCCACTATCACTAGACTAGTTCTCCTTGGAGGGAGGTCATCCTGATGGAGATGGAACTCTTCAGGCTCTTGGATGATGGGAGAACCACCTCTCTGAGCAGATGATGAGGGTTGTGGGGATGTTTTTTCTCTCCCTTCCTTTGTTGCACTGAAGTGTGCAGATGTATCACTTGCTGCTGTCTGTTCTGTTCCTGGAGTTGTGACACTGCAAATTAAAGGTTTGAGGAAAATAACTGCAATGCAGTCCTTTCCAACTTCCATAAATGAACATGTATGCACTGATTAAATACTGTTATGCTATCTAGCAAAGACTAGAAATAACAGATACTCCTTGGCAGTAAATACAGATGCATATATTAAAACATCATGTACATGCAGTAATTTTCTGCTGCATGTAGGTGAATTGTGTCTTCAGATGTTAATTTAATCAATGTAATTGAGCTTTATCACAAAATCTTTGTCCAACTCTGCTGCCAGGGTGACCCCTCTTTTAATTTATGCAGGCTATGCAAATATTAACTGTTCCACTGCCTAGAATCATGTTTTGAGGCTGACTTTCTTTTCATGCACAATGCTAAAAGAAAAATTATCTTAGTTATCTATCTATCTATCTATCTATCTATCTATATCTATGTTATATCTTAGTCCAGATTCCCTTTTCCATCACCATAACTCATGACTAAATAATGGTAACAATAGCAGTGACAGAATAACTTGCATGTGTTATGTCTTGTTTTTTCCCTGGTACAAGTTGGGCTTCAACAATCTATTGTAAGCCCCTCAACTGCTGCTCTCCAAAAATGTGTGTTCTGAAGAAAGAAAAGATTTCATTGTAGTACAAGTGAAACAGTATCGATCCAGTCTTTTTCCCCCATTTATTGGGCTAAATGTTGTATTGCAAAATACTTTTTCTAACAAAAGCTTTCTGTACTTAAAAAGCTGTTCCTTGTAAGCTGTTTATATCTAGCCCTTTTTTTTTTTTCTTGTAGTTTAATCTAGACATGAAGTTTAGAAATTTTCCTGTCATTGCTACTTTCATTTTAGTGTTGGTAATATTGTCTCAAAATATTTTATCTTGGAAATAAGAGTAGCTTTCTGTACATTCAGAACAAGGATTCCTTAAATACAAATAAATGGACAAAATATACAAATAATATTTCTATCAGCTGTTAGTATTTGCAGGGAAGTCTTCTCTAGCTTTTCTACAATCTGTGATAGCTGCTATCTGTATCAAAGCTAACTGCTCTTAGGAAAATCACTTTGGAAGGAAATCTTTCATTTTGCTAGCCCATGAACACCTGAGTCAACCCTGTAGTGTTATCACTGTGAACACAAGATTAGTGACAGTGGGAAGAAAGAAACTTTTTCAGATTCCTTTCCAAATGAAACCAACTTCACTGACAAAGCTGATTCAGGATTGAAAGCTATGTTACACAGGTCATCTAAGTCTATTATGTGTTGGTCCTTTAAGCACTTTTGCCTTGTCCGTGTAAAGCCCTCCTTCTGTTCCTTTAGCCATCTGAGACTTGCAGATTGGCTTTTAATCTAGTTGTTATTATGTAATTAGGAATTTTTTAATTAATGATCATGCTAGCTAAATTTTTGCCTCAACTGAAAAACATCCTGAAGTTGAAGAAAGGATTCTCTAATATTATTTACCTGCCATCTAACATGAAAAATACTCTTTGTTAGGGAAAAAGTTTGAAGTACCTCTTTTCTTTCAATGCATTGAACTAGCTTATTTCTTCGTAATCAATGCAAAGGACCAACTTTCTCTCCCAGTCCTGAAGGCTTCTTTCACATGGATCAAAAATGGAAACTTACAGAAGAAACTACTGAACTTGTGAGCAAAACTAAAGGAAAATTCTACTGAATCCAAATGTTAAAATCTTCATATCACACAGAGAAGAGAGAATGCATTCTACATAAGATTCACCGTCATCTTTCAACACTTACGAATATTCATGTTGTGAAGATGTTGTTTCTACCACACTGTGGGGTTTCCCTGAGAATTCAGCTTCCACTTGTTCTTTGTGTGTTTGCCTTAGGAGCTCAGCCATTGTTAGCTCTGCCTCACTCCTAGGAGTACTGTCCTGAAAAGGAGAATAACTGACAGATACATCTTCCTCAGAAACAATGGGAGGGTGTTCCATTGGGTCACTGTCTTTAGACGTTCTGTGGCGTTCTTCCGGCTTATGTCTTGAACTGTACAGTTCTTCTTGCAGTACGGAAAACCCTTTAAAAAAAGAAACGAGAAATGTCATTACAAGTCTCTTTAGAGTACAGAAAGTCATTCTAATTCTCCATGTGCATTTAAAATCCGTGAAACAACCAAATGACCTGAAAATTTTAGAAGTTTCAAGTGGTAGAGGGTATAACCTCTCTAAGCAGGAGAAGGATCACTGGATTACCATTGGAATTATCCAATGCTGAATCTTCACAGTAACAGGCAAAATCGAATCTACACAGAAATTTATCTACACCATTCAATCTCAGGCACTTTGAAGTGTAGGAGATTTCCAACAGCTTTTTCTCCCACAGACTGAAAGAGGTTTTAGTGACTGGTTTTTTTTTACCCATCCTTCATGTAGCTGTTTACAGGAAAACAAACAAACAAAAAAACTTACAGAAGTTCTTAGCTTGTATAGCTGCAAAAATAATTACTTTGCAAGTCTGAGGGGGAAAAAGTGCATACGGTGCAAGGACTAGCTAAATGAATGTTTCAAAGCATATTTAAAATTAAAAAAAAACATTCTCTAATCCTGCAGAAGTAGTAAAATAACATGTTCATTTGTATCCAGCAGACAACTGACACACACTCGTTTGTTAGCGTCTGAGCTCTTGTTTTTCTTCACTAGCCACGATCACTAGGAACCAACTGAAGTCCAAAGAATAGCTTGGTGGAAAGTATAGCTATCTGTACAGAATTTAAGAAGGTATGGAGGTTAACATTTTTAAACTAACAAGTTGTTATAGTTGAATGCTAAATACAGCAAATATGAACTATTCCTACATCATCTACATAAAGATGGAATGTCTGCAGCTGTCTAATACTTTCCTGAGCTACTGGTTTAATACTAAGTTAAGGGTGCAAAAGTATCACTTGAAAACAGAGGATTTTTCTCCATGCAATTTTAAGATGTTTCTTTAGTGTATTGATTTAAATGGAACTTGTAAAGTCAAGTATTCCAACAGCATCGTAGCAGAATTACAAACAATATCTTGCATATCTCCTTCTTACAAAGATTTCACCAAGATTAATGCAACCTTCTTAACTTCTAAGAGAGCAACTGTATAGGCAAAAAAATAAACTGGACCCAAGTATTTGCAGTACTTTCTGATAACATTCTCTTATTTTCCTTATACGAATCAGCTGATGCAGAGATTTTATACCCAGTGAAATAGTGACCTGTGTGATGTCACACTTCCATTCACACACACTGTGATTTCAAAATTAGATTCTAGTGCTCAGTCACAACAGTGAACAGATTATTCTAGTCAGACATCTCAGAACAGGGTCACAACCTGGGCAGTCTGTGACTGTATCAGAACATTTTACCTTCACTGTGGTCCAATCCTATCGTTTGTTCCATTTCTGCATACGTGCGAGTGCCGTGGACCTGCATAGAGTCAATGCCACTGGTCTCCATTAGGTGAACAATATCCATTCGGTTGATTTTAGTAAGACATTGAGTAAGGCTTGTATCTGTGGGATTAGAATGACATCAGATAGCTGAGTTAAGAATCTCCCAGGACTCTCTCCCTTCTATTTTCCATTTGAAGTATGTATGTAGGATAACAATTTAGAAGAATTTTTATGTAAAAATCTAAGTTTTACTGAAAGGCTGCATACAAACATTACCAGTAATCTTGTTTCTTCTTTCAAAGTGATTTAGTTTCCACAAATACTTTTTTCTGTTTAGGGAAAAAGAAGACTCAGTGTTTTTCTGTTCTTACTTTGCTGGAAGAGGTTCTATCTTGTTTTCCAAATAAACAGAATTAAACATTTTCTCTGAGAATCTTATGACATGCCATGTTAAACAGAGAAACTTTATAAAAAAGAAAAAAGCCCAACCTGCAGCCCTTCTTTCTGTTGCCTAAATTTTACCCATATTTTCCCTTTCTGATTCACAGCACACATAGGTCACCTTGCACGGCGGAGACAGTAGATATGTACTATAACTGATAATGAACCTGTTGCGTGTTTCCCATCCCTTTCAAGCCAATATTTGAGGAGTGCATGGCTCTGGTCTTGAAGTGAATTAGGATTTTCAATCCTGATTTGGTGAATTTGCTCTTCTGTGAAATCCAGTTCTCTTGCTAACTCTGAAAAAGAAATCCTTTTCTGTGAAGATGTATTTTATTTTTCCCACTTTACCTTACATCCATTTTACAGTTGTCAGCAACAAAGTTGATTACAAACTTTTCTGAAACTAATTTCTCTTTACTTCTACGTACTGTGTCTTACGTTTAGAGAGAATGTTAAACAAGATGTTCAAGACAAAGATAATGTGTTATGCTTAGAGGTTATGGGCCTGTGGGAGCTTTTCTTTTTTGTGCGTACCATTCTGAGTTCTCAGTTCTCACAACACTACAGGCCAAACCATAACACAGCACTGTGCTTACTGGTTTCATGTCCCCTGAAATGTTGAACGTTTTGGAAACTTTGACCAAAATCTAATGAAAGAATTCATTTCAAGTAGTGGCATTTTTTTTAGGGCTAGAGTAAGGCATGATCATGCTGCTCCCCTGGACTTATTTCATCAGAAGAAAAATAAAACAGTATCCTTCTGACTAAGCACAGGCTCAGACAGCAGCCCAGTCTTGTCACCCGTCTTGTAGCCCCAAAGAAACATTTGACACACTCAATTTTACCATAATCAATCTTCATCATACCTCAAAACAGGAATATTTATGCAGTATACTACTCCGTCCCTTCAAAAATCCTATAAAACACTAACATCTATTTTGATGAACATACTTTTTTTCCTAGTTTTGTTTTCGGAACTGTATTGCCTTTAGAATATTTCGTAGGATTGCAGTTTAACACAGCATGGAGATTTCTATACAGCTCTTTCTTTGTGAACATTGTGAACCAGTTTTCAGTGATAGAGAGCTACAGTTCATCCTCTGTTATCCTGCTCTTTCCCAGTAGTATTAATACACTATCTTAAAGCGACTTACAAACTCATCCCTTTTCTCCCCTCTTCCCTCAGCATATTTCCACAGAAAATAAGTTAATGTAACTTTTTGCTGTAGTGGCCTTCTGCCTCAGGATTTCCAGAACACAGCTGATGTTTATTCATTTATCTTTCAGCCGCTTTATCTTTTAGAGTCATTACACTTTGCAAGAAAATGAAGAGTAATATCTGCCAATTCTTTGTCACTTTTCTCATCCTAACAGTTTTTCCTCTTGAGATGCCACAACAAATGCAGAGTCCTTAGCTCTGCATCTTACAACTTCTTACTTAACAAGCTGGAGGAATTTTGGTAACCACTAGACAGACCATCTAGTTTCTGTATGTTACTGAAATATTTCTATGGAATTACTTTGGATAATCATCTGAAAGAAAAATGAAAATTCTGAAGAATACTTGCCCTGTTTCTCTCTAGAATAGATCGTGTGTTTTACCTGTCCAACTGAATCCAAGGTGATCCGCAATGTGGGCCAGTCTTTCCTCGGTCCGTTCCCGATCATCCTGTTGATCTAAGGTTCAAAAAGAACAACCACAAGTTGTCTTTTACAAATTAAAAAGCATTTCTTATAGGTGATAAGCCCAAGGAGGGAAGCATTTTTTCTGACTGGTCTAATCTAAATGTGGACGGGCTGCTACAGTTGGGTACTTAAAGTAAGGTCTATAAATCTCCAGCCTTCTCGCATGATTTTTCCAACAGTATAGAACTATCTAGAATTTTTTTTATTTAAAAATCAGACTTTCATGTAAAAAATTAGGATTGAAATACCTACTATCCTATTTTTATCCAAGCATTTTATTCTAACATTTAAGACTTTAACTAAGTCAAGAGTCATAATATACCACGCCTCCTTAGTATATGCCAAGGCTGAAAAATTCATTTGGACTGGTGCTTCTAATTGTGCTTTTTTCTGTGGTAGGGAAAAATCTGTTCGAAGTGTCCATCTGACATTTCATACTATGGTTTGTGTTAGTAAATTACTTACTTAAATGTCTTTGACTCTTTCAAATACAGACTGATACAAATAGTTAAAATGAAGGCAAGGAAAAATCAGATGCTTATTCACCAGTAACAGTGACACTTAACTATTTCTCCCATCCTCAAAGCTAATTTGAGGATGCCAGAATTTGAGTTTTGATTTTCCCCGAACACACACATGGATTTCAAAATACGCCATTCAGAAAAGGACTTAAAGTTAATGAAATATGCATTTTTCATTTTAGCTACTGGATTCCTATCACAGCTGCCCAACAGCAGTGCAAGTAAAAACCAAATACCTTACAACTTGTACTGAAGTTATTAATGACATGTAGAATTTCCGTGAGAGGATCAAAAATAGAACAAGAAAATCTTGATTATTCTAATTTTCCATGTTTGAGTAAAAATTCAAAAGAAAATAGATTTGCCATCATGGTTTCAATCAATGTCCACATTTTCATTATTAATAAGAATCGGTCAGAATAGGGCCAGGGAAAGCCAAAAGTCAAAGTGTACATGACCTGAAGTATTGGTTTAATGGTAAATATGTGTCTTTTGAAGTGTTTTTATTTATTAAAATAACACTTCCCATAAGCATTCATGACTTGCAATCTTGAGATTATTCCACAAATAAGAAAATACAGACAACACAAAATAACAAACACAGCTTATAGGGGTAAAAAACAAAACAAAACAAAACAACCAAACAAAAACAGAAACACAACTAACCATCAAAAGCGTAAAAGAAAATGCCGCATACTTTACACACATCTATACAAACTTACAGATACACACACACCAAAGAAAACAAAAAACCAAAAAGTTTTAATTTATGACATGCGTCGCACAGGGAATCCCAGTCGTTGGCAAATACCTTCAGCATGGTCATGGATATTGTCATCAGGTATACGTTCAATCTGAGTCTCTACAGACTCATCCCAAATAGGTCTGGTGTCAAAGATGTCTTCAGGAACTGACTGCTGAGTCTCAATGGATGGCACGTTTTCAATAACTGAAACTTCTAGGGCACTACTGCTTTCGTCATCTGAAACTAATTCTTGTTCTCTTTCTGATTGTGTAAGTCTTTCCACTAACTTAGAAGCTTCATCACTAATTTCTTCAAAGAATTCTATGGAGTTTTTATACAGGTCAAAAAATTGTTCCTTACTTTCTTTTGTAGGACTAAAAGCACTGTGGGAGGCTGTAGTGCTCTTGCTTTTAACTGGCACTCGTGATGAAAATACCTTGGGTCTTGCTGTTGTTGCCTCATCTGAGTCTAGCTCAACCTTTAACTCTCTCTCCCTCTCCCAGGTCTCTGCTTCTGCCTCTGCATAACTCCTAGCTTTTATTGAACGTTTGGTCTTTGGGTCCATGGGAATACTTGCATCAGATTCAGATTTACTTCGGCTATCTTGTTTTGTAGGTAGTTTGCTTGTCATGTTCAGAGCTTTGGATGACTCTAGCTTGTGGACAGATGTGTCTGTGGATTGTTGTTCAGCTCTTTGCAAAGCTGATTTGACAGGAATTTTAGACTTTGGTTTTGCTTGGTCATCTTTTCCTTCACACTGCAGACTGTCTAGGAAGCCATCAGTGGGAAGGTTCTCATTTTCAGATTGTTGCAATGATTGTGATGCAGCAGCAGCAGCTGTTCTTACAGGGATTTTGGATTTGCTTTCACAAGAAGGCACTCTCTCCATTAAAGCAGTAGGGATTTCTATCACTGATCTCTGTTCCTCTGGTGAAGAGTCTGGGGACTCAGCATCCTTTTCAGAACAAACAAATCTAGTGACTTTGGAAAATTCTAACTCATCTTCTACCACAGACTGCTCAGGAGAGATGGGGAAAGGCACCTGACTGCTATCGATTATGTCAGTCTCCACTGTGAAGAGGGATTCAGCTTCAGAGGCAGCAGTTTCTTTCTTTGGTGATTTTGAAGAAGCTGAAATACCCATTTTAATTGGTATTCTGGATTTTAGCTCTGCTTTTGCAGTGCCTATGCTGACGCCTTCACCAGTCATTTCTTCTGATTTATCACAAGGCTCAGATGGTGAGGGTGAACGATTCAGCGTATCTTTTCCTTGTATATCGAGGTCCTCTGATTCTGAAAGTGAAAACGGATCTGGTGGGCTCTCCGGCTTAGAAGATTCTGCCTCTGCTGCTTCTTTAATTTCCTCACATAAAGAAACTTCTTCCTGAGGCTGCTGCCCCATTTGGAAGAAATGAAAACTTTCATCTGGATAGTTTCTTTTGGTCATGTCAATAGCTCCACTTCTGGTCATTTCAAACAACTTTCCTTCCTGGAAAAGAAAAGGATTTTGTTCACTAAGTGGTGTCCCTTCTTCAGTGGGTGTTCTGGCCGGTGTTGTATCAGGTGTTGTGCCTTGTGATCGCCTGTCTACCATCAACCCAAATATCTTTTGTTCCTCTTCTTTTACCCGAGCTTCAAAAGCTTCATCATCTTCACGTATGTCACTCCATGTGTCAGAATCTACATCAGTCTTGGTAATAACAACTTGACTGATAAATTTCTCTGTTTCATCTCTTATATCCGTAAGGGCAGATTCGACTAACTTTGTGGAATCTGACGCTGAAGACCCTGGTGAGGTTTTCTGAAATATGTCCTCAGTTCTAAGTTCTGTTTCTATCTGCACTTCCTCTGAACGTTGATACTCACTACCCGTGCCTCTGCTAAGCAAAGCTTCACCAGTCTTATCTTTTGTTTCTTCAACAGAACAGTCTTCACTAGATAGCAGGCTTTGACCAGTTCCTACCTTACTTTCACCACCATCAGTAAAAAAATGTTCAGAAGACACATTTTCATAAGGGCTTACTATATGAGGAGCTCTACTTTCAGCAGCGTCCACTACACAACCTTCAGGTTCCACTGTTTCAGTGGTAAGGGATGAATACTCTGACAAGGGTTCCTCAGTATCTCTCTGAGGTGTGTCAAAATCTGCATCTACTTTTGCAAAATCACAATGTTCAATGAGATCATCTTCAGTCAGTTTGCCATCTTGTGGTATAGAGAATTCAGTGGTACTGTGTCCACAAGAATCATCATCTACTTTCTCAGTCACCATTCCTTTAGTAGTAAGAGTTGTGTGTGTTAAAAAAACAGTGCTTTTGATACCATTTTCCCTGATATCATCTTGGTGTAGCGTTGAAGAATCGATGTGATCTTCTTTCTGAGAACAATCACCAATGGAATGACACAGTGTACCCTCACATTTTGTCACTGGGGCATTAGGACTAACCATCTCACTGTCATCTGTACTATCACATTTTGATTCATCAGTTTCTGCTGATACACAACCGTCTGAATGACAAATGCCCGATTTTCTCGTGGAAGCCTTACAGCTGCCTCCAAGGATATATGGTTCATCTTTGTCATCTTCTGTTGGTTTGTCCTGTTCTGCTGTAACTGCACCCATCCTGGAAGAACACTGTTTTGAATTAATGGGTTGAAAACCTGCTTCTTCAGGGCTAGAACTGGAGTCTATACTCGATGGTAATGGTGAAGGTGGCTGCACTCGGATTACAGGTTCCATTAAGAGACCTGAATCAGCTTCTTTTTTAAGCTGGGTCAATTCTGGCTCACTTTCTGAAGAGGAAGAACTTTTTCTAGATTCAGCTGAAGACATCACCACTGTGGGTATATCTTTTTCTTCTGCGGTTTTTGACTTTGATTCTTCAGTTTCACATGCAACTTCTGAGTCAGCAATTAGAGAATATTCATCTTGTTTACAATCCCTTTTGTAATCTCGCTTCTGCTTTGCTTCTTGCTCTAATTCATCAAACGTTTTGATTTTCGTCACCATTTTAAACATCTCCTCTTCAGGGGTAAATCTCTTCTTTGGTTCACTTTCTGATTCATCCTCTGGTTCTTCACTGACTTCAGGGATCACAGCTGACTTTGGTATATTTGACAGTGCCTGTGAGTCTGCTGTTTTAGGTGTGATTTCATAGCTAATTTCTTCAGAACTGGGAGTTTCAGGTGAAAGAGGACTTTTCCCTGAACTCTCCATGAGAGATGTTTGCTCTAGACTGTCATCATCAGCACTTCCCTCAGGGTCACGGAGGATCCTGGAACGTACTGTTGCCAGCTCTGGGCAAGTTTCTCCTTTGCCAAGAATAGACTGAAGAGGACCCTGCCCCAAAATACCAGCTTTCACTTTTTGTTCTACAGGACTACTTTCAAGGGAATCACGGCAAGGAGATTCTTTCATAGGACTGGGCTCCAAAGAATCAGGCGTTTTATGTGATGAGTTGTCTTCTAGCACGGGGCTTGCTTCCAGTGAGTCTTTATGACTTATAGCCAAAGAGTCATCTGCAACTGGGCTAAAGCATTCACTATCATGGCTAGCAAGTGAAAGTTCCAATTTCTGGGGGCTTCTAACCACAACACGGTGTTCACAGCTTATATCTTTCTCTTTCTCTAAAGCAGTGTCATGTGTTTCAGAAGAATTAGTTAAGTGTGGAGTGGTTCTGGATTCTTTCTCCCTGATAATATCTTCCATAATGGAAGCTGAGCTACTTTCTTTAAGTTTATCAGCCTCTTCTTCAGAGGCTGTAGGTACAAGCTCTTCTGATACATGGTCAGAATGAGACTCACTAGTCTCAGCAACAGCATCTAGCTGTTTTTCAGTAATACCTTTTTCATTTTCCTTTGGTGAGAGTTCCTTCGGAGAACATGTTTCTGCTGCTGTGTGTACTCTATCTGTTCCTTTAGCTTCTTCAATTTGCCCATCAGTTTTCTTTGGTGAGAAAGAAAGGCTTTCAGGGCTTGTTTCTGGAGTTTCTGCCAGACCCTCATGTTTATAACTTTCCTCAGAACTGATCTGAGGAGTTCCATCAAGCAGGCTACCTGGAGAATCAGCCACACCTTCATGTTTGAGGCTCTCTGAGCTCCCATCAAAAGCAGCACTTTGCAGAGAAAGAGCGGGAAGGAATCCATCTTTTACATACTCAGCAGGGAAAGCAACACTGAAGGGACTGGTCAGTACTTGCTCCAAGTTAAGCTCGCCTTCCTCTGTCACTGAAAGATGTCGGAATTGTTGGTATTTGTCATTATCCTCAAGTTCTTCTTTAATGACATCAGAAAAATCTGTTGAGGTTTTCCTGTCAGGGCTGATCTGAAAGTCTGTATCACCGTGGTCGTCAGAAGTCTTGCCCTTTATAACTGCTGAATCTTTGGTACTCTCATCAGCAAATACTGGAGGGGGAGGTTCCGCTGTTGTTTTTTTGCTGCTCTGCTGTTTTACTTGGTCTTTGCCTACAGTTTTCTTAATAGTATCAACAGTGGATACTTGCATTCTTCCTTTCTTTGGCTGTGGCTCTTTCTCTGCTTTTAAGACTGTGCTTTGCTTGTCCTTCTGTTTGTCCGTCTTGTGGCTTGTTACTCGCTTTGTTTCACTTTGTGAAGAAATTGTTTTTCTCCGTGTTGTTTCCTTCTCTGGAGGTTGTTGCTTTTGTTTGACAGACTTGTGCTCAAACAGTCCAGATACATTCTTGGATGGGTCTTGACCTGACTGGAAGGCTTTCATCAGCTCACGAACTGACATGGTCTCTTCAAGTCTTTCTGTCTTAGAAGAGGGTGAAACAGGAGGCTGTGCTTTGTGTGCAACTGTTTTTTTGACTGGTACTGTTTTTTTAGAAGGCTTTTCACCAGTGCCTTCTCTTGTTTGAATTCTGACAGGTAGTTTAGAGCGTATTTTTTGTTCATCTTCCACTCGTTTCTGAAGAGCTTTAACCTTATCTTTTATTGAGCCAATAGGGGTTTCCTCTATGACAGGGGATACAGCTTTAGCTTCAGGAGCAGCTGCTGGTGTTAAGCCGTGTTCCTCCTTTGGAGACTCATCTGAACTGATCTTCATTAGTCCTGGTTGTTGTTCACTACTGTGCATCTTGCCTTCCTTTTGTTTGTGCTTGTCTCTTAACTTTGTTCTAACTGGCTTTTTAATTTCTAAGGCTGGCTTATGTTGTTCTTGTGGACTTAGTGTTTCAGTTGTTGGAGACTCTTGTCCTTCTTTTTCAGAATCCCTGCTTATTACGACAGCTTCAAATTTCTCTTCTACCATGTCTTCTTGTAAAGCTTGTGGCTGTACCTCATGAAGAGAAACATATTTGTTTAAATCCTCAGTAAGGTAATCTACCATTCCTGCCATGTCTTTCTTTACTGTCTCTGTTGTCTCTTTGTCTATTCTAACTTCTACACAGATAGGTTCAGTGACTTCTACAGGAGCATTTCTTCTGGCCTCTTCAATTTCTTCGTCACTGACAATGACCCATTCTTCTTCTACAAATTCTTGTCTGGGAAGAGACTTTTGCAAAGCATGTTCTTCTCTAGTATATGATCCACCTCTAAGAATTTCATTCACTTTTTCTAAGTCTTCTTTCACCCTTTCAACTATTTCAAAAGGCTCTCCTGGCTCCTCTTCAGTGGCTTTTCCAAGATCTTTCACTTTAATAGAGCCTGGTTTATCAGAAGGGTCAGTTGTCAAGATGGCAGTCATTTTGATCAAATCTTGTTTCATCTCAGAAACTTCAGACAGTAAGTCTGGACTGGCTAGTACAGGGACTTCATTAACCAGATGGCTTTTCAGGATAGATGTTTCTGTAGATTCTGTCTCATCATCTTTGATGCGAATGAAAAACATTGAAAGTAAAATGGAAATCAAAAATAGAGATTGGAAAATGTAATCAGGACTAAAAATGACAGTCTTTGGTTGCAGTGGTAGGAAGATCTACAAAATGGGCTGGGAATGGTGGATCCACAAGATTTGAGGGTACAAGAGCAAAGCAAAGCTAACAGGAGGGGAAAAAAAAAAAAGAAAAAAGAAAAAAAAACTGAAAAGGAAAATGGCAGGAAATAACTTGCTTAACTTTACCAATATAGCACAGCCACACATACATTACCAAAGCTGTAACAAACAAAATCAGGACACCGTTAAAGAAAAGAATAATAATTAAAACAAACAAACAAACAAACAAAAAAAAATACCCACTAACAACAAAATTTAAAATTAAAAATAGAAGAAACACAGTGAAGTTACACAAAGATAGGCATCTCAAGATTGTTCAGATGTTACAAATCAATGTTCAAATAAAAATAAACAAGAAAAGAAGGGGAAAGTATTAGAACTGATTGAAAGTCGATTTCCTCTAAGAGAAAGCCAGTGTTAGCAAACTGTCAGAATAACATTCAGTTAACATGTTTTATTTGTTTATTTTTTTAATTAGTGATCAAAAGAAGAAGTTACAAATGATTCTGCAATAATCTAAAATATGATCAAATATGTAGATATCTGAATCAGCTGCAAACCGGCATTTCATCAAAGGGGATTTCACACCTAAACAATGAAACAAACATCATTTGGTTTTAAGAGGCATGGTCCTTTCCTTGGAACATCCTCATCGACAACTAATGAATTGACTGGGGAAGGAGAAGACAGAAGAAAAGGAGAGGAAAAAAACTGTGAATCAACTTAGAAGTGATTTCAGAGTTTTTAAAAAAATGTAATGTATGGCAACCAAAAATCAGACAGTCACGCTAGACACATACATACAGTTTATGTAAGGCAAGTTATTTCCATGCAAAGCAAAGGTGTTGCAAATGCTTCTGTGTATGTAGTTTCAGTTAAAAAACAAACAAACAAACAATAGCTTTAAAATTAATCTTACAAAATAAAGATACGTGAAAGTATTATTAAGTATACTGTGGTGAAATATTTATCTAATCTGTACAACCAATAAATAGTGAATTGAATGTAGGTAGGTCCTGGTATGCCATTGCTAACCAGTAAGAATGTTACTTTCAGGAGGGAATACTAGAAAATGTACACGGAACAGAATGAAACAGTGGAGCAATGAAACAATTTATGAGCAGTAAACAATGCTTAGAAATTGTAGGGAATCATACAGTTCATTTTTAAAAGGGTACTATATCACATTTCTGCGCTCCAGCCTAAAAATCAAAGTAGTAATGCAAATAAGAAGGTAAGCAATGCCTAATTATCTGCATTTCTTTGAAAATTAACCCTAGGGTAACTAATTCCATTCTGCTAGCTGTATTATGGTGCCTGCTTTCCACCTTGAGAAAACTGATTCTCCTTGTGCAAATATTAATGAAATAGAGCAGCAATCAGATATTGCTAATGTTTTAAATCATTATGTATGCTACTTCCCACTAGACTGTTAGCTGTTTTTGTCAGACTGATGTCTTTAGTTTTTGAGCTGAAGAATTTCAGTTTTAGAAAAAAGGAGGTCGAAGTAGAATAGTGTCTAAGTAGAATAGTTATCCATTTGATAACTGTGACCCCAGTGCTGTTGTCTTTCTAACTAGAACATGCACCTACTATGCTAGGAATAAACAAACAGCAGAATGCCAAGTAGAATAAAGGCAAGAAAACACTTTAAACTGCAAACAAGACAGTCACTGATCTACAGAATCATTGGAAAGTATTAGGCACACTCTTCAATTTGAATTCAATTTGTTTAATTATGTCTTCATTAAAAGAGATCTTTGACAGTATTTCTAATAATAATGGCCCAATTCTATATATACAAAGGGCTTATATGTTGTACCAAGCTTAGCTTTCAGTCATATTTCACCACAGTAAAGGGCGGGAAGGGAGGGTTAAACAGCCTGATTACTTTTGGCAGTATCACTTTTTTTGCATGCTTATATTTCACAAGTCTAATGAAATATATTAGTATACTAATCGTGTTTTCATTAAAAGTGATACTGCCATTTATCTCAAATGGCAACAGTGTGTATCAACAAATGGGCAAGAGAATGGAAGGATGAGCATTCGTACAAGCAAAATAGCAATAGCAGGATCACTAGGGATGTCAAAGGAAAGTAAGTACTTAGATGAACTCTTTTAAGCTTACTTGTTAATTTACACATTAAAATGTATTTAATTGGTTAACTGCTTTGATATTATATTGCTTTCTGTTATGTTTTAAATGTATCGATGCTATTAGCAATAGTTGTTAAAGTTTAACTCACTTTCATGCTTAATTGTATTCTTTACCATCTTTCATACGAACTACATTATAATATTTTTAAAAGTAAAAGGAAAATCTTACTTTTTTCTGAAGTCATATCAACCTGGAAAAGAAGAAAAAAAAAAGGAAGATTAAAAAGTTGCAAAATAGTAAATGTATACAAAATCACCAGTAAAGTAATACTGGCAGAGTCAAGTAATCATTTAGGCTGATGTCTTTAAACTTCACATTCAGCATAGTTTAATTTTCCTTACTTTAAGTCCATCATCATTAATCTGGAATTATGTCAGCATATGAAATAATATTACTAAAATAAGAATGAATAAAACAATCTAAAAATCTTTTAAAAAGTGAGATACCTCCACCAGCAGTCAGTTGGCTTTTTTGTGTCTGTGTTTTAGTTTCTTAAATAAAAACGTAATAAATAAGAAGATCAGAAAAAAAAAAATCTAATATTCTTTGTATGTTTTTAATGGATTTTTCTCACAACAACATTAGGTGACTTCACTGGAAATGCATAAACAGCATTATGGAGGCTAAAAGAATTGGTTTCATTCTGAAACCAATTCTGATCATCTGATAATAAATGTTTCATTCCTAATATATATATATATATTATATATATATATATATATATTATGTGGCAGTTAGCTTCTGATAGAAGACAGGTATCAGGTTAAACAAGGAAGTTACAGATTGTTACTGTTAGTTTTTGTAATGATAATAAAAAACTGCAGTCCCCACAACTTCTGAACTCTGTTCTGCAGTAAATTGCAAAGACATTCATACTCTTTGAGGAGTGGGCTAGTCTCAGTGCTGGCATTTCTTGTTTGCAACATCTGAACATCCTTAAAAACATGGAGATGCTTTTCCTTATGTTACTCATTCATGAAGGGGTGAGACCTTAAGAAACATTTGTAACTGCCGGAACAGAGCTGGCAAAGCTGGAAGCTGCTCATATTTCTCCATTATGATGCAATTCATTTCGCATTAAAAAAGAAAACTGTATATTTTACTTTGGGTAAATTTCCTTATAACTTCCAGGTTAACACTGAATCTATGCTAGACCTTATTATCCAGTTCATATATGTCTAATATCCAGTCTGCCAGATGTTATAAATGGACAAGACTCTTGAGTTACATCCCTTTCAATTATACATCCAGTGCATATAACTGCAATGTGATTGCAGATTCCTCACAACAGAGGAGAACTGGCTCATGGACATATTTGTATTTAGGTCTGTCTCTCTGCCTCCCTTCTCTGCCTCCACTAGAGGAAGTATGTTCAATCAGTACATATGGGGTACTAATAAAATGCATGCTATATCAATCATCTACTGGCTCTGATAGGAGGTCTGGTAGCAACTCTGTTATTTTTGGAAACAGAAAAATTAACTCCACTTTTTTTTTTCTTTCTTTGTTGTTGAAGAGAATATCCACTAAATAAATCCACCTATATGATGCTCTTCAGAAGGATAATTTTTAAATACTTTAACTAAGAAACTTCTTTGGAAGGAATATATACTATTAAGCATCTGTGAAATCAGTGTAAAACTTCGATTTTAATTTGGGGAAAGTGAGACTTGGTAAATTCCGAAGTATGACTCTGAAAGATCCTTTTAAACTCCACACAGATTTCATCTTCAAGTTGTATCTATTAATTGTGTTTTAATAGTATGCATAAGCAATGACATGCCGCTATGGCAACATTACCTCTTCTTCTTGTTCTTGGTCTGATTCTGATTCCTTTCAGTCCCAAAATGCCATGCAAAAACAGAAGGAGAAAACAGAGCAGCAAAATGCAGAATTATTAGAAGGGTAAGAAAAAGTTACTTCTATCAACACTTCTGATAACATCTGAAAGAAGTCCATACGGTAAGTTTATGCAATTTCTTGTGTAAAAAGTGGCAGTGTAAAACAAAATGCTACAGAATCCAGCAAATTGCAAAAAAAGTTGCTTTTAGGTGTTGTAGTTAATGATGCATATTTGTCCTGAAATTTGACATTAATGCATGCTTTTATATCCATAAATTTAAGTAAGTATTTCAAGTATTCAAGAGGTTACTCATTTAAACTGAAAATAGCTTGAGACACATTATTTGTAAATCATACAAAAAAGCTGTAATACAATTATATTACATGGTAAAAACACCAACAACATTTTGGTCAAACAGCCTAAGGTGTTTCTAAAAAGCATGCTGGTCCTAAGCTGACAAAGAATAGTAAGAAGTGTCCTACTTATCACATGATGGCAATAAACTAACTTTTTTGAAAGAAACTAATATTTCTTAGGATCTGTTCTCTCCCAAATGGAAACCAAGGGCACTTCAATGAGAATTCATCTGGTCCTGAGCCTGTTATTTATAAATAGTAAGTCATTATAGACTTTTCATCTCCTAACTGTTATAACAATACTCAGAAGGATACAATACTCTGAACAACACTCTGACCTATTTGCAGATTCTTGACAGCTTAGATCAGATCAGATGTAAAAAGAAAATTTAGCGTCAAAATCAGCGTGATGTTAAAATAAATATAAGAAAATATTTTTGGCACTGCCATAACATTTTAAATTCTAGAGCTTGAGAATGCTATGTTTTCAACACTAGCATCATGGATACATAAAGGCAGTCACTGAGAAGTGTGATAGCAGAGTCTGTTAACTTTCAGATTGGCAAATAATGTAATTTTCAGTTCTTCTATGTTTCATATTTTAAAAACAGGGTGAGATCTGTAGGCTTGTATCCTTACACTTATATGTCTAAAAGTTAACTTCCTGTCCAGACAGGTGTCACAAGACAGAGTTAGACACTGGGATGTCTTCAGCAAAACCAAGAAAGAGACTCAGAAATACTCCGAGTCCCAGATGTGTAAGATGTGGGTAAAATTACTGCGCAAAATAAAATCAGCATATGTCTTGTGCAACGCCAACCATGGGAGCCACGCAGTACAAAGTCATCCTCTACTGTCCTCTCCTAAGAGCCCTTAAAAAACAAGAGCTAAATGTGTGAGTACTAAAACCAAGAAATCGACAGGCCTTGTACTGTGTATTTATGCTTCTTAAAATACATGATTATAAAGCTTTAACAATATTTTACCCTCTTACTTCTTCCTCAGTCACATTACAATGCTTCATACCAGTATGATTTCACAGTACCTTTGTGTAAACAGGTAACGTGATGTTTAAATTACATATGGCTTGATGAACAAGACCTCTTGTTGATTTTGGCTCCTTCATGAATGATAATCGTCCGCAGGGTTCTTGAGTGGTATCTCGCACCTGGTGGAACAAACATACAGAAAATTTATTGAATTAATTTCTGGTTTGAACTGCACACAACACTTCAAATTATTCAGCAGAAAGAGGAGAGAGAAAGTTCTCTGCGTTTTTTTCTCCTACTTATTTGTAAACATACATGTAAATGTATTTGCATCAAAGTAAGAGAGAACACAACCACATGCATGCTTAGACAGTAGAAACTTACTTATAGAGGCCAGTGATAATGCTGTCTATCATTGCCTTAAAAGAACAAAGATATTCTGGTATGGTTAGTCTTCCATGATAACTTACAATACCTGCTGTTCACTGAAATAGTCCCCAGACTGAGTGGTAGACAGACTTATTTTCTATTAAGATATGAAATAAACCAAGTCCATTTTTCCTCATGTTTGTGCTGATATCAGCAATAAGTCTCAAAATTCTGGTATTACATATTGTGTTTGTTCATTGCCTACTCTTTGGCTGAGGGGCTGTACAGAAGATTAAACTTAACATATTCTGCAAAATATTTCTCAAAATACACTGGTTTTCTCAAATACATTGGTGAATTTTATTCTTAAAACGAAGAAGTTTGCTGGAATATACTCATAGGTGTGACCGTTACTATCTGCAACTGACACTACAGAACGTCATATTTTCAATTTTGCACTGAATCAGAAAAATGTGTTTCACAGCTGTTAGCAGAAACAACCTCGGCACTTAGGAGAATGGTAATGTACTTTTAGCTTTTGTATAAAAAGGACACAAAATCACAAGAGAAAAAACAAAGCATTACCTCATACAGTTTTCTGAACAGACAAATACGACACAATTAGATAAGCGTGCATTAATTTGATCAGACTGAAAGTACTAGAATCAAAGCCACATGTGCTGGCATAGAGTAGTAAGCTATAACAAGCTTTAAAATACTACTGAGAAGGAGGGAAGTTGTCTAGCAGCATAGTGAATTTAATTAAGGAGGGAGTGGGCTGACTTTCTCCAATTTTTTGAAGTTTCCATTTCTAATGCCTCTCTCTAAAGCTGTTTTACTTAATGACTCTGTTGTAGTCAGACTGAGCCAGCAGAAAAACACAGTTTGCTGGAAAAGGCACGTGAATCTCTCTGTGAATTTCTCTGTCCAAAAGAGGCGGCAAAAGCACTGCTTCATATCTGCTCCCTGCAGATCTCATGAAAGCAAAGGAGCTCTGTGGCCCATGGTTTTTGCATTACTGGCACTTGAATCTGGGCCTAAAACATTAGCTCATTTGGTTTGAACTTTTTGTTTGTTTGGTTTAGCTCTTGTTTAGAAGACTTTTACTCACAGATTTTACAACAGTATAGTAGCATAATATATGCCACAGTAACACAATTAAATGATGATTCAAAAGTACTTCATTTTTCCTTTGTTCTCAAAAACACAGTAAAACCATAACTTGAAATATTTAAAATGGACCCATACTTCTCTTACAGAACTTCCAAGCAAGTTTTGCATTGCTACTGAAGAGTATCATAGCTGAAAAACAACTGCAACTCTCTTTACAGTCATAACCATATTTACATACACCTGGTGTGACAGTCATAGTGGGACAGATTTTTGTCAATTCTTACATGTTTGGCTTTTTTTTTTCCTGCAATGTATTGAACCCTAATACTGAAAATCAAATACAACTCAGTCAAAGCTTTTAGACTGTAGGTAGAGAGCAAGAATTACTGAGCTACCATTTTGGAGTCTGAAAGAATACTATGGCCACACAAAAGCTGAGACACAGACAATTGTCTGTAAAGCCAACGTTTCTGAAATTTCAAGTACCTATTTCCATGCATCTGGTAGGCTCTGTCTATTCAAGTCAATTTAATCCACTATGAGAAATCTGGACTGTTCAATCAGCTAAGTTTATCACAAATTCCCAAAAATATTATCAGTAGCTCATTATACATTATAACATTACCTTAACAAATAGAGGAAGTCTGTTTTCTTTGAAGGCAAAAAAACTGAATATGTGATGCTGTCCACTCTTAGTTAGTGGCACCAAATTGCCAAAACAGTCAACATAGATGGGTTTTCCTTCTAATACCTGTTGGAAATGAATAAGAAACAAGGTAACAATCACAGTCATGAGGTTAGGACTCTTCAGCCTAGTTCCACAGTAGCTGCTTGGATCAAATTCTTCAATTTCTAAGACTTGACCTGTCAGAGTACTTGCAAGGATTGTTATGTACAGTCACCACATTTCAGATTATTAAGTTCTAACTGGAATATTTCATCAATATTTCATTCAGTAATACTCGTGTAACACTGTAAATGACCAGGTATGCATTCAGTGTCATGAATCTGTGCGAATTCTCAATTTCTTCGTTAGTATTTTTTAATGGGATCTTATTTTAGCATACTTAGCTAATATGAGCTTGCAACAATAAAGAAACATTTTCTTCAGCATTCAAACCAGACGTGAAAGGTAAGATAAGCCTGTCTGAATATCATGAATTTTCCGAGTGTTCCTAAACAGTTCAAAAGATTTCTAAACTAGATTTCCTATGAATTTGATCTATTAGCAAATCTGTTGCAGTAGGCAAAGTCACTATGTACTAGTAGATTATGTTCATTTTGACTGAATTCATGAAGGTCGAGAGCTTTTGAAAATCAGGCCTCTAGCAAATACCTCTCCGAAATGCCTGTGTAACGATGCTGTGCACGTCTTTGGATTGTTGCTTGTGTGGCCCCTCCACATGTTTAAATCTCATCTTAACAGTTTTGGAGCCATTTCCTTCAACCAGCCAGTACATTAATACCTCAACACTACTTTCCATAAATTCAGCCGCCTTATTCAGTTTTATGAGCCTATATTTTATCTAGCTGCTCTGCACAACAAATGCCTATCAGGGCTTCAGGAATAGTAGAATAAATTTTTTTAAAGGTGGAATTCAACCATGAAAAAAAGAGATCATATTAAGCAGAAAAAAATGCCATGAATGCAGCAAATGTGTTTTCAATTTCTCATTTCTTCTAAGGAAGCTGAAAGAGTCAGGGAAAATAAAAACCAAACCAACATTTTAACAGGCAGTTTGTTGGATTCCACATTAGAAAAAACCTTCACTTTGCAGGAATGTATATGAATCTTTTAATATTTGGTAACAAATATGCTGTTGACTGCTTTTTCAGTTATTAATATGTATTTATGGAGTTACTGGCAGCTGGCTTTTACCTATCCTTTTTGCTGTCTACCGTTTTCCCAACACCTTATTAGTATCAGGGGTTCAGGAAACATAATTGTTCAACAAAGAACACCACCCCAAATCTCACCTTTACTTAGATATTGCTTCTAAAAAAACCCCTATGATAATTACTGAGAAATCTGAGTTGTCTCCTGGCAGTCTGTTACAGAACTAATTAAAACTTATGCAATCAATGTGGATCATCACAGAAATGACCACTACGTACACAGGGCTAGTGAGCTACCTGAGGCAAAAAGTCAATTCACATCTGTCACCTCATTTTTAAGTGACTTTTCTAAGTCTTAGATTTTTCATAAACCCTAACCTATGCAAAATTTGTACAGACTATTTTTTTCAAATAAAAGTCATACAAAATGCCTTCTCCTGCTTGCACAACTAGCAATCTCCATAGGTCAGTGTTGTTTCCCTACATAAAAGTAGATTTAATAATGGGTAGTTGGAGGATGCTCTAACTCTGAATCTTTGACTTACTTAAAGAAACGCTGACCCTGACACTAGAAGAAAGGAGAAAGAATTTTTAAGTGCTCATCTAAATAGTAAACCCCAACTTTATTTTTTTACATGATTTCCTAGTATACATGAGCCCAGTTTCTAAGTGTAGCTGTTTAACAAGTCGACCATAAAAAGGCAACTTAGGAAACAGAATTCTTCTAATGCAGTTTTGTCATATACATTTTTTAAGTCTTAGGCCTGTAACAGAGAGCTCAGACTCAACCAACCTATTTCCTCTCTCCTTGAATCTAGCTTACTATTCCACATATTTAAATATTAAATTATATATATATATATATATATAAAACATTTTGTGAGGACACACTACATGTCTCCTTAAAATGTCAGTGATGCTACAGAGAAAGCAAAAAAAGCAGCTTTGCCAAATGTAATTCCTTTCTAGAAGTGCAACCAGATGACTGGATTTCTTTATGAGTGAAACACAATCTGGGCTGATCCAGGAAGATGCAAATGCCCAAATATAAACTATAGATTTCAGCTAGACCTCTGGTCTAGCAAGTCAGTAATGGCCCATTCATTTGCACCTCTGTGCTCCCTTGCATCTTACCATGATAGATGACACTGCATCATAAGAGTATTTGTTAGCACTTGTATTTTTCAGTCTTTGTTCCAATCAGCAGGCAGAAAATATTAGCTTAAAATTAGCATTAGCAAATGCAGAAAACTGTTTAAGATTCATGTACTGTACCTCGACATCCCTGCTTCTGGCAACTTCAGCAAAATTTTCTTGCTGTTCTAGAGTTTTATCCACCTTGTCGTCTGTCATGCAAAAACATCTTAACCGTGCTTCAATGGGATCATGTGATTTGGCAAACACCACAAATTTGGCCATGTAGGGGACGCAGATAATCTCTCTATACACTTGAGAAGCAAAAGTAACAGACTCTTGTGTCTGTCGGCAGTCAATTAACCAAAATCTGTAAAATAAAATGACGAGCTGAATAATCAACACAGAAAGATTTACACAACAAAGTTATAATTTTTCCATTGTGGCAGCACAACTGTCTCTGCATAGTGTGAGAACTGCCTACTGCTAGGGCACATAAATTACTAGAAACCTCAAATCATAGATATATATTGAATGTAGAACATTACTGAAGATGTGGATGCTGAAATTCATGTCTGAAACTTCAACTTCCAGTACAGGTCTCCTTGTGCCAAAAATGATCCAATTCTTCACTGAAGGCTACAGGAGCTTTAGCCTTTCTTTCTTTTCGATTCAGCCCAGAAAAACATTGTCCAGCAACAAAAAAAGGGTAGAATTTCTTTATACCTTTTTTAAGACAACTGAATTATTCTTTTGTAAAGATAACTCGCTTTCACTTAAAATAATTTTTAAAGATGATGAAGATAATTTTAGATAATTTTATTTTCTAAATCCCCAAACAGAAGCAGAAATGCATCACTCAATTCACAGTAAGTAGCATGTATCTCTGTCTTTCTCTGATATCTTATTTTGTTTCTCTCTGCAGCTGATGACATTTCTTTTAAATAAAATTCTCTTTGTGGGTGGAAAGTATGGTTGTGTTTGACACCTGTAGGATGGAGAAGGAAGTCATGAGAGGTCAAAGCCACCTCAGAAGCTGATATAATCTACAGGGAGCTTATCACTTACTGTAGATTACATGACGTTATAACATACAACACAAACCTTTCAAGTCTGATTTCTCTGGTCTTACTCATCTGCAGTTGAGTAATAGTACATATCGTGCTGTGCTTATCTGTAGAACTTTTAACAAACACACTGGTTAAAAAACAGAGCCTGATGGCGTTTGAAGAGAGAAAGCATGTTTGGTGCATGAAGGTTGTTGCACACTGATAGTTTACTTTCTTAGCATGCGGGAGAACTATGCTCTGCTGGACTCGAACTGAAGAGTCTACATTCTCTGAGAAATCACCTTTATGCTCAAATCATTTTTCTTGTACACAAGTGGCTAGGAAGCCAAAGCAGACACTAAATTAAAACAATAACAACAACAACAACAGGCACCACACAAAAAACCTTGCAGTTCAGGTAATGGAAAACATCTATGCCTCAGAGTCTGCATTTTAATTTACATGTATTTTAGACTAAAGTATCTGTTTCTCATGCACACTTTAGAAAAAATTTGTCTTACAAGCAGGGAAAAAAATCTGCATTATTACTGATTTAATTAGACATAGACACATTATTGTAACTAGCAAACAGTTGGGTACCAGCTGGTTCACAGCAGGGCACAAGGCTAAAAAAAATAAAAATGGGTAGATGCACTTTTAGATGAGGGCATAAGTCAAGAAATTCAAGTTAGTTTGTCCTTCAGCAAAGAGGGTAATTCTCTGACTGGTATGAAAAATCTAGTTTCTTCAACAGCATTTAGAATCACATTTGGGTTAAATATTATTGAACATGCATCTAGATAACAAAGTAGATGTGAAACTCATTGAAATTTCTAAATTAGACTCAGGGTACCTAACGCTACAATAATAATCAATTGTAATGCCATTAGGAAACACTCACTATTAGGGTCTCTAATGAGCTGTAGTTCTATAAATTGTCACCCTCGTTCTGGCTGTATTTCATGTGCAATCTGCTGGGGACTTCACAGTTTCAGAGATTTTGAACTCTCAGTCCCCAAATCTGGATCTTAAATTAATCTTTAATTTCTCCCTGTAGAACACTGCAGATGATAGCAGATGACAGTTAAAACAGTTTAAGATCTCCCTCTTGTGGCTGTAATTATTAAAGAAAAAATGCTTGACTGAAAAGAAGCGCAGGAAATGTGGATAAGCAAAGCACTGAACTTAACAGGCCAGAAGTTCTGAATTGGGAAGTCTAGAAAAATAAAATTACATTTTTCCTACTGTTACAGTTACACTGTAGATTGGATTGCAGGAGCTCAATTCATTTTAATGTAAAATATTATATATTTAATTAAATCTAATAGTAGTAACTGCTGTGCCCACTGAATGTTTACACTGAGGGAAATTAATTGCTTTTCATGGGCCTACTCCTACTTTCAAAGTTATCCAAGTTTCTTTTTAACAGTTTGCAAGATTACAAACCCTAAATTTAAAACTTTCTAACTTTAAAACTTGTAAAGTGTTCTCCAAATGTATTCTCTGTCATAGAGATTTTTTGGTAAAAATCATAGACACAGTAAAAACTAATATACTCTTTTAAAATAAAAACAATGAAATTCTGTTTGCCAGCTACCAGAAAGCCAGCAGTTGAATCTCATTACAAGAACAGATGGTTGGAATAGAATCTTCACGATCACAGTTTGGTACACCTACAAGGCTTTCTGCTCGATTTCTCATTTGTTGGATATGCTAAGAATCTTTTATAAAGTGTATAATGAGCTTCCCAAACAAGGCATTTTCATTTCCATGAAAATTTTCATGTTTCTGCATCTGAGGGAGAAGAGAGAATCTAAACCAAACTAGATTTTTCTGGTTATCTGAAAATTGACCTGTCCCTCAGATTACTATTTTAGAAAGGAGACCATGTCATTAATTCATTTCTGGGATGATGGCAGGTGCTAACTGAGATGAGAATGACATACTCATTAATTTCTTTCAGCTTGTATGGACTGTACTGCTGACAGCTCTCACACATCCTGCCTGGAGTAGGAGCCTTGTGGCTTCTAAAATAACTGGTCGGTTCATTCAGGGCACAGTCAAAATATCTATGCACCTTCAACTCTACCAATTGAAATTGTTTAAAGGAAATACTGAAACAAAATACAGAGGAAAAAGGACATGCATGTTAAAGTAACACTATAAATCTTGTTTTTATAGGTACCTGGCAGACACATTTGTTGTGAAGGAAACACATTCATTAACAAATGTCAGTGGTGTTGTTCCAGTGATGTCTTCCCATTGGGCAGGGGTGGTTCCTCCTGAAATGACAGTGGTGTTTAAAGAACGAAAAACAAGCAAGTCTCCAACCTTCTTGCTACAAAGGTGTAGCAAGCTAATTAACACCTCTGCTCTGGAATGACTCACTAGCACATCTTAGTGTGTAATGCACCTTAAAACACTGGAATCATCTTTGAAGTCAGTTTGGAAATTGACAAAGATGCTTGATGATAACTTTTAAACAGAATAAATGCATGCAGCTAATTGCTCCCTTTTGAATGAAACTACATATGGCATTAATCACTTCAAAGCAAAGTAAACGAAGTGTTTGACTCTAATATTTTTCCTCTGATGCACACTGCCACCTTATGTCTGTACCACACTTACTGTGCTAGGCAGAGCTTTGTTGGTACTCAAGAAACAGTAAGTGTGTGAGAAATGCAAACACCCCAACCCCAAACTGTACAATTCTGTAACGTCTCTCATTAGCCCAAACAACAAATTGTATTTCTACTATAAACTAATTGATTAGGAAGTAGTGTACTTTTACAGCCTCTCATCTCAGTCAGGTTTTCACAAAACTTTCCATGTGTATAATCAGTTTAATATATTTACCCCACAGTGACTCAAAATTTCAAGAAGCACATGAGAAGAGAAACCTTAGAATTTTCAACTTACCTGTTATGCTGCATAGTAACCTTAGAGTGGGTGTGTCACCTCCATAACCATTCATGATCCCATCACTGGAGGCCTTGGGGACAGGAATTGTCATCGTGATGGGTTTATGGAACTTCCTCCTCCTGGGCTCCAGTGTGACTATAGGACTGAAGGTAGCCTTGTTGCCCAAAATCTTCTTTATAAGTTCAGTATGCATAGGTTGAGCCTTTTCAAAGCAAAAAACAGTAAGAGTAGTAACTTGAAAACAGAGTATGTGAGAAACTGGATCTGTATATTGCTGGAAACGTTATAGCTGTTCCATTAGATGGCACAGTTTCCCTGCAAGTTGACAACTGACTGTCACAGAGAAAGGGAGTCCTCTATTCAACAATTTCTTACACCTCACTCCTCCTGTTCCTGTTGCCTTTCCTAGCACTGTCATCAGTACCAGTTTAATGCATTTAACCTATAGTAAATATAACCCTGCTGTTAGGTTGCTTTGTTTTGTTTTCTCCTGAGGACAAACTTTAAACTGTTTTAGCAAGCTACTCAGATTTTTAAAGAAGACTACAACAATCACAGTAGCCTGACCAAGGTAAACGGTGGATCCATTCAACAGCTTTAGCAGGAGGCAAGGATGTAGGTGGGGGGGTGTGGGAACCACCTCTCCTTTCAGTAGTGAATAACTTGGTGTTTCTTCTGAGATCATATAGATGGCTAAAAGACAAGAATCTGCATAACTAGAATACCCAAACCTTTATAACTTTGATTTTCGCAATGAATTTTAGTAAGCACATTGTAGGCAACAATATACAATACAATAAGCTGTATATGGGTGACTTTACAGTCTGAAAAAAAACCAACGCATATATCCTTCTAATTGTTTCATTGTACCTGGAGGCCAACACGAATTCGTTTGGTTAAAGCCCCTTCTGGGAAGACTGCCTGCACTTGTGGTACAACAGTGCTGCTCAGCACACCCCCCTCAGGTCCAATAAGGTTGCTGTCCTGTTTGATTCGAGACACCACTGCAAAGTACTGAGGGAAATCACGAGTGATGATGCGGCAGATACGTTTCTTCTCAAGCTCTTCTGGTGTGTCAAGTACTGATGCAAAAGAGAAGATGGTCAGGAAACAAGGTTTTCATAGAAGCAATACAGAAGATCCCAGCTGTCACAGTTTAACTAGTACTTACAGAAGTAAAATGAAACATCTCAACATTTTAAGCTCAGCTAAAATAGAGAAATCAAAAGAGGAATATACACATTCAACAACTAACTGAATGAAGCTTAAAACTCATAACATGTTGATAGCTTGCTCCAAATTAGCAGGCAAAGAAGCTAAGAGGAGGACTGGTCAGAGGCCTTTTCCACTTAATGTTATACTAGAGCTTGGACTTGCAGTAAGGACACAGAATTCTAAATCAAAGAAGTATCAGAGTATATGTGAACCTTTAAATATGCAAGTTGGCTCATTTTTATTAAAAAAAAAAAATCCATCAAAATTAATACCAATTCTAGGATCTGCAGGTCCTAGACAACCCCAGTCCATTCTGTTCTCTCAGTAAACGAGTACCCATGAGTGACAGTTCCTCCCACACTTGTAGCTGCTTGGAAAGGATTAGTATGATAATTGCCTTGTTTTGGAAAGATATTTGATATGGGAGCTTTTTGTTTAAAACTGTGAAAAGAAGCAGGAAGATATATAACTTTAACATCTATTTTCAACTTTACGATGAGTAGATTCAGTCTACTTCAGTAGACCATGCAAGAAAAGCAGTGCTTCTGCTAGCAGTGTTCTAAAAAATGATTGTACTCCAGTATGACTATAGCAAAGCATCTGGAGTGTATGTCAGAAGTTCTCAGAGTAGACTAAACACGAGGTGCAAAACAGAAAAGATGGTAAAATGTTATTGTTCCCAGTAACAGATGTAGTAATGCAGGAGCAGAGGAAAAAAAAAAAAAAAAAAGCATCACACTGGATACCTTCATCCATCCCATTCAAGATTTCATTTAGTTCATCCTCAGTGTATTCACAAAAATGTTCCTTCCAGCTGTCCCCGTTCTCACTGCGCAGGATCACCAGTTCTCTCTCTTTCCCACGCAGAGCAGCAAAATGGGGAATCTCCACAATCACAGGCCTGGCACAGCAACACAGCGCATTAAATGCACACGGGAGAGAGGAAGAAACAGGATTAACAGCAACTCTATTCAGTCTGCTACAAAGTGACCTGGAATTCTACCCATTCACTGGACTACTTTTGCATAATCCTAAACTAAACATCACTAACACACATTAGATTTTCACAGGGACCCAGTAAATGCTGAAGGACAGATTCAAAAGTGCATTCACCTCTTTCCACAGTGTGAATGGTATTTGGCTTAAAGAGAAATTTGAGAATTGTTTTGCAAATTTGTTCAAAACTCATCCTCATTTTAGTTGTCACTACTGTCTGGGTTAACCTGTGCAACTTCATTTCAAAGAGAATCTACTGTAATGCATATCAATAGTGGGACAAATTCTGATCTCACTTATAGTAGTGCAAATCAGAATAACTTCATTGCAATCAGTGGGCAACTGTGTCCTGTGTCAATTTTACTTTAGTTGTTCTATAAGTTCCAATGAATTTATTCTGGATTTGCACTCTGGGAGGGAGAAAGGATGTCTGAGAAGATAATCTAGGTTTCTATTTATGAACAGGAGATAAGAATTTGCCTTGTCTTACAAGCATATGTCAATATAGGTATCAATATATGTGTGTATATATATTTATATGTATCAAGTAAATATACACACATGTGTACATACAATATATTTATAAGCACATAAAAATACATACTCTTGAAAATAAGAGAGAAAATATAAATATATTTGTATATACAGTTCTCTAATTAGAGTACCCACACAGGTTACCATGTACATAGCAAGTGTCATCTGTTCTATTATACTGGTGGTATTTAACATGTATCTTACTCCTTAGTACTTGAAAAAAAAAATCCTAAATTTACAGTAGATTCTTTTTCTTGGTCACAATCCAGGTTGCTTTGCTACAGACATCAAGCACATAACTAGAAAGATCTCATGCCAAAACAAAAATGAAGGCCACAGTGCTTTAAGAAAAAGATACAAACATACCACTAAAACAAAACCACATACCACAAGGGTCGAAAATGATCCACTAAGGGTTGGGTATACAAAATTTCAAATCATAGAAAGGGACAATATCATGTGCACAATGACACACACAAAAAAATCATATTGCAAAAGGAGAAGAATGAGGAGGTCAGCATCCATCAATTTGTTTCAAGTCTCTCCTACCCAAGGAATTTGGTCCCAGGAGGCCCCAGCTGAAGGATTCGGCTGACCAAGCTTTCTCCCTCATTAAGTGGGGGAGGAGCCGTAGGCAGATGAAGTTTACTGAGTACATCCAAAGCAGCAGTGAAAGAAAGAACATAAATAAACTTTATGTATTTTTTTTTGCCAGAATGCCAGTGCCACTGTCTGATCCACAGAGTGGAATTAGGCTCTACACTGAATAAGGTTCCATCCTAGAGATGCCAATTTGGTGAGCAAAATCAGCAAAATGTGTTTAATTAGTTTAGGATCTCTTCTTGCTCCAAGAAAACAATGGGAATTTTTGCAGTGAACTCAATGGGAACAGGATTTGTATCTTGCAATGCATCTCTGCAGTCAGTACAGTCATTTCCTGATCTCGCTGTCAGTACAACATATACAAAAATGCTTTCAGGGAAAGCTCTGAGAAAGAATAACACCCTGCTGTACCCCAATCTTTCAGATGAGACGTTCTCGTTAGACAGAAAAACCATTAAAAAGAAAGTAGGAGAGATAGTCAAGGTTGTTTTATGTGTGGGAAGACTAAATGTGACAGCACAATATTTCTTCTGCTCTTTAGATTTTGTTCTGCTTCTTTTTAAAAAATGACCAAAGAGTGAAACAAGTAAGGGGTACAAAGCATCTCATTAGCACACTTGTTTATTTGTGATATTAACAGGTATCCTAGCTGTGAAAAGAAATGGCTGGCTTGGTCTTCATATTAAATTCTCAGGTGCTCCAGAACTGCTTTTGCTTTCTTATCAGATTAGAGCAGCAATGAAGTGGTCAAAACATGCCTTGAGTCTGTTCTTCATTCACACTACATATAAAAGCAGTGGGCAGTTAAAAACTACTAATCAACTTTTTTTCTCTGCTTAATCTCAATATTTCAGAAAAATCATTAACAATGATAGTGGCTCTGATAGCTGCCTATTACAACAGCATTTTAAAGCAACTGATTTATTTTGATGACTTTAAACCATTGCAGTTTATAGGGTCACTTTTTTCAATTTCTGAATGAGGTTGTTTTTTACTGTAATAGTAGGGGTTCTGTTCCTTCGTCATCCACTCTTGGATGCCACAGCTGATATGGAGAATATTTAGTAAGACAAATTAAAAAAAAATATGGGTAATTACTGCTTTCAGCTGAAAATTGCTAAAACAAGTTCTGCAGCTGACACAAATCTGATCTTTCTATGGTTTTTGCAGCATAGGACAAAATAAATGACCTGGAATTCTGTGGTTGTCCTATTACTTAATTTAGCAATTTCAAACCTAGAAAAATCAAAGGTACTGTGCTTCCCTGATAGCCCAAACTTCTGATAACACAACACAAGCTTCTCAGATATGCAGCTGTAACCTGTGTTGTATTTGAAGCAGGCTTCACATCAGTGCTGTGCTATTCACACCTAATAGGCAGATTATTTAATTATTTGTTAGTTTGAACATATTTAAATATACTATGAACAGCCTTTTCTGGCTGCAAAGGGATTTTCCCACTAAAATATTACAACACTTACTTAGTAATAATTAAGTCCAGGAAAGCATTTCAACTTTAGTGCAAGAGGTTTAAAAAATCAGTTTGCAAAGGAAAAGGCTTAAAAAAAACTCTGTGCATTGAAAACTAACTGAAGACTTGCATTTCACACAAGCAGTCTGTTAGCATATATCAGAATAATCTTTTTCTGTTCAAATCTTGGAAGAGGAATCATTTCAGTGCAACTTGCAAACATGAAAACATACCAAACGTTTTCCTTTAGGCCACATGGCACCCCTTACCCAAGAAACTGGGCCCCAGATGGTCCCACTTCGATGAGACGGCTGGCCAGGCCTTCCCCTTCCACCATGGGAGGCATGGTGGCCAGTCTGTGACGTTTCACCAAGCGGCAGGTCACTCGTGTTGGAGCAGTGCATTTCCGCGGAGGAATAATAATTCTCAGTCCGTTATGTCTGCAGCCCCTCATGGCACCCCCACGAGCATCCACCATGAAACTAACTAGGAAGCTGAAAAATCAGGAAAAATTATTAGATTCAAAAGCATATCAAAATGCCCTGTGATTATGTTTCACATACGTAACAAATACAAATACAGCTCTCTCTCTAGGAACGCATGATTAGAAAAAGCCTTTCTCCCATGTGAAGCGCTAAAGCATGCTACGATCACTTGTTACTTAAACTGACAACTAGCATCTAAGAGTTCTCCACAGAAACAGTCTTACATTACATTGCTGCTGTTGGTAGAAGTACCAGCAGTTACTGATAGATGTGTGTGAGCTTTGGGGCGTTGGAGTGCACACAGCATTCTTGTAAGTACTTTACAAACTAGTATATCTTAAAGTAATTTATTTATTAAAGCAAGTTCTGAACGATTTTCAGATTAAATTCTCCGATTAAAAAAAAATCAAATTTCATTCTAGAGTGTATGGACGCAGCTCTTAGCAAATTACTGAAGCTATCACCGATTTATGTCAAAAACTTCGTTTCTTTAATTTTAATCTCTTATAAGAAAGAACTTTTCCCTTAAAAATAAGATTGCTGATAAATATGTTTTAAGGTAGGAGAAAGCACTACAAAAAAAAAAGTGACTCTTTAACACTAGGTTTAGAGACCTCATTTTTTTTTTCCTTACCCTGTGGCAAGAGATTATTAAAAAAAGTTAGGAAATTACAAATAAATTATGAAAAAATAATGGTGGAGAAGATGTAGAACCAATCAAAATCTTTGATTTATTAAAGAAATAATCCTCCATGCCATTAAAGAATGAATTTCAAACAGGAGTGGGGATGGACTGACAGCATGTCATTATCACTTGAAGACAAATTCGGATTTTGTTGAGCTGACAATGGCTGCCAGGTATTATATAGGAGTTTTACTTATGGATTTTTGTCTTTTTGTGCTACTTTGCACATCAATACTATGTCCCAGTGGAAACCTTATAGCTACAGGCAGTAGCACAAGATAAATTCTTATATCTTTTTCTAAAAAGAGATAAAACCATGTTGTGGAATTTCTTACTGGCTGAACTTCCTGTAGTTCCATATATAACCAAGAGATAGATTTTGAAAGATGTGCTACAAAGATTAGGGAAATTCCTGGGAAAAGTATAGAATTTCTTCAATTTTTTTTACTGGTATATGACTTGGAATCATTCCTGATGCAGAACGGGAATGTCAGGTTGCTGTAAGTGAAAATTAGAGTAGATGAGACAGAACGATATCAGGCCTACTTCTAGACACTAAAATAGAATCACCACAGGGGGAGTCGCAGAAATGCTACTGAAGGACCTGCAATAGAGAAAAGCCCTTATAGTGTGAGTTACAAATACAGGTATTTTTCCCACTGTCCCCTTGACCATTCTGTGCAACAAACATTGCATCCGTTCAATATCCACACAGCTACAAGTAATTTCACATGCTGTAAAAACACAACACTCAACACACACCGTGCAAGTCAGAAAAATGGATGATGGGAAGGAGCCACAAGTGCCAGTCAGAAGCACACCATGCACCATGGATGCCAGTCTTTCTCACACATGCAGTCTCCTATTCTACTGCCATTCATATACCTCTAGGTTTTGTTAAGTGTAAAAGTCTGGGTAGTACAACCATTATCTCATTCCTTAGAGGTTGGTGTTTCTGTGGTTTTAACAAGGGGGAAAAGAAAGAAAATGAAAACATTTTATGGCTTTGATTCTCTGGGGATTAATTTAGAAAAAATGGGAGTTTCCTTCACAAAATACATACTTCATACATTTTAAAGCACAGATGAAAGAAGAGCTTAACAGATACTAAATGCTCAATTGTTGCAATAATGCTCTGTAGTTTGCATTGCAATTTTCCTTTAACTGTATGAAGTGGTGTCAAAGTGTTTTGAATTGTTTCAGAGAATCGCTCCAATTCTCTATTATAATGGATGCTTTAATAACACTGAGTTCTCAAAGAAGAGATTCACATTTCGGTGCTAATACTATGAGCAACAGAAATACTACCCCCCTAATTACCAGAAGCTGATGAGTACACTTACTGAATTAAACAAGCATTCACATTTTTGATTGTGTAAGCTGTCAGGAATACAGTCTTTGTGATTCATTTATTAGTCATTATTGACATAATACTCAAGATGGCATACATTAACAGGATCATCTTCCTTTTCTGTCCATCACTGAAAATACCAGTGCTAGTTCATTTCTCTGTCTTATGTCCACCTCAACTTATCTCCCTGTGGCTCAGCAATGCCAAGAACACTGCTGCTAGAACACTTCATTGCTAGAAGAATACATACACACAAAAGAGAAGGGTCCAAAGCTAATAATCTAATAATCTCACTTCTGACCATAGTAATGGCTTCTGTTCCTTATAGTATGATGCTTTTTTTCCTCTGCACCACTCAGACTTACTTAAAGACGAGCAGAGTGCAGGATCAGTAGTGCTTTCTCACAAAGCACATATAACACAATCCAGATAACTACCCTATGTAGTGTATGACCAACATAAAAGCTGGATCAGGAGTAGTCTTTAAATTCAAACATCAGTAAGAGCCTGGTATTTAATTCCCCCCTCCAGTAATAACCCTGTGTTCCCACGCTGCAATACTCATAATACAGACCAACTAAAAATCAAACACGGCATTTCTCTTTAGTACACTCTTGAGATGTAAAGCGATAGCTGTGTGTGTTCAGTCTTTAATTAAAGTTGCAACTATTTATTTCAGTTTAAGTTTACTGAATTTGTCTAGCAGCCAAAGCACATCAGAGCAAGGTCTCTCAGTTATCTGCCATTGAAAGCAACTAGCACTTCAAAGAGTGGAAGAACGGGCGAAGGTCTCTCGAAGTAGGACACAAAGATAATAATGATGATGAGAAAAAAAGTCAGATATTATTTACTATAAAAGCAGCTGTTTCTATCATACAGAATATCTAACATATTTAACAAATAACAAGATAAAATCTAGCAAATGTGGAATGTTCATCACAGTATATAGCAAAAAATATATTTGTACTGTATCTCTGAAACAGACCCCCAGATGAAATGGGAGATTTCTGAAGGGTTCCGTGGCTTCTGGCTATATAGCAAATTCAGGCAAACACAGCCTAGTGTGAAGACAGCAGAGGAGGAACGGTGCCAATTATCATACAAAAAATATGCAACAGCTAGTACACAAAAAGCAGCTATTCACCACTGTGAAATTTGAGGCAAACTGATTTTGAGGAACTAGGAAGAGATAGCATTAACACAGTAACAGCCAGAAAGCAAGCAAAGGGGAAAAAGTTCCCAGTTCAACAAGCCACATCTTAACAGTCTGAAAAGACAGCATACAGCTGTAGGATTTCTAGAGCTGGCAAGAATGTGGAATTATATTCTTTTTTGCCTTTCCACCCTGTTTCTTAAGTTTTTGCTGAACTCATTTTTTTTACCCATTTATTTAGTCCAATTTATTTTAACCTTTTAAATTAGCACAATCCACATTGGTTTGGATATTTATATGCAGTAGAGTTAAGAAAATAATTTATAACAAAGTATTTTCTGAATCATAGCAGCATCCTTTTCCATTTACTTGCTCTATAGAAAGGCATCAGGACTGTGATGTTACTGTTCCAGGACTAGAAAGTCTTTGTTTTGAGGGACTGTGTGTATCAATATCAAAGATATTCATACAAAACTGTGGATGATATTAATAAAACACACTTTCTGAAACACATGTGAGAGTGGAAAAAAAATATATGACTAATATAAAGAAAAATTAATATTCAGATTAATTATTTGCTCCTTCCTCACTATTTCTTCTCTCCCTAATGTTTCTTCTACCAGAAGTAAAGTGGCAAGACAAAGGTAGGAAGAGATTCTTACTCAAAAGAAGAAACAAAACCAGCAGGAACACTAGCAGATATTAAGCCACCACTGGAATTAGTGGTACTTTATCATGGCAAATTTCTAAGGTCAAAAAGAAAATAATAAATAGTACTGGAGTACGAAAAGCCCTAACACCATATATATACTTCTTCTGGTCATGTGAGCTGGACATTGCAAAAAAAAGTTACTTTGGACTAAACACGAAACTTTACTTCATCGCCCAACTGCAGAAAGAAGAAGTACAAGCATCTGTGTACAGAAAATGAAGATCAGAGGGGTGCTTAAAATGAAACACAAATGGTTGTGAAGAGCCCAGAAGAAAAATACAAGAAAGAAAAAATGTTAATAGGATTAAAGGGCATCAGAAAGCTCTTACAGACTTTCACCAGAAAAGGAGAGGAAAATGGCATTCTGAGAAAAATTAGGCAGATGTATGCTTTTATGATAATCTACTGTAGTTTTAAAAGTTAGAAGAAGGTAAGATAAAAGAGAAGATAAGAAACAATAATAACAACAACTTACAGGAACTCCACAGAAATACAATAGCTACAATTTTCAGAAGGGCTTAAAATGGCACAGTAGAGGAAGGAAAACATTAGCAGGGATTAATACAGTTAAGGAGAAATGAGGTAAAACTGAGCAGATGGAAAACAATATAAATAGCAAAAAACATTTGGGCAGTTGAAAATGTTCCTGTGAGTCATTTAAAAGGCAGCCAAAATCAATGAACTGATTGATCAAGCCATAGAACAAATTGTCATGTAACCTTCATCAGAAAAAGTCTACTTTAGAGCACATTTTAGATGTCTTTCCATTGATAGCTAGATACTGCGGAGGCATCCTTCTTAAGCATTAACTTTGAATTATCTTGACAACTCATTGCAAAAAATGGATTTTAACTAAGTGATAATTCAAAATCAAAGCCAATTAAGGGTTAAAGTGGAAGAAGTTAAAATCTGTGTGTCAGAACAAGGCAAAAACGACACGAGCTTTGTCACTACTTGAAGTCAAGACAGACTTACTCAAAGTTTTCATTTCTGACAGCTTTAAAGGTTGAGATAGAAATGATGCGCGATACAAACATCATATTTACGCAGTCTTGCACATGGGACTGATACTGAGCTTTCCTGTGACTTAGCAAGGTGGAAGTGAAAATATTAGGGCTTTATATAGCCAAATCAATGAAACAAATTACCTTTGGGGAAAATATTGCCTTCTCTCTTTTAAAGAGAATGAAGGAAAAATCAGGATTTGAAAAATAATAACAAAAGCAATTCTCTTCTAGAAATAATTTATAGACTGCAAGTGATGCTACACATCTTCTGGTTAGCAGTTAATCAAGCATTACCCATTCACCTCTAATTTAGCTATACCTACTAATAAATAGTACAGACCAGTTAATTTCCTTTAATTCTAAAGCAACTAAACCTGGCAAATACACTTGGCATATGTCAAGCAATGTCATACTGCTAGTTATGGACATATGGAAAAGCCCCCTATATCTTTCAAGCCTTCTATAACAAAGCAAACATCAGTGAGTTTTCTGATGGCTCCACTTGAACAAAACACAATCTATGCATTGGATTTATCCACCTCATACTGACAAAAATTACTGTGATTTCCAGTAATGCGTAAATTTTTGTATTTCACATCCCATCCTGTGTCATTATTCCCTCTCCCATTTTTATTCATATGGAATTAGCGCAATCTTATTTTGTATCTATGCTCATTTAAGGGATAGAGGATTACAAACAAAAGATGGATATGTCAACACTAGGGTGAGAGAAGACAGATACTGTGTGGTTTTTAAAGAACCACTTATGTAAACAGCTTTGCAGAAGAGTCACGCTTCTAGGTAGCTGTAAATGCAAGCGTGTTGGCGGCACTCAACACACTTTTCACTCTGCAGAATCATTTGAAGAGCCATGCAAATCTAGCAATATGAAGTATCTTTCTAGGATAGGCAGCAGTTCTAATACACACAAAATCAGTATAGGCAAACTCAATATACCATTTTCATATGCTCAGTTCAGATATGATTATCCTTTAAACTAACTAAGCAGGCATACATGCTCTCATCAGGTAGCAAGATACAGTCAAAAAGCTACAACTGGAGCACATCCACTGTAGGCACATTTGAGAACTTTCACGTGTATGTTATCTTAATTTTATCAAAGACAGTGGGAAACAAGGAGATAGCAGCATTCAGTGTAAGTCGCAGTGAGAAGCAGAAACAGACATCAGGGTGCTTCAGCCATTGTAAAGTGTTCAGCTGGAGAAGAAAACCCATAGAACTGAAACTAAGAGAAAAGGCCTCACTCCAGCTCTCACTGAAGTCAACAGCAAGTTAATCGACTACCTCAGTGTGCTTTTGATCAGGCTGCAGCTATGCCATGTGTAAACAAGGCAAAATACACATTTGAGGAGGACAAAAAACATGATTCTACACAAGAATCCACTAGAAGTAATAACTCTTTGCTGCATTTGTCAGCTCTGGAGAGATTGAATGACATCACCTAAAAACATGGTTCTGTAGTTTGGGATTTTATTTAGCCACTTAATTTCGCATAGCTGAATATTTTTGAAATCTTATGCTTTTTCCATGATTATGTTAAAGGAGATGAAATTTTCTGTCAGTGAACAACTTGTTTGCTAAGTGAACATAATGGGAAATTACCGCTTCAGGTCTCCGTGCAGGAAGTGATGTGTCAGTGATAAAATCACTGCTTAACACAGAAAATGCACTTGGTATGAACAATTAAAAATATGGAATCCAATTTCATTTCTTTCAAATACAGCACTGCTATTCTACTGGTTCCAACAGGGTGGCATAATTTGGAAGATATGGCATAGGAAGTGGTTCTGCGACATTCTTTATAGAGTGAAGAGAAAAAGCAAAAGCCAACTTTGTGAAATGAAATTTGATACTAAACCTATTTACAGTTTGTCTTGCATTTTTTGTGGGTTTTTTTTTTCCCTTTCTTTTAATAATATTCATCCAGATCATTGATAAAGAAAACTTACTGTTAATTAAATCAAGGGTTAAAACAAATTAGAAATGCATAGGAAGTTTGACAAGGCTGTTTGCAGACCTGTAATGTGCCCAGCATTTTCTCATAAAGGATATAACAGCAGATGGGAGAAAGTAGATGCTCAGTCACAAGAGAAATAGGTCCATGTGTAACTGTTATAGACAGAGAGGGTTTTTTTTTCCTCGTGTCTAATGTGCACTATCAAAACACTAAAGCAGCCTGAAGTGAGGTAAGAGAGAAGGATAAATATGGCAGATGAGAGGTGCAACATGTTAAAGAAAGAAATTATACAGAAGTTCACCTGCTGTTGTCATGATCAAGACATGGAGAAGAGCATCTGCAACAGAATAGATGATTTAACATCAAAAAAGTAAAGAAAAGAAAAAGTAAATGAGTTAAATAAAATACTGAAATACTGGAAAAAATGAAACAGATTTCTAAATTAAACACATGAATATATATACTGCATGCATATTCATTACAGGTGAGAAAGTAGAAGGAGGTATGAAAAGTAAGGCTACATAAACATCCTTGGTTACAAATGATTACTACTACAACAGTAGTAAAGCTAAAATGCTCTGCTTTCTCTATATACATTCTCAAACTGGAAGTCAGATACATAAAATGTAAAGTTAGAATCTGAGTAAATCTTTCAGAAACAGACTATAATTGGTGTCTGTAAACACATTTAAATTTGGACCACGATATATTAAAAGTATGTGTCTAGACTGTTTCCAGGCAGTGTTTCTAATAACACAGGCAATCATGATTTTCTATTCTTTTAATTCCCTACGTATGTAATCTGTTGTTCCTTTTCAACATGTTTATTGTCCTCCTTTTGTTCTCCACTACAGGATGACAAATTTTAAACTTTCACTTTGACCGGTTTAGACTCTTAGTAATGTGTTATAAGGTCAGTTAGTATTCTGATGTTGCTTGTTATCATCTGTATCTCTATTGTATTTTCTTCCATTGACAGAGATTTTCTGTTAATGAAATAAACCCCATTTTACTTTATTGTGACTTCCTGAATAAGGCTAGAATACAATTTGAAATCATTTAGGTTTTCAGATTTTAGAAATGACTATCAGCTGGTAGCTGCCAGGTCCTGTTTCCATAACTATTTCTGGGAAATGAATGTCACACTGGGGAAACAATATTATGGATTCAAAATACAACACTCAAAATATATTTTGTTTACCTTGTTAGTAAGGATCCAGTCTCCTTTTTTGCAGACAGACAGCTAAGAATGATAATTCACATTATTTGTCACAGTACCAGCTACCAACTCCCTTGTCTTTCTCCCTTTTTCATTGATGGAAGAAAAAACTTCCAGAAAGGTAAATTTAATAATAGCCCAGCTATTTAATTTTGTCAGATATAAATACTGATACACTTGAAACACCTATTAGTCAAATACGTTAACAACTCCTTCATCAAATTAAGAAAATAAAAACAGTATTTTTCATTAAATAGGCGTTTTATTGCAAGCAAATTAAGAGCTGGAAAACATTTAGTGCTACTGTGTATCTTGCTCCAGGACATGGAAGCAAGCTAATATCAGCGCAACATCAACACAAAGCTCCTCACTCCCACTGCCACATTTCTGACAGCATGACAGATCTGCCTTTCTTCTTATCTACAGTATCTTTATGTATTAGCCAGGAAAATTCTTAGAATCTAATCTACAGAACTAAACTGGGAGATGTTCACTGTATCACCAGAACTGAAGAATGAAAACAACTTAATTTTGCACGTTACATATACCTGAAAAATCTTACACTCAGTCTTATCTTTACCATTTACACTTAGCTACTGTGTGTGATAGAGACCTAAGAATACCATACTGACTGACAAGAAATATCTAAATGCTGCAAGTGAAAAGAAACCATTCAGTTCAGCATTTTTTTTGCCTTCCAAATTAATGAAAATATTATGTGCTCTTGCGCAGTAGAATACTGTGAGGTATCAGATTAAAACTGTGAAGCATATTTGCATTTATGTAGGTGTTAGTTCTGTCTCCCATAATGCTTCAGCAGGAAATTATGCATAACACTCCTTTCATTACCAGCGGAGTGATAAAATGCCACCTTATTGAACATTCAGCATCCAATCTTCCTGGTACGAAGACAAATCCTTACCTTTGCTGAATTTGTAAAATCAGATAGTTTTATCAGAAGTAAATCTGATTTGCTAAAAGGAAGTTTAAATGCAGAAATTTGTACATTTTCCTTAATCTAACACATTAAACTATTCAGAAGTGGTTAACTGTGTAAAAATGACTAGGAAATGTTTATGTTGAGACAGTGGGCACCAAGAGTGTTTTACATTTAATAAGAGAATTGTTTTATTGTTTTTGAAATGGCTGCCAAAGACTCTGACCAAGGATTTTGTCTTTCATGTCATACTGATGAACTCATCAGCATACTGAAACAACAGTTACATTTAAGTTTTAAATGGATAGTTGAAACTTTTTCCCCTTCAGAAATATCAGACCTAGGAGAAGCTTTGGTTAGTTATGCAAAAATTGAAACATACACCTGTGAACTTTCATACCCAGAGAATAGTTCTAAGTCTTTTTGATTGGATACATTACACTGTGATCCACAGAAACACTTCCCTACAATAGGAGGTTGGTAAGAACTCAGCAATTTGGAGTTAACCACTGAAGTAGTGCAAGGAGAGAATATCAATTTTCTGTCAGATTGCAGAGAACACAAGACAAAGATAATCTGTGCCAAATAAAGCTTTGTCCAATACTTTGCTGATGTGTTAGTTCATCAAAAATGTGGTCTACATCCAATACATTTCCAGTGTCTTGAGCAAAAGCAAGGGCATACTCTTGCTTAAACCTATTAGCAATGTTTATATAGTGTTTCTTTTCTGGCATGCACTACTTCAGTGCTTGTACCCAAAACATAAGCAATACTGCTTGTTCCTAATAACCTATCAATAATAGTGTGTATCTAAAGAAGTGTGTAGGTGATGGAAGGAATATAGATGACAAATAGATCTGCTTTCTTCCAGTTAAGTGACTGCAACAATCATGCACTCCATTCTTCTACAATAGTTTCACTTTTTAAAAGGGGTCTTACAAGCATAACTCTAGTAGGCAATCTATTTTCGTATAAAAGATGCAATCCAGCAGTTTTTGGTACCTTGAATAAATCTAACATGATAATTTTGATAAATCTAAGTCAGATAAAAATGAAGTGTTGTACAGCCTTTTCCAAAGGCTGAGTAATTGTTAATATAGATTTCTTTATTACAGTATTTAGAAAATATATGAAAAAAACATAATTTGTGTGGTGCTGAACTTCACTGTTGCATACAAAAATGCAGAGAGTTGTTGCTCTTCAAATCAGATATTCTTACCCTAAGAGCCCTAAAATGATCTAAACTGCTAACATTTTTTTTGATCATGAAATAAATTTTACTCATCTCGAAAGAGTTCATCCTCTGCAATCACTAGAAAGACCTACCTTGCTGTAACTGAAAAGAAATACATCCTTTGGAAAAAGGCTGTAAACCATTTAGAGTTAGAATAAACACAAAACCAATTTTAAAGCTTATATCTCAGCATTGATAATAACATGTATACTGTACAAGCTAAGCATAGTCACTTCATGTGTTAGTTATAGAGCTCAAAAAGCATATCCAAACAACACTGGCTACATCCAAATATCCTACTACCAGCTAACAAACTCCTCATATATGCCATAGATCAGTCAATTTGCACTCTCAGTTATGACAACATTGTTCCTCTTCTAGCCCAGAACTGCCTGCTATTCCAGATGGAACTCTAGTATTATCTTTGAAAGATATGGACTGCAAACTAATTTGATATTAATGCAAACTAATTTGAGATTAACAAAAAATCTTTCATTTTGTGATGTCCAGCCATTCTGCATACTACATAGCTCCACAGAAATATTTTTGTATTGCATGTTGGTTACTAACTCATCTGCACATCTCATCAAATTTCTTGGCACAAGTATCAAACTCAGTGTAAAGAATAAAATTACTCCAAACACAGTAAGCAAGAGAACTTAAATGCATGCACAGATTTTGAGGCCAACCATGATAAGCATAAACAGTTGTGAAAACATTTGTATACAGTGGCCAAATATGCGTAAACCATGTAATGTTTATTGTGCTTGTCTATTACACACTTTGTGTACTTTAAAGTCCTCTATGTTTTTGTTGTTGTTGTTTTGTTTTTAATTAATTATTCTGACAAGCACTAGAGTTTGTGTTTACATATTTTATTAGCACAGAAAGTATTTTGCCACCAAGACTGATGAGCCCTGTGGCTTCAGTTATTACTAACTCTAAAAATGACTTTTTCCCATAAAACTCACACAGATGCACATGTGTATGTGATAATTGTCGTATTCCTCTGGAACTTGACAGAAACCTAACCTGCAGATTTCAGTGATTTCAGTGGGTAGGTAGTCTTGGTATTCAGAGTTGCCAGAACTTAAGTGATTGTAACAATTTATTGACTTCCCTAGGAGAGGATGAATTAAAAACAAACAAACAAACAAAAAACAAACAAACAAACAAAAACCTCTTAGTTAAGAATCTGTTAAAACTACTGCCATTGCAGGTATTCTGTTTCTTTTTCCCTTTCTTTCTTTCTCTCTCTTTTTTTTTTTTTTTTTTTTTTTAATTTTAAGACAGTACTAATTGATACACTTACCCTGAATGAATGGGGCTGGAAGAAAGAGCCACATTATCCAAGTTTTCAGGCCCCCAGCTTAAGCGATATGAATTCCTTTCTGCTTCTTTGGCCAGAGTAGTTACCTTGGTAAACCAAAAAAAATGTGTTGTTTGTTGGTTTTTACTACAATAAACACCATTAATCAATGAAACAATAAGAAGATGCATTTTGCATAGTACTACCTGCAGTGCTTGAATTCTTTTCAGAAGTAAACAAACTATAGTAGCAAAATAATATTAGAAACCCCTTACTATAAAATTTTACACTTGCCCAAAGTAATCATTTCTGTTAGTGGTCCCACTGAAATAAACACTGTGATTTATCAAAGTGGCATTTCCTAAATAATTTTTTCTTAACTTAAGGTATGCTTCAGGATTATACATTTGAGGACAGCGGCTTTGAGTTATCAGACCACTCTTGGGCCCAATGGCTATTAGTGTGGTAAAATGGAGAACATTATTGTCTTTGTCCTATATTCATACAGCACAGTCATTTATTTTGGAATAGAGCTTCATATTGCATAGTATAATATGACATTAAGTATCAACTGCAAATAAAGAGGTTTATATTACAAAAGATAAAGCAGCACACACTCTATGTTCTCTGTACAATTTGAACAGTAATTTTTGTGTATTTCCGTATTTGCCCAAACAAAGTGTGAAGTTAAGAGAATGTGCTTACCTGCTGGCTAGGGATTACAACAGTGTCGTCAATCATGGCACTGTCCCTCAGATAGGAGGCATGGCTCAGTGTGTGAGACCTGTCTGAACTGAAGGATCGCAGGCTGGTAGGTTGGTAGGATGCCATAGCAATAGATCAGCAGTACAGATGATGTTGCAAAGGTGTGATGATAGATAAAGTGGGAGAATGAAAAAAAGCGTGCAATTAGCAATATGATGCAGCTTCCAGGGGGAGTATATAGTAGTCATGAGAGGGGAAAAATAGAGCTTTAAGCTAATAGATGCTAACAGCTAATAGAGCTGTTAAGCTGTTTTTCTGACCAAAGGCCACAGAGCATTCTGACTGACTTTTATTCATTTTGAATGCAGAACCTAGAGATTAATCTAGGTGATTTACAGTTGACTTTATATTCACAAATGCTTTATACTTGGCTTTGTGGCATGATTATTTCCTTAATTAAAAGAAATACAAATTCCTTTTAAATAAGGCTCTTTGGAAGAGTTCACTCTCCTGCTACATACTGCAAGAAAAACAGAATGCTAAATCCAAAGAAAATCTGAAATGACACTTTCTAGAGCTTAGTTATGATCTACTCTAACCCCATTAAAATTTTAAATGAGTAAAGCTTGATATTGTCCCCTGGAAGGTACACAAAGCAAGGTGAATTGTGGCCAGCCACAAGCTTCTGCATAAGACAAATTCTTCCTCTGTATGCCAACAGCATCTTTAGAGGCAATCTGAATGTCAGCACTGTTTTCTCATTAAGTACATACAGCTCCACAGAAAACTGGTTGCTGTAGCAATAGGGGATGCAAGGCAGTAAATAAGCTGCTTCCAAGCACTGGTTCAGAATTTAACTGCAGTATTCACTAGCAAAAAGCCAACAAGACAAATAACACACCACAGAAAGAAATACTGAGGTAAATGGAGTTTCTGCTATCAAATACCACTAGCTTGGTGTTCTATATGCATTCACTAGCAGGAGCATCTAACAGTGACTTTTAAGAGTGGATCCATCATCTTTAGATGACGTACGTGCACTTTGTAATATTGTTCTGTACTCTGATGAATGCAGTACATGTAACTAAAGGAAGTAGCCTTTTTTTCATGGCTTATACATCCATGAGTACTACTCATAATGACTAATGCCCTGGATCAGTACAGGAGGCATTTATTAATGGGATAATTAATGGCAGGATAATTAATTTTCATCTGTTAGCAATAACAACGTCTCAATTACATTGTGGACTTGATATTCAAGTACTTAAATGCAGATCATGTAAGAAATCAGGTTTTACCCTCTGGTTCAGACCAATCAGCCTTTTGGAATAATAGCTAACTTCACTCCCCCCCCCACACACCTTCTTTAATCCTTTTTAGAAGAAAATGATAATGCTATTTTTATACAAATACCTAACCCTGAATGATTGACACTATTATGACTGGCAGACACCAATGGCCTACTTAGGATAACAGATGGACTATACAATACTGAAAAACAGATAAGCATTACACAAATATCAACCTTAGAAAAGTCTTGAGAAAAACAAAATTAATCAAGTAATGTCTTCTACATGTCATGTAATGTCTTTCCCCCAGACAAGTAAAAGAAGTAAGACAGGTTAGGCTGATATTTGGAATATTTCTGGGATCGTGCATTTCTGGAATATAATTCTGATTTCATTAAGACAAAAATTATTTTGATTTCAAGTAGTTCACCCTGTCTGCACAAAATCATTCCAGAAAAATACAATGTGAAAGGGACTCTTGACAGAAGGATATTTTAGTTAAACATTTTAGTGTGAACTAGGTAGGCAGAGTACATGCTGCTTACTCATAATAACAGTACTTCAATGAACATTTGTTCTTTGGGTGGAAAATGAGCTCCAGTAGCAGACCCCATTTGCCAACATTTGACTTTTTCCACTTCAACACTTGACACTTTCAGAATTGCTTTGCTGTGCCATGCAATGCTGGAAAGAAGTTCACCAGCCAAACTGTAGGTTCTGCCACTCAGTTAATATAATGTGTAATATTAATTAAAGGAAATATGTACTAGAATTGATAGATCATCTGTATGGTGATTTTGTCCATGTTCTCCTATAAGTGCCTGACATTACTTCTACTACCACTACAAGCAGCCTAGTACATTTCCAGTACGTAGTGCATGTTACCTCCAGTAAACACCCAATACTTCTGAGGCATGGACTTCATCAAAAGAGAAGGTATGCACAAACACGACTGAGGACTGCAATAAATTAATTTTAATTTTCTACTGTTAATTTCTACTGTTTATTTCAAAAGTAGTGTTCAGACAACACTGCCCCTCTTCTGTGCGCCGCACCAGCTGAAGGAAGAACAAAGAGTAGTTTGTTTGAAGTCTGTGATTCTGAGATCTACAAACAAAGACACTGTCTGAAATGTCAGTCCAGTTAAGGAAGTGTAGTGTAATCACACAGAAGCACTCTCCTCAGCCACAGCAAGTGAACTGTGAAACCCAATGACCCCACAAAGCTTTTACCGCATGCCTTGCCTGTGTTTAGGTATGTGCAGGCATGTATCATTCACCTCTCCTAAGCCATGAATGAACCCCAGATGGTATCCAGAAAAGGAAAGCAGTATACTCTAGCCAACTTTCTAGTCTGGATAATTAGAAGACCACACTGCACTACTTGCCCATCCACTTGTTCACCTAGACAGATACCTCCAGTAACCTCTAGTCCAGCTGAGTGTATCTATCGCTGTGACAAGTGTATAGTGTTTCAGAAACCTGGGAAAATAACCTGGTGTCATTGAAAAACAGTATAAATCAGCCTTGGAAATACCTCACTATTACAGACTGAAGAGTTTCCTCATAGATATCATGGACAAAAGGTGGAAGGCATCTACACTGAAAAGGAGTATATTCAAATACTGAATAACTCATATGGCCTTAAATGGTTCTTGCCCTCCATATCCAAAAAGGGAATCCAACTTAGGTAGCCCATTCTATTTTTATTTTTTTTTTATTCTACCACTGTTCTTCCACATAGAAAATGAAAACAGCTAACTTTCACAGCAGCATGATGAGAGGAAAATTTCCAGCTGTTGCGATCTTGTGCAGCTTCCCTGATTCTTACTAGAGGGGAGTTTCTGTGATACAGTAGCGATGTTGTACCGTGACCTTTCCACTGTCCTACTGACAGTACTGTTGTATCTGTATTCACCTATGCATATCATACTCATTTGAGACAACAAACATCTGCAACAGCAACATCATTCATTTGGTTCTCAAGATTAACATTCCAGCACAGAGCAGGCCTTCAAAATGAATGAAGAGAGACAAGTGCCATGAAAGGATAGAAAGACATGTTTTCATGCTATGTAATACCTACCTGGGCATGGTGCTATGTAAGCATATGAAAAAGAATGAAGGGGAGAGAGAAATAAAACAAACAGGGAAGATGGTTACAAAAGAAAATAATATGTTTTTAAATCAAATTGTTAATGCACAAGATTATATGAGTAGAAGCTGCTAGTACTATTTTGCTTTGCTGAATTTCTTTAAAAAACAAAGTCGGTGAAATGCAATGAAAATTACAAGGAAAAAAAAAACAACTACAACAAAACAATTTAAGTAGTGTCTGAAAATTCTTATAACCAGTAACCTGATAGAGACAGAGAATGACACCATGGAGTCAGAAAGATGCACTTCTTTTCATACTTTCTCTATCATTTTGCTTCATTTGAAAATAACCATGCATGATAAATAATGTGAAATCATTTTCATTCAATTCTAAATAGGACACAACAATTACATGCTTGTGAAAATCTACTGAAATCCACTGACAGCTTATTGAAAGTTAAACTGTTCTAAATGGTTGCAGAAACCGGCTTAACATTTGGCTGCACAATCATTTCATACAACCTCCTAAAAAACAAAAACAGCAACAAAAATAAAAACCCACAAAAACGTTTTTACCATTGAAAAAGCATCATAAAAGGTTTTGATTTTTAAGCATTCTGATGCAGTTCATAAACATCATCTGAGACTTGAAAAGCAATAGTCACTTTGTTTTCAGTGGATTCATGGAAGCTGTCTAAATACCAACAAAGGCTGCAAGTTTAAAAGACCTCACTGATGAGGAGTGTATGCATGCTGTGAAGCAAACTGAACTGTTTCCTGACATCTTTTGTTCCAGCAGCAATTCACAGCCTACTGAAGTAAACAGAATGGATCCTACTGACTTCACCGAGCTTCAGAAATGTTGCCAGCGTAACAGTCAAGGCTGGAAAATGTTGGCTACAAATTATTTCTGTTGCCAAGACCTCATTTTTTTAAATTATTTTTTAGTGAACATTGTCAATTCTCACAAAACACTCAAAAGAAAGTCAGCTCATCTAACACTAACACACACTGTTCACCTTCCCACACAATCCCTGACTCATGTAAAGAGAAGATTAAGACGATTTATGAGTCCTTTCCAAGACAAGACTTCTTCCTTTGCCGGGCCACAAAGACAATAAAGCAAGCCACATTTTTTCAAGAACCAAATAAGAGTCAGAAACAAATTATTCACTAGATTCTGAATACAGTATCAGTGCCAGATGTGTTAATTTCTTGACTGGTTAGGAAATTTTCTCCTGACCATGTCTTCCCCTTACAAAGTGTCAACTGATACCTTGACATACTTAGTAAAGAAATGTTAAGTGCATCATCCCTTGTCTCCCTTGAGTTAAAGAAACTGAGGAATGGATTTCAAACACTCATACCAAGAGAAAGGATACGTATCCAGGCAAATACCTGTCAGACCGCCCTCCTTCCAAGCTGTACCTCAGGTAGTTCATACCATCTAAGAACTGGCTGCTTGGTAAAGAGTCATCTCCTAGTTCTTTGAGATCTTCTGGCCTAAGGTACTCTCCTCCATCTCCTGTCATTGTATCATCACCTTTAAATCAAACACAGAAGGGACAGAGGTAAGCATTTAATTTTGTTTACACATTGGAATCTAACAGCTGGATGGCACAATTAAAACAAAGGCGTTTTCCAGTCAAGAAACACTGCAAACCACAAGCAATTAATGTATTTAATGAAGCTGGCACATCAAGCAAGATTAAAAAAAATTCAAAATAAAGTTGAAAAAACAATCACACTTACTCTGCATTTGTTGCACATACTGGCAAGGGGCAAATATATTTGCTATTTTGTAAAGCACAGCCTCTACATCCCTTTTATTCTTTTTTTTAATTATTATTTTTGTACATTAAGCACAAAAATATTTCTAAAACAAGGCAATAACCAGAACCTGGAAGTAAATTTACATGTATGGATTTTATTGATCATTTATCCAAAAATAATTCATAATGAATCTATGCCTAAAATGATAATTGGTTATTGGATATAGCAACTTTTTTGCATGTATCTTGAATTTCAGGCCCAAAATGATTTTCCCCAGGAAATTTTGTCTATGTGAAGTCACTGTTAGCTTTTGCTGGCAGATAAACATTATGTTCTGAACTGACCAACAGCGTGTAGATGTTTATTTTTCACTTCCATTTGCAACATGGTTTCCCTCTGCAGTTTCTTCCTGGAGATGTACTTATTGCAGCCACTTTCACAAGGGTTAGTGTGAGTCTGCCACTGGTTTCATGTGGCCCACAGAACCATACAACACAACCGTAAGCCATCAATACATTCAGGTTTTCTCATTTGCTTAGCTGCATAGGAAAACACTGAGAACCTGAAGTTCTTCTCCAGTTATGTGAAGAGGTCTGTAACTGTCATAATATAGGAGCTATATTCAGAGGCTACACATCTCAGCCAATAATTCACCCTGATACACACAGAATCCCAAAGGATTGTAAGGGTTAGGGAAGAGGTATTAACGCTGTTTCAGAAAGCATTCACTTGGGTATCAGGACTAGAATCATAGAATCATAGAATAGACTACTGCTATTCATAAGATTTAAAGACATAATAAAGCAAAACTGTGGGGGAAAAAAAAAGTTACTGCAGCTATTTCTGGTAGAGGGTCTTTTTTTTTCCCCTGCAAAACATTATTAGCATCACAAACTCTATGAATGGTGCTCTCTTCTAAGGGAAGACATCTCGATATTTATTTTCTTAAAACAAAACAAGCTAGTTTTTCTAGCTTGATGCTTTGGCTGGCAAATAAATCACTTCCATTTTTTTCACCTAAAACCAACTAACATTTGAGGTTTTAGAAATTTTTTTGTTGTGTACACAAATATTACACGTAAAAGTGAGTTTTAAATCTTGTCAATATAACAAGAACAAGCTCTTGAAAATTCCATCTATCCACATTAACAGGGAGAATCTGGACACTTTCATAGAAAACCATAAAGTGCATTTCACAGAATCACAGAATTGTAGGGGCTGGAAGGGACTTCTAGAGATCATTGAGTCCAACCCCCAATTTAATTATTGCATGTTCCCCCTCTTCTAACAGATGATACCTCCTATGTCCTAGTAATGTCACGTTATAAAGCATAGAGCTTAGGGAAAACTTGGAAGATATTAAGGCAATTACATTAACCAAATAAATAATAAATGGAGTTTCAAGTTAGATTTCATATAAACTAGATTCTAATAATCACAGCAGACATTCCATCTATAAGAGAAATGAAGTCTTCATCACTTTGATCACACATCCTCAGGAAAAAAAAAACACATATCTCATCTCTTATTTCAGCTTTGGCCTCTCATCAAAGAGTAATCAGTAATAAGTCTAAGCAACACTAGCTGTTTTGTGTGATGTGAACATCTGCAAACAGTAGTAAAGATGTAGATGAATATCTCAGAATGTCTTCAGAATATTTTATCCATCACTCCCCACTAAGCCCTATGCTTTCATCTTTACTTAAACTTAAGATACACAGTTATCAAGATACACATACACAGATACACATTTAAGTATAAATGGTTGTGCAGCAATATACCTTCTCATACAACTATGGGTACCTGAGTGTCTTCATGGCTTGTCTGCAGGACAATTGCATATACGCAAAGTAGATTAAGTCTATGTAAGTAGCACTCATTCATCTTACCATTAACACTGTTGTCATAAAAATATCTCACACAGCTATACTCCTTAACCTCAGTCAATTCATTCTCCTGTAATTTGTATAAAAACATACAGCTGTTATCTGCTGAGAAAAAATCATATATTCAGCTGACCGTGAATTTCTTTATTTAGCAGTTTTTACTGCCTCTTAGTTTTGTATCAGTACAAGAAATTACCCTGTGTAATCATGCTAGCAGTGCTTCACTCACATTCTCCACTAAATTAATGACAGTCTTACTTACTAAGCAGTTCATGAAACAGAGTACATCGATCTTCCGTGACTTCCAGTGGCAGTCTATGAACTTACAGGTTCAATGAATTACACAGTTAGTAATTTATCTTCTATTTACTTGAAAAAATACCTTCTTTTCCTCAGTGATACCAACAGACTTTTTAGGGGCTTACCTGATGGGAAAACAGTCTACTAAACACCTAATTGCACCATGTCTCAATTAAAGAATTCATGTTCACCCTCAGCCTCATCAATGCCACTGCTCATCTCCCAACTATATCTAAAGATTTTGTCAAAATCTGCTTTTCTGAGTAATGTCATCTTCTCTAGAGCAGATATAGAAGGAAGAAAGAAGGAATTACCAATTGGCTGGACTCTTCTAAAAAAAACACAGGGGTTCTACTGGGAAGAAACACTGGAACAACAGAAAGTCAAACAAAAAGTCTGCTAAACTAGGAAGCTATGTATATTTAATACTTAAACAAAAAGTGGGAAATATTTGAGTTCCTGTACTTGCTGCTGCTATTATTCTTATTTTGCAGAATGCAAATAACTCTCAGTATGTTGGGTAGCTTTTCTGTAACATACAACATGTCATGGCCCAGTGCACTCTCACCAATGATTCAGTTCACCCACTGATCTGTTTTCAGTGGTCAAGCCAACTCATGCATGCTGTAGGTGTTTGCAACATGCAGAATGCTTTCTTCTTAGAAGGGCAAGAAAAAAAGAATCAGGAAGGAGAGAGATCATTTAGAGAATGAACATGGAAAAAAAGGGTAGGATTGGCAGGTATCAGGTTGCACAGAAAAGGGATCACAGAGATAAGTTGTCCATAAAGTTCCAGACTTATTTCTAGGAAAAATAAGAGGAGAAGGAGATTTGGAACAGGAAAACGGTGCTGAACATTTCGGTGAGGTCCTGATCAGCTTCAAAAGTGAAGACAGGAAAAAGGAGAAAAAAACTAGGTACAGAGGTAAAAGAAGAGAGCAAATCTGAGAATCAGAACAGAAAAATTCAATAAACTTTAAGACTTAAATACTATTATGCTTAATTCCAGGAAAACCTAATTCAGAAACCAAAACTGGGCAAGTGAAAGCTATGTTAATGGTTGTTAGCAGCAACCTTTTAGTCTTAAATTTATATTTGCCATGATCAAGCCAACCAAAGGCATAACTACTTCAAGCAGAGAAGATGAGCACCGAGCTTCTAGGGCTCGTGAATGCACATATACCAGAGTGTAGAGCTGTTCATTCTCGCACAGGTTCAGAAAAACTGAAGCCAGTGATTCAGTGTTGTACCTCAGCAAACAAACTGTCTCACAGCAGGAGCTATTATGTCAGCAGCAACATCACGCAGTTGACCTGACCAGAAATCCCAACACAGTTCTGCATCATGATGTGCAATCATGAGGTGGGGAGTTTTCCACTCCACTGTGTTTTGTGCTGGAAATGCACTCCCAAAAAACTCCTTTTGTTTCTCATCAACCCAAAAGACATTGAACCTTAAAGACACAGCTGCCACAGAAGCTGAATTTAAAAAGCAGCAATCACATCACCGTACTGCTGACCTTCATGCCACTTGAGTGGAGCCTCACACAAGTTTTGAGCATCATGAATCATGTAATGCTCTACTAAGAGAAACAGGCTCCATGCCGAGACCACAGATCTGCTCCTTCAGTGACAGTCTGGCTGAACATAGAGAATTTTATTGAATCACCTGAACTGGAAGCTCACACTGATATTCCTGTCCTTACCTTCCCGGTTTTCCTCAGTTCTGAAAAGGGAATGGTTATTTCATACATAAGTAACGGATTAAATTAAAAAACAGTCGGCAAACACTTTGCAATCTTTAAACAAAATTTTTCTTTAAGTGCAAACTAACATTAAAGAGACAACTTTAAAGAGACAGCTTTGGGGCATGCAGCCACATTCAACCCCTAGCTTGGTAAGTCACCATTAGCTGGATTGAAAAAATGCTTGATTAATATTTCTAAAAATGAAGAGATTCCCCTTCCCCCAAATTATGCTACCTACTGTCATCAGGGAACTATACAAATGTTTGATCAAGTAAGCAGTTTTAAATCTACCACACCATTCTAGCTATACAGCTACAGCACCAACCCTTTTTGGGAAGCAGCAACAAAGGTTGCTCCTACAGTGTTCTGCAATTCAAGTGAATTGCAAAAGATAACTTCTGTATAAGAATTCCTTTGGAGTGGTTTCTCACAAAATAAACAAAAAAATATATGTTAAAAAATAAAAGAAAGAGACTTGTGACAGAAACTACCTTAAATAGATGTTTTTAAAGCCACATGCAACTATATGAATTTGCCAAAATTACTGTTTTCTCTGCATCGTGCAGATAAGTCTACAGCTCCTCAGATATGTGCTGCTTCTTAAAAGCAACAGATGGAGATGGGGCAGCTATGGCAAGCATGATTTTTTTTTAATGCAATATTAAGCCCTGATGTAAGCTTCTTAAAAGAAATGCATAACATACTTTCCCTGACACTTGCCTTGGACACCTCCAGTTTCCTAAAGTTTAATGGCTCCCACACTCTTGGAGCTTCCCTGAATTACAAGAGCTAATAGTTATGGTATTTGTAAAGCTGTTATGTTGGATCTAGGTAACAAAGAATAAAAGTACTGTCTTTTTGGAACTGAGACAAGCTATTCCCACCTCTCTAAGCCACAGAAACCTTGGAAGGTCATAGATATTAACTGGCATGATGACAAGCCTGAGGTGTGGTGGGGCTACCATGTAATATACAGTCAACTGGGGACTTGAATGAGTTCCTTGCATGGTTTACAAGAAGAGTAACAAACCAAACCCCATAAAGAATTCTGAGGAGAAAATACTACTAAAAGAACACATTGGAGAAAGTGACAGAGAAGTGATTTAGTTGTGGGGTTTTTTGTTTGTTTTTTTCCACCAGAGTAATGATTTTTTCTCATGAAAGAAGAAAATGCAGCGTACATCAGGTAAGTATTAACTGTGAAATAGTAAAATTTCTCACAACATGAAACACACCAGACACTAAGCAAGGAAAGCTTGCCCTAGTTGTATGGGCATCTGTGACCAAAATTTTACACTTGTTGAAGTGAAAAGACCAAAGGTCTTTTCCTTCTTAAGAGAGACATAAAATACTCGCTCATTTTGCCTTTGTGAAATTCATATGGCAAGTACCTCTCTTATATGTAGCAGTTCTTAAAAGATTTGTAAAATGTTGTATACTGATACCCAAGTCACTTTTCACAGCCAATCTCATTCCAGAAGGAACAGCCAACCTAGATATCCACTATGCACAGAATGGGTAATATTACTCTGCTTGGGAAAATATTTAGCTAATTCAGATTAATGTAAATGTAAAAGCAGCTGGTTTCTGTCAGTGATGAGTAGCAATAACATCCAGTAGCTTTAAAGACATATTTAGATCAGATGGGAAATACCAGTCAAAAATACATTTTCCCTATTTAACATGCTGATTAAGATACACTTCAGATACACTTTTAACATTAAGATACACTTTTAACATGCTGATTAAGATACACTTAAGAATCTATTGCAGGTCTTTCTCTAACTTCAGTCTCTGAAGAAAATAATTCAGTGCTCAACATTGCTCATACAGTAATGATTTAGAACAGAATCTATAAGTAAATACAGTACTGTCCTCCAGTCATGCACATGCATTATTCCTTCTTTGCACAAAAAAATGTGTCTGTACTTTCGGTCACGCCTGCAGATTTCTCTGCTAATTTGGTTAATTCTATTTTCTGTCAATAACATCGAAGCAAATTAAGAATACCAGTTTCTTTAAAACTTGCCAACATTTTTGCTACCTACCCACAAACTCCAATTTTTCATTGCTAAAATGTTGACAAGTGAGCAATCTTTAGCAGATTCTATCCTAACAAAAGCAAGTTTAATTCCTTTGTAATGACAATACCAGATACTAAAAAAAGCTATATTCTGTCTGAAAGATTTCAATGGACAAATCCAAATAAGTCTTTGTTGTGTTTTTTTTTTTCCTTTACAGCTCCTAGCAATAATATCAATAAAGCTACAGGAGAAAAACTGATCACTTTACTATCATACTGAGAATCTTTTGCATTGACAAGATGCAGACAAAAAAAGGCAACCAATTCTCAAATTTGCTGTTTCATTAGCACGTCTGATACATAGAGGCTAAATAAATAAGGAAATGTTCCTTTTGCTCAGGTAGAAGGATAAAAAATATATTATAAATAAATAATGTCAACAATACCATGTAAGAAAAAAAAAGAAAAAAAAACCTTTTTTGTCACTACTGTACGCATTTATATTTGATCTTTTAAATCATTTAAGGACATGATGCTATTTCTATTTTTAGGAACACTTTAACAAATTTAATGTATCACTGACCTTATTTTTAAGATTATTACTTGTAGGTTGTTTTATTTTTCCAGGAAATATGAAGTTACAACACAACACTTCGTGTCTCAACCAGGCACTGTGATAAATCTTTACCAACCTTCAGACAAGCACTCCTCTTAAGAGGGATGCTTTAAATTTGGCTATTAAGATTCCATCTCATTTTTGAGACTACATTGATTATTTTCACATGATAGCATGCTCAATTCTTGTCTAAACCTTTTCCGCAATTGAAAGATCACAATTAAGATCTGTGCAGTGTGAACTGCCTCCTCTGGCATGTTATTGCTACAATAGTATCTCACCTTCTATTTCACCTTTTCTACTCCATTCTGCCTGCAGAATAGTCTGTCCAAAAAAAAATAGCTTGTCAGAACTACACGCTGAAATATTTGTGCTGACATAAAAGACGATGTAGAAATGTGTGTATACACTTATGAACTTATTCTCAAAGGGACAGTGAAACCAAAGCTGTTCGAAGTTAATTGGATTGAAAACTGAATTGGAGATAAGGAAATCCAGATAGACATAAACAAGAGCTCTTCAATAACCTATTTTACTGGTCAGTACTGCAAGTTCCAAATGGAGAGCTACACTTCTTGTTCTGTCTCAGATGGGCATCACAAAGGTAAATCATGTAGTCCATGAAGTTCTTTTGCCATTAAAGTAATATAAGAAGTGAGTACAGACAAGCAGCAACATGCTCCTCAATACAATATTAACGTATGAAGAAAAAAAAGTAAACGTAGATTTCACAGTGTGTCTGCACTGGCTCAGTCCTAACAGAAACATCTGCATGTGCTTACTTTCAATAAATCTGCAGATTTCACTCAAATACACTTTAAATGATATTTTGCAGCAATTGTCCTTTACTGCTGTATGGACACATCAAGTACAAATTACTTCCTTTGTAGCAACAGTTTTAAAGAAACTACACACTGTAGTAATACAGACAAATGACAAAACCACATACAGTGATAAAAATGCACATTTCTTTCCTTTACCCCTGTATCCATGCAAGGCAACTCTTCTGGCACAGACACAGGTTTCAGGAATCACATCACTTAACATCTACACCTGTAAGAATCTGAACTGCTGTCCTAATTCTTGAGGAGAACCATATTCTTAACCTTTCCTTCTTTCCTTCTTTCCTTCTTTCTTTGTGGTTGAATACAGTACACTGAAAGTAGCAGCAAAAAGCCACATGTGCATGTGTGTACTCATAACAAGGCACACCTGCTTCTGTACTTAACTCTGACACAACATTAAAAAAAAAAACAATAATCTAATTTAAAAAAAAATCAAATCAAAAGCAATTTTAAAATAAAAATATCACCTTGCTGTGTTCAAAGGGAAAAAGGGAAAACCATGTTAAGGTACAGTAAAAGGTAAACAATTCCAAGTAACAGTGCGAAGTGCTAAATGTGAAAGTGATATGTGAAAATAATTACATGCCAAACTGTTTGATAGGCTATATGGTTCTTTATTTCATGCTAAGATTGGATTTTAGGAGTAGGAATGCTGCACTGCTAATGTAAAAGTATACCAACCACAGAAAACAACTGTTTCCCAGGCAAAATGCAGAATTCTTATCACCCATGATAAAGAGGTTCCACAACAGGATCTGAAATATTTATTTGCTCCAATAGTCTTGTTGCGTTCAACTTTATCATTGTATGATTACAGCTGACAGGTTTATTCTGTCATATTAACTTATTTCAGAACATGTTGTGCCACTTGAAAGCTGTCAAGAACAAGTATTACAGAAACCTTTTGCTAGCCTCTGAGAAAGACTACGCAATCACTAAAAGGTTCATCTTTGTTTAAGAAGTTCTCCAAATAGCCCCCAGATATTTTATGCTCTTGTGATAAATACCATCCACATTACCAATTTTTGCAACATCCTTGGTGTTTTGCCTCTAGAAACTGTTTTTACAAGGACAATGGCATGAAGAGCTTTAACTCTGGAAACCTGCCTGGCAACCCACAGCAGGATCACAGAGGTGCTCATCAGTACAAGTGCTCAGCACAGGCTTAAGAGGCAACATGCCAAAGTACTTCTATGGTATCAGCTGGCTATTGATAAACAGTATGTGTCACAGAGTAACAGAAAGCAGAGAATGTTAATTTAAAGCACTGGAGAGCATTAGTCATGCTGCACGGCCACAGTAATTTCTGCCAACTAACTAAAAATACAGGTAATAAATCTTGGGTTTTCTGGTTTCTCTTCTTCCTCCCACCTTTCAGGAAACACACACCAAGACACATTTTTTAAAAGTAAGAAAAAGGAGCAGTGTTAGGAACCCAGACTAAACAACATTTTGTTGCGCAAAAAACAAACACACCAAGTCAAACAAAAAGAGAAAGTTTGTAATTCTTACTCCATGAATTTCTGCTAATGACACCTGTGCCATTATATACATTACCATCACTGAAGCGTTCATCATCAGAGTGTTTAAAGGCTGTGCAACATATAAATTCACTTGAGAAAAAAGAATGCCCTAAATATGAATTCTGCAGAAGCAGAAAAACACACTATGCTTTCCAGATTTAAGATGGCTAGAGAGTAGTTCACAAGTATGAGAGGAAATGAAATCAAAGTGAATGCGATGCTACAGGTCTTCAGTATTAAAAAAATTACACATAGTTCCTTTCACTTGAAGTTTTGCAAGCATTTAGAAAAAATAAGTAAACAAACGGTATCTGGAGCAGTATTTTCTCAAGAATGTAACTCACTAATCAGCATAATTCTCAGAATAATATGAGGAGTTTAGGAATCTGAATGCCATTAACATCCAGTACAATTTAGAACAAGCACAAGCAGATTTGTGCTCTTTGTAAGAAGAAAAGAAACAAAACCAACCAACCAACACCTTCAATTTGTGTTCCTAATACCTTCAGATCTGTCGAAATATTGTCACTCTACAAATTATTTATACAAAAGAATAATAACAGTAATAGCAACAATGAAATGTCATACGTAAGATACTATAATATTAGTTAATAATATTAATCATCAAAAAGAACTTAGAATTACTTTTTTTGCAAGACGATGTGCATTCATGAGATGCTATGGTGATTAAAATTTGTAAGCTGCCATTCATCAGGGACATTTTTAAGTTATTTCCTTAGTTCTGTTCTGTTTAAAACCACAGTACTTTATCAGTCCCTACAGAAGTTCACAGAAAGTTTTTGGGAACTTAGCTAAGCGATACAACATATGCCTCTTGTCTGCACACACAGCAACGTCCGGGATCAAAGTGCCAAGTTATTAGTATGTTCTTACTTTATGTCATGCCATATCCATCTGTGACTTGCGTGTGCCAAGTGCTCCCCTCTAGGGAACAAACTCCTCACCTTCCACCTTATGCATCTTCTAACATGCATGTTTCCAATTAAATAAAACTCCTAGGTAAATGTATCTGAAATAAGTGGCAGCGAGCCAAAATATTTACTGCTTAAATTCCTCTTTACGAGAAGGCCAAATTCAACTTTAGAAGAGCATTACATTTAAATTTTAAAATGTCAAGAAATGTTCTCATTTGCTGATTTGGTTCAGATAAGATGGTAAGGGTGTTGTTTTTTGTTTTTGTTTTTTTTTTTTTTTTTGTGAAAATGAAACAGGATTCTGGCTTGGGTTGATTTTTGGCTTCCTTATTCAAATGCCATAATGACTACATCATAAAAAAAAAGTTATTACATAAGATCATCAAGCATTGCTAAATGAAGATGTCCAAGTACTTAAGCAGCTATCCTACGCCTATATTACAGGTGGCATAAGTGATGTGGAATAGAAACTTAGCAAAGTTGCTCACCTTCTTCATCTGAAACATCCAGGACCTCAGTCATTGTTTCGGGTACATTTAGCTTGTGCTTCTCTGTTACAGTCTGCAAAGACAGAACCTTTAATCCTCAAATTAAACACCAAAAGAAGTAGCAAATAATATTATCATAGAATATTTCAACAGCAGCAGCAGTAGGACCTGCTGAGACACTTTATAATGATTCCCATCCCCTTAACATTATTCTTCATCATTATTTTAGAAGTTCCTGTTCTCAGTACTGTATAAGGTAACATTTGTTAACATTTGTATAAGGCTCTGTCAGAAAAGAACAACACACAAAACAAAAGATATTGAGCTGATTAGAGAGAAAAGAAAGAGTGGAGTGGAAAGAGAGTTAGAGTGGAAAGAAAACCAAGCTCTGAGCAAATTTATTTATAAGTGCTGCATGCAGAACAATTCAGTTCAATGTTTCCAAGATGATTTTAAAACGAATTAGGTAATGTCTACAGAAGAGTTTCAGAAAGTTGCATGTGGCATATGGAAATTATTAAACAGTAAAGCATTTGAAAATGAAGTTATGAATGATGTGAAATTTTTAAACTAAAAAAGATGTGAGCAAGCTACACAGATCACTTGAAACATTTCCTTCTTCCCTCTCCCCCTGAAAGTGACTACACTGCATATTAATTATATCCATTCAATAAATCCTGCATATTCCCCCAAATCGCATGCACAGCAGAACAAAGTTCTTTGGAAGTTCTTATTTTGTGGCAGAGGGCAAGCATGGACCAAGTAGAGCTGAAAGGACATTTTAAGTGCAAGAGAACAGAGCAGGTTATGTTGTAAGATGTTTTTTAATATGATTTGATCTGCATAAATGACTTCCAGAAGAAAACACAAGATGCTCATGGGCACTGAATTAAGAATAGGGACACCCTTTTAGTGCCAAGACAGACATTAGAGAAGGAGATAAGAATTTAATAAGAGTGTAAAAAGTGCAACGTGTAAGAAAGCGGTCTAAAGGAAATTCTTCAGCGTGTTACAATACCGGAGACAAAATGCCAGGGACTTAAATAACAGCAGTGATCAGAACAGCATTAGTCACAACAGCAAAATAAATATTTCCCTAGCTCCACCCAGATCTGCAGTCAGACAGCTTTACTGAGGAACTGCGGAGGGAAATCACATCATCCCTTTAAAATATGTAGCAGCAGATGTGCCCATCTGGCATGGAGGGGATTGTCAGGAGTACAGGTGTCTTGTGGAACTCCCTCTGAGGTCATATTTCACTCCCTATTGGGGATGGTATCTATCAAGCATAAATTAACATTATATGCAGAAGCAGTGAAAGAGCATATAATCTGTGTGATAATTAATGTCAGCCAAATCTTGAGGAATTCACGCAGCACGACTTTGGGAAAATGCCCAGTGACATCAAACTTATCACGTCTTTCCAAATTATGCCTCAGATTTCTATATTTCTAACAAATTGACAAAGATGGTACTTTCGATTATTCTAAGATACTACACTTCCAAAATTAACTAACTTAGCAACTGTGATTACTCTGGAGATGTGTTTAAAGAGTATGATTTACATTTCTGAAAATGTATTTTAAAATGACAGCAGTTTACAGTTCACACTCTTGAGATAAAGGGAAAGGTCAATGACATTTGCTTCAAATGGAAACCCCAATTAGGCTTCCTAAATTTATTCCTACACACAATTCATTAAATCATTCATTTCTGTTGCTTTTTGTAACACATGCTCCACATTGAAAAAATAGTTTATATTCACTAAACGCCTCCATTAATATACCTGATGTCCCACCTTGCATTGCCATAGCTTGTCTCAGACAGAAAGGAGAGGCAGCAGGTAGGGCATTAGAGTGTCAAAACCAGCTGTGACAGGTGCAGAGCAAGGTGCTGTTCACGTGACACTGACCTCGTCTCTTCAACAATACAATTCATTCTAAATATGAGAGGAATCACTGACACTGTGCTAAAGAAATAAACCAAGTGAAATGGGCTGTATATTTTTCAAGCAAAGTACTGGTATGTATGTAAGTACCAATTTATTAGCATTCTAATTGCCATTGTAATTGTATCTAAGTGTAAGACAAATTCTATGCTGTATGCTATTCATGTAAAATAACTGAAAAATCAGAAAAACAAACAGACAAACAAAATCAGAAGATGATCAGGTTCTGAAAAAAGGGGAAAAAGTGTACTGCCTGAGAGTCACAAATATTCATTTTGTAAGTTTGTTGTATGACCACAGAATCACAGAATCACAGAATCACCCGGGTTGGAAGGGACCCCAAGGATCATGTAGTTCCAACCCCCCTGCCTAGCAGGGCCACCAAACATACACATTCAGATCAGGTTGCCCAGGACCCCGTCCAACCTGGCCTTGAACACGTCCAAGGACGGGGCATCCACAACCTCCCTGGCAGCCCGTTCCAGGGCCTAACCACTCTCCTAGTAAAGAACTTCCCCCTAACATCCAACCTAAATCTTCCCTCCTTCAACTTAAAACCATTTCCCCTAGTCCTGCTGTTATCAGCCCTTTTGAAGAGTTTACTCCCCTCCTGGGTGTAGGTTCCCTTCAGGTATTGATAGGCTGCAATGAGGTCGCCCCGCAGCCTTCTCTTCTCCAGGCTGAACAAGCCCAACTCCCTCAGCCTGTCCTCATAGGGGAGGTGCTCCAGCCCCCTGATCATCTTAGTTGCCCTCCTCTGGACCCTTTCCAAAATCTCACCAAAATTTATTCAAGAAAACTTGGTTCCCCACTTCAACTTAGGTAAAAAATCAATTTCATTAGAAGAATACAGAAGTGAAAGGATGCTACAAACACAAGAGGTCACAAGCTATGTGTACAGAATATCAAATCAAATGTACCTTGGGTATATTGTCTTAGTATTTACTTAGATCTGCAGACCCTAGTAGTTAAGGTTTATTTATCACAATATCAATTTATTCAGAAATTAGATGCGTCCTGGCCCCTATACAGGCACAATCTCAGATATTATTACTTTTATTATTTATTATTGACAAAGAAGTAGCAATATTTTATTTCCTGATTTTCCCCTCAGTATAAGAACATTATTTCATAATTTAAAACTAGTAAAAGGTCTGGAAAAGAGAATCGATGAATGTGGATGTGTTTGCATATTTCAGAAGAAAAGCTTTGTAATGGCATTTCTGCAACACTTAATTCAATAGGATCATTAATGCTACATAAATTCCCATCAGAAGCTGGGAATTAATTTATTTTTTGTTTAGAGAAAATCTTTCACAGCACTAGATTATTATTTTTTTAATTTATGGACACGTCAAAAAAAGGTCAAATACTCTCAACATTAGAAATGCTCATCTAATCCCATGAATGGCCCACTTTGCAAATTGCTCAGTGCATATTTCTCAAATCACCATTGTTTGGTACCACTGAGAATTCAACTACATACCTCAACTTAAGCTACTGCATTTAAAACTTCCATTGTATTCATGTAGAATAATTCAGATGTATGTGTATAAAACTATATGCTCATTCAGCAACTGCTTACTCTACAGCAGAACAACATTAAAAATCTAAAGCTCCTCATGTATTAATTTGTCCATGGGAAGTTTATGTCTATTTGTACAAATAACCCCAAACTTAATTGCAGAGTAAACCTTTTGAAAGCCTGGCTTATTCTGATCGACTTCCTATCCATTTTTAGACTAAGTAAAAATACATACACTGTGTTGTCTCTATTGCTTTATATTCATGTTCACTGATACTAGTGTAAGTAAGAAAACTTGTTCAGAGTTAGACCATTGGCACTCAAGATGTTGTCCTCATCTTAAATGCCAGTGACTTGAATATCAATAAAGAACCAACCTCTCTAAAATCCTCCATGCATCACTCCACTACAACCTTAGAGAATGAAGTAGCTATGGTGACAGTTCCTTTTTTTCAGTTCTAAGTGCCATGCTCTGGTTTAGCAACAGCTAACCCTTACTGTCTGGAGAATTTTATTGCAGGGAGTGCCTGAGAGCACCTGCTATTTATCCCTCCCTTATAGCACTTGTTCAAAATTACGTTTAGTCAACAGTAATCATCATCAATAATAATGTGGTTTAGATTCTATATATCCCCAAGGTGTAAGATTGAGACAAATTCAATTCTGAAAAATGTGCTGATTTTATTGAGGGTTCCCATCTGACTTTTAAAAATGGTGCTTTGTGCACAGACACAGTGTAAGATTTCAAATGTCTCTCATACGCAAGTATTAAGAGGTCACCTATGCAAGTAAGTTTTAGTGTTTCATTCCATCATAGACCTCAAGCATCTGGTAATAGGTTGAAAAGTCCACTACTTTCTAAGTTTAAAGAAACATTTATCTAAAGTAAATAACTCACAGCTGTCTTTTCACAGCAGAATTCTTATTATTACAAAACATGACATGTATATGACAGTGTACAAAGCTGTACAGTGCTATGCAACGTACAATAGAAAGGACGTTACAACTTTCATCAGGCACGAATAGAAAGTGGTGACAAGACAGCACAGAGAATAGCAAAGTGTCATCTGAGGATAAAAAAATTGCTCCCAAGAACAGAGCTGATGTTTCTTGAAAAGTTTTATCTAGTTGGTTTTTTTTTAATCTTTGAACAGATATGTATGTGCTTATGCATGTACATGTGAGATATGTTGTATGATTAAATAAGAACATAAGTATTAACAAAATCATGCAATCTTTATTAAGAGACTTCCAGAACTATGTTGGAATTCTTTGTCCAAACCTAACTCGATTTGATTTTTGCAGGTCATTAATAAATTATGGCTCACTCCATTTGTAACCCTATGCCACGCTGCTTTTATTCCATCTTCCTTAATAAATATCAGTAGAACTTGTTGTCAGTATGCAGCAAAATCAAAATTATTTTCCTTTTTTTCGTGGGATGGATGTATTTTTACAAAACAGCTTGGATTTCTTCCCCTAGCCCCTTCCCTAATCGAGTAGTGGCATCTTTTAAGTAATAAAGTTACCAGTAATCTGTGGATTTTCACATCTGTAAGCCCTTAAGTGACACTTAGATCTGATATGTTTTCTAAATTTCTCGTTTTTCTTGCTTTAAAAAACAAAAACAATGATCCTACAACAAGGTTTCAAGATAAAATGCAGTAATGGAAGTATATATTAAAATTGATTTTTTGAATGATACACTATTTATGACATTCTGCCTTCCTAAATGCAAAAAGTCATAAATGGGAGGTAGAAGTCCAAGAAGAGAAAACCCTCCCCTTCCAGATTGTCAGAATGTATGTTTTTCCTGGCTTAAAGGAACAGTACCATCTGGCTGATGTTCAGTATCTGTTATTCACGAACTCTGAAGTCAAAATACAGATTATCAAGAACACAGAATACTGAGCACATACAGAAAAAATCCTCCATATTTTGGAAAAACAGGATCCATTTGAGTGAAAGAAATGATCAATGTGATTCAGAGCCATCTAGTGAACAACATTAAGCTTGGCACCAATCCATGGCTGGTACAGTCCAAACACTAAGAAGCTTGCTATTGTGTGCTGCAATGTTAAAGCCCCAGCAGGTGTTAGAAGAAACGTGGAAACATGAGGAGAGACTGAAAGGGAGAGGTAAAAAGACAAACAGAGAGGAAGGAAAGATCTAAACAGCTCACAAACTTCTTGAAAGTTTGGGTTTGCAGCTCAGACCCATCTCCAGAAAAAAAAAAAAAAAAAAGTTTTACTCAGTCCCTGAATAGTTGTTTTCCATCTGTATGCACATAAAATCTGTTGTTTGGCTCAGTAAAACCTAATGTATCGCACATACTTCTACATGCTTAAAAGACATACTGAAAGCACTACAGCACTTTTGCAAAAATCAAACAGAAAGGGGGACTTGGACCAGAAAATAAAAACAGGTTTGTGCAGAATCTGAGCACAGAAGAGAAAGACAACATTCTGAATAAAAAACAGAGACATTTTAATGCATCTACAAACTCACAGTTGTGGTGGTAGTAATCTCCTCCGTAACAACCTTCAGCGTATCGACCACTGAGATATATCCCAGACGCCTAGCAATAGCTAAGGCAGTGTTACCATTCTGAAGAGAAAAAGAGAAGGGAAGAGAGAGAGAGAAATGAGAGGGAGGATTGTGATGTGAACCAATGAGATCACTCTCAACACTGCATGAGCCAGCATTTCCATCCAAAACAAGGCACAGCCTAGGAAAATCACTGCTTTTTTTTTTTACTGTTACATCTGACTCTGTCTTTGCAACTCCTTTAAGACTATAGCTCTGGTTACCATGGTAACACAACACACACATCCGCCTGCTAGTCTACATTTTAAAAAAAAGCGCGCTATGGTTTAACCCTTAGATGGTCAAATTCTACTGCAGAGAATGCCTCGTCTGCAGAAGTTCATGTTTCATTTTGCATAAACTGCTTTATATGACAGAGACTCTTCTGAAGAAAAAAAAATTAAAATCTTAAGCTTCCACTTTTAGCTGAAACTATTAAAGCTTTATCTGGTGCAGTCCGTTTTGAGGAATACAAGATTCCGTCTCTATTCTCCACATACAATTCTTTTCCTCTTTACAACTCAATTTTACATGCTGTAATAGTACACAAAAGCTGATGATGTACCAAGCATGAAAACCTATATAAGGCTTGGGGGTTGGAAACTGTTTTCCATTTAAATAAACTTATTTGCAGTATACATGCCTATTAGATACATGCTATTCAGTAAACACACATTGAAATGGTAATTCAGTTATTGTTTAGGCGTATTTATCTCCAGCTCATCACACAGAACATTAAAATAGGTTGAGAATAAGTATTATTAATTCAAATTTATGAACCTAGAGTGTAAGTTTTCATTTTAAATGAACAGTAATTAAGGTTGCCATCTGTCTCGCTGCATTTAAAATTCTACTCAAACTGCCTCAAAATAGAGTCCATGGTAATTTATTTCAAGAAGCATTTCCTCTGTAGCAAAAAGCCAGACACAACAGGAAGCAAGATTAATGAACCTTCTCACACACACACAAAAAAATAAAAATACTTCAAGTATCAGAAACTTGCTAAATCATTCACAATTCTTTAGAGGGTATAATTTCCCAGCAGAACTAACCAACATGACTGGCAGCCAGTTCAGCTTAAGTGTCTGCAGAGGCTGCTCTAAGTCACATGGCTCTGTGTGATGTGGCAGTCTGTGGACCTGCAATGCTCAGCCTGGGGAGTGGAGAGCAGGGGCATATTTCATGATTCTTCATAAAGAATTGCACCTTGAACTATTTTGTATTATTTTGAATTAAAGAACAACATGCTGGCCTACTAGGGGAGACATGGAAAACCACTGTACAGAATGATTTCTCTTGCAATACCGCTGCTCTGTGTGTAGAATATCAGCCCGAGCCCTTCTCTCTCCTTCAGTACCAGGTTGAGTTATCTACAGTTTAAGTTCCTGTGCATTAGACTACCTCAGCAACTGTAAAGCAACCTAGGGTTTGCGAGTTAGCAGCACAAAAAGAACTGGTAAGGATCTTCACAGAACAAATAACATGACTGTTAATGTGTAAGTGACGGTAACATCTCATATCCCACTCCCATATCCCCTAGTCAGCTGCTGCAAGTTGAAATTCTCTTACGTCAACTTAAAAGTAGCAATGTGTGAACAACAGAGCTAGTACCTGAAAAGGCACGCAAACTCCTGGGCAGAGCCTTGAGACTCTCCTTGGATTTGGGTAAGAGTCGGCTTAACAGCCCAAACTAGAAGACTGAACACTGAAGGTGCCTAGTAGAACCTTCAGTCCCAGAAGCTGACTGCAAGGGTTTCTTGCTTGACGATAAACACAGTCTAGGATCTTTGATACATAGCTTGGATACTGAGATTTTGTATCATGGCACATAAACTGCTATCTTGGATTACTTCACACAAGATTATTCCATGCAGCTGGAATAATAGTAACCCGGGCAACTCTGGGGAAGGACACGTGTTTTGAACTTCCTGGATGCATTTTCACACTGTCCAAGTAGAGGACAATAACAACATCAATATGAAACCGGAAAGTTGCATTCCTACCTGGCCTTAGAAAAGGCTTTGCCAGAAGTTACTGATGGTCTTTGCATTAACACCAATGAACTTACTAAGAAAATGAAACAGGGATCCAATGGAGAGAGGGATAGAAATTTGGATTTCACAAATACCCAGGTTCTGATTTGCCCTTAATTTTTATACAAAAATTCTTGCAATATATCAATTTTGAGACAGAAGTATCAAGGCAGAAGGCAATTAAACCAAGTAGGCATGGCCAACCTGACAATGCAACTCAAAAAGCAGTTTCTTCATCTCACATTTAGCTTACTGCAGTGAGTTATAAATGAACTTCCCTGTGAGCATAATGAAAAGAAGAAGGAACATTACATTTACACAGCTGACAAATAGATGTACGAAGAAAACTTTCACCAAATCAGGGCTCTTTAGCCCTGGAAAGAAAGGAACTATCTAGAGAAACACTTCCCACAAGCACTTCACACTTACGGTGGTGATTGCATTGGGCTTAGCTCCGTGTTGGAGAAGGACATTAATGATGTGAGTGTGACCTTGTTGAGCAGCTTGGTGGAGAGGAGTGTACCCATTCTGTAGTCCATGGTGGTTACCATAAAAGCAAATAAAGAAGAAAAACAATCACCAGCAATTAGATTAGAAAATCCGATTTGCATAATTTGCATACTAGACACATGGAATCATAGCTGAAGCAGAGAACATTCTCTCCTTCTCAGATCTTCATTTTCCTACAGGAAGCCTAAGATTTGCCTTTGAAATATTTGAGACAATGTAAAGATATATAATTTTTAACAGCAGTGATTCGATAACATTTGCTTTTAAAAAAAGCTAAGAGCATCTATCAAAAATGTCAGTCAACGTTAGCTTCATCTTGACTTCAAAAGGCCTGGCCAAGCTGTAATTACTCAGAAAAATATGTGCACAACTTCTGTATTAACAAATACACTTAACTCCATAGATATCTGCTCCAGAGATTAATTCTGTGTTACTCCATACAGAATCACAGCCAAAGTGCACTTCAGCTAGTTGATTTGAGATGTTTTTGTGCAAACCCAGTCAAGCAATTCATCACAAAATACTTGAAATTGGTTTGATAGCAAGTGGAAACTATATTGTGAGAAAACACTAAGTCAGTTTCAGTGACACTTAGATACAGCCTGAGGGCAGACTCTGAGAGGCACACTCAGTTATCTCTTACGCAACTCAATATATGCTTTATGCTACTAATTAAACAGTGATATTTTGGAACAGATACAGTTCTCATAATTACAGAATACACATATGGACTAGGAAATTAAAGGGGAATTTTACTGTAAATCATATAGCAAAGAAAATCTACTATCTTCGGTATCAGTGCAGTCATTTAAAAACAGAACCCAGCAGTATTATTTTTCACTGGAGATGGCATAAAGCATCCTGGAGGCACTAGAGGTAATTTATTCTGTAACATGCCTATCCTGAATCCAGCCAGGATTGATTCGCTCTTTAGACTGAGTCCACAGTAATGGCTGACAGATTGCCCGTATTTTTATTGGTCCCTTGATATGAGACTTGGAGAATCACTGCCCCATACTGCCATACTTGCGTACTTTAATGAAATTTTTCTATATAAGAGAAACACCTGAGGGAACTAGTGTCAGAATCTGGTCCAGTGGCCCCAAATACCCAGAGTGGGGCTTAACACTAAACATGCAAGTATGTTATGTCCCTTTAGTTAGCCTACAAACACCTCAGCTGAATGTTTTGGCAGCGACCATTTGGATCCTGCTAATGTCTGCTTTATTAATTCTTATCAGCTGTTTTTCTAGCAGTGTTGCCAGTTCTTTTGGAATCTCTGTTTTTTACCCATTGATTTGGGGTGATTTAAAGAAAGATGGGCAAGCATATTTATGTTTTTTTTTAATTGGCTCTGCTACTTGCTTCTTTTCTTGCTGACAGTGACCGCTGTAGTGAAAAAGTCATACTCAGACAAATGAATCCATCTCAAAGATGACAGCTGGGAACAGAAAAGCTGGCCAGAATGACCAGGAGCTTATGATCTGGTATGGATTTTACAAATACTAAGTACATTTATCAGCAATATCAACAGACTTTTTCATACTGATCCCAAGAGATACCAATAAGCTATTGCCTGACATCAGCTTTAACTATGCTGAAGACTACCAGCTCCAGGGTAGCCTTCACTTCCTGGATAAGAGTGATGTGATAACATCTTTGGTGCAATACATTGATGTAGTCACCAGAACCTCTGTTTTTGTGTACTCAGGAGATATAAACTTCTTGATCCACAGGCATGACATTTTTTTTGTTATGTACACCAGTTTACATTGGAAAAAAATTGCTAAAGCCTGTGGATTACACTCAGTATTTGGCTACATTCCACTTCAGCAGAATCAGCCGATAATAGCATAACCAGCTCCCCATCAAAAAAAAAAACAAAAACAAAACAGAAACAAACTTGTCCTGAGTAAGATGCATTATCCCACTGTTGATGTTTCCTTTATCAAAGTCATGTCACACATGCTTTGATTGTGAGTAATTTTTCCCACTCTTCTCCCAACAGATCAGAGAGAATCTGAAATCACCCAGTTTCTGAATTGTAGTTTGGCAACACATCAGCATTACACTGATGTAAGCCATGTGTGAATGAAATCAGAAATAAACTTGTTAGTTGCAAATGAAAAGGAGGAGAAAACAACAAAACACACACACAAAAATACCAATTCCCTTACATAATCCCAAAGAGTTATCTGACTTTTCTTTTGTGAACATTGAAAAAGGTGATGCAGCAGACACGATGCATTCCACTATAGCCACAGATCAAAAAATGTTGATATCTACTACTCAGTAATTAGTTTCCTAATGAAAAAGGTACTTAGTGGTATGTATCAGTAGCATTTGATAAACAAGTTCACATTAAGAGCACAAGAAAGCAATGCAAAATTATTTACCTTTGTTTTAGCATTGACATTTGCTCCCTCCTTGAGAAGAAAATTCACCATTTTGATGTTTCCATAGTGACATGCCACAATTAAAGGAGTATAACCAAGCTACAAGAGAATATAGAAATAAAACTGCAAGCTCAGTGGAATATTCCTTTATGATGATAGCATCCTTTGGCACACTGGATACAAGTAGCCACTAAATGATTTACCTTTGTCTGAGCATCTTGGTTTGCACCATGTTTTGTGAGTATTTCAGCTACATTCACTTTATCCTCTTGAGCTGCAAGGTGTAAGGATGTCAGTCCAGTCTGGAAATGGAATACATAATATAAATGAATAAATAAATAAAACCTTCTTCAGGTTACAAATCTAGCCTTTCTCGCTTATCTTTAAAAGATGGAGAGACTCTAACTATAACTTCTAAATATATGTTTTAAACAAAGTAGAGTTGATGCTTCTTTTGTCTGGCTGACAAATAGCTCCACAGAAATTACATCACCGTAATGACAGAGTAAATGTTTCAGGCATCAATGATCACACTTGGATTTTATAGTATAACGTCACTAAGGAAGCTGAGAGTCCCATTAATAAATTAGCGTGCTGTGCCTCCCACTCAGATGGGAGAGGGAACCTTAGCAACTGCAGGCAAGAGTCCGAATGAAGAAACTAATCCCGAAACAGATCTCACTCAAAGATGCCAAGGAAACAGATATAGTAATTAACTGAAAGCTCACTGTGATCACACATGGTGCTTGGCCATGAGCAAGGAAGGGAATAAACTTTTTGAGAGAAATGAAAACTACACTGTTTCTTACTGGTTATATAGCATATTATATTAATGCTAGATCATGAGAGACTTGAGCCATTCATTTTGACTTGTATGAACAAAAACTACAGGCTTTCAATTTAAGGTAAATAAAAGTTATGTATATGCCTGTATAAATCTGGTGACCTATGAAAATATAGGTTTTCTCTACACTTATCTTCCATGTAGGCCCATCAAGAATAACCATAGGAGAATCCAAAGGATTGGACAGATCCTCCAGAGGAGGTTTTTTTTTCCCACTCACTACTCCACTAATACTGTTGTTATGTTATTTGTCCCTCTTTTCCTAACCTTGGCAAGATGGCTAAAGAGTAAGATTTATGATAATAAAGAGCCTTTGCTGGCACTAAATTATTTTGGACTGCAGCTCTCAGGTTTCTGTTACATGTAATTAAAGCAACCCATAGACCCGCAAACTCCAGAATTTTACATTTCTCATCCTTTGGATCTAATGTAAAACTTGAGGAACATGCCTATCTCCATGAGGACACAGCTAATAGATGGCAAGGTTACAACACAACAAAAATGCAGCTGTCTCACCTTTCTGAATGCCTCAGAAACCATTTTATCTAGCCTCTTTTGTCCCGTTCCCTCTCCACCAGAGCAGGTGGTACGTCATTTTTCTCTGGTCACAGCAAACAGCCGCAGCTCCTCTAGTGGGCTACCCAGTAAAGTTATTAATTACATGATACAGGTTAACTGATCAATCTGTCTGCCATTCCTATGTATCCTCTCCTCATTTCTACTGTTTGCCCACCTTTGTCACTTCTGCAGACACTCGAATATGCATACAAGGAAGTGGAGAATTTCTGAGACATGACCTCATTCCCACACTGTGTTTTGTATTTTCCTGGATACTCTTGACATAGATAGCACTTTGTCTTCAGCTGTGAGTTACCTTTGTTGCCACATGGATATTGGATCCTTTCTCCAAAAGCAATGTCACCATGTCTGTGTGACCTTCTTGGGAGGCTAAATGAAGTGGCGTCACTCCCTGTTTGGTCAAAATGTTGGTCTCAGCCCCATAGTTCAACAGCGTGGTAGCTATCTGCATCTGATTTTTCTTGGCAGCAATGTGTAGAGGGGTGTATCCATTCTAACACAGGTTAGGAAACAAAACAAGAGTAACATTAATACAAGAGCCATGTAAGCCTAAAAGGTCAGACATCTTAGAACTATATTATTTTCAGTTACTCCTTATGATTAGAGTTGGGAGTCCAATATATTTTCAACAGCAGGCATGCTTTTGCAATCTATTATTTTGTCCACACCAACTAGAAAAAGCAGGCTCTTGCTAGGGCAGACAGGACTTCTTAATCTGATAACTTCAAATTACCCTGCATTTGAAACCTATATTTTGAATATCATATGTTGTAAATATTCACTTTTGAGTGATGCTCTCTGTGACAAGGAATGGATGCACACTCTTCATTACATTATGTGCATGGGTAAAGATGTGTCTGCATAAGGAATTTTGATACATGAGGCATAGTTCTGGCTGGAACCAGTAATATGGAATAATGTTATTCTGATCAAATTGACCATTTAAGCAAAGCAGAAAGACATTATTGCTCCTCTCAGAACAAGACAACTTCCCACCTTTAATCGCTTTAGAATGAACTAAGTGGGAAGATTTAGAATCGCAGAATATCATGAAAATAGATTACATCAGACAGTCTCTGTGGAGATGTTGGTTGGTCTATATCTTCTTAAAAGGGAACTTCACCAAGCTATCCAGTGGCAACTGTAGCTTTTGCCACCTTTCTTGCACATCAATGTAAAAAGTTCTCATATAATCACTTCAAGGATGGGCCCCATTTTCTAGAAAGCATGTAAAACAGCAGTCCCTTACAGGACAAAACACGCTGAAGACAGCACAAATTCTCATTATTCTTCCCCCTTTTGGTAGCCTTTGCCTAACACTGTGAAATCATAACACCATTTCCAATCCCAGAATGAATTCTGCACGTATGTGGTCATAATATACACATTATTTGCAATATTACAGAACACTGAAGTAAGCTCCAACTATGACTCAAACTCACAAACATAAAACGAGCAAAGAGAGGCACAAGTATGCATGCATACACATATGTAGCTCTTTTTCAGGAAAGGTTTGGAAGAACAATAATTTGTGCAGTTGGGTGGTTATTCATATGAGATTGCTCAGGGTCTGGCCTAGTCGCATTTTTACCACTTCCAAGGATCCCACGTCTCTGTGAACAACCTGTTCCAACACTCAGTCACATCCACACCTTGTTTGTTTGTTTGAGGTTTGTTGTTGTTGTTTTGTTTGTTTTTGTTTAAATTTACATTGAATTGAAACTTCCCACATGGAACTAGCACTGGCTACAGTACCAAAGGAGGTTGTGGCCAGGCTGCCTTCTCATGAAGGTGTTAGACATGGTGCTGCCTCCTGCTCTCCATGAAACAGAGAGAAAAGCAGCGGGAAGAAGGGGTAGGAAGGAGAGAGGAAAGAAGGAAGGGGGGCTTAGACATGTGTACTTTTCAGTAAGTAAAAACCTGGCTGGATGTCAAGGCCCCAAAAATGGTGGTGAATAGAGGTCAATCCAGCTGGTGACCAGTCACTAGAGGCGCTCCTCAGGGGTCAGTATTAGGGCTAGTCCTTTTAATAACTTTGCTGATGATCTGGATGAGAGGATTGAATGCACCCTCAGTAAATTTGCAGACGACACCAAGCTGGGACGATATACTGATCCGCCTGAGAGAAGAAAGGCCTGGGGGACCTGGACAGACTGATCACTGGCATGAGGCCAGTAGGATGAAGTTCAACAAGACCAAATGTCAGGTCTGGCACTTTGGTTGCAACAACTCAGTGCAACACTACAGGCGTGGGGCAGAGTGACTGGAAGGCTTTGTGGAAGCAAAGGATTGGGGGGTTTTGGCTGAACATGAGTTGGCAAACAGCCCAGGTGGATGAGAAGGCCAAGGCATCCTGGCTTGTATCAGAAATAGAGCATCCAGCAGGAGCAGGGAGTTGATCATCCCTCTGTGTTCAGCATTGGTGAGGCTGCACCTTAAGTGCTGTGCTCAGTTTTGGGTCCCTTACTGCAAGAAAGACATTGAGGCCCTGGAGCGTCCAGAGAAGAGCAATTAAGCTGGTGAGGGGTCTGGAGCACAAGTCTTATGAGGAACAGCTGAGGGAGCTGGGATTGTTGAGTCTAGAGAAGAGGAGGCTCAGGGGAGACCTCATGGCTCTCAACAACTCCCGAAGGGATGTCATGGTGAAGTAGGGATTGGCCTCTTCTCCCATGTAACAGTGATAGGATGAGAGGGAATGGCCTCAGGTTGTGCCAGGGAAAGTTCAGGATGGATATTAGGAAGAATTCTTTCAGAATGAGTGGTGAGGTATTGGAACAGGCTGCCCAGGGAACTGGTGGAGTCACCACCCTGGAGGTGCTCAAGGAAAGGGTAGCGGTGGCACTGAGGGACGTGGTTTAGTGTAGCGATGAGCAGACAGTTGGACCGGAAAATCTTAACAGTGCCTTCCAACCTCAGCAATGCTGTGACTGCACGAGCAGTTGGGGCGGAGCTCACCTTGGCGGTCACGTGGGGCGAGGCGCCCTTCTCCAGCAACAGCAGCGCCACCTTCTGGTTGTCGTAATGGGCCGCCACGTGCAGGGGCGTGAGGCCGTTCTGTAAGGGCGGTTAGGGGCGTTAGTGCGGGAGGGTACCAGCGGGACTCCGAGCGCGGGGTGGTGGTTAATGTTAGTGACCAGAAGTCACGGGCAGTGGCTGTTTAATGCAGAGAAGAGCAGCTGAGGGGGAGCCTGGGCGGCCCTGCTTGATGCGGCCACCAGTGTGGTTTCCATCTCCCCCAACCCTGTGAGAACCAGTTCCCACAGCACAGAGCAAAAAAACGGTCTTACCCCCAGGTTTTTTAATTACGATTTCTACAGTTTGGACATTCCTATGAAATAGGTATTTTTGGAGCCACAGAAACGTCTTTGCCCTCTGAGCTGCCCATTGCATAACCCTCCTGTAGGGAACCTAAACCCAGTGCTCAGCACATAGCCTCCATCGCTATCAGACACAACTGACAGCCTTGGGAGGGCGTGATCTTAAGCTAACACCACCATATGAAAGTGGCTGCAGGCTTCCTTTGCACGCACATTGCGCCAAGTAAGAACCCAAAATGCTGCTAATTTTTGTTTCTTTCTGCTTAGTACCTTGCCGGCTGAATCAGGAGAGGCACGACGCTGCAGGAGGAGCTTTGCCACTTCTAGGCTCCCATATTTGGCTGCCACATGCAAAGGCGTGAATCCCTTCTGAAAAATTTCAGGAGACAAAAGCAAACACAAGTTTGTGTTAAAAAGCATGCTGACACCTACCTTTCGAGAGCTACTTTATTAAACAAGTTGGTAATTCCTTGACCTATACTCAAGGTGCCAGAATCAATAGCCTAATGGTGAAATAGCATCATCTCTTAAAAGCATTTTGATAACCATGAAATACAAAATAAGTTTTCCCCTTTCATTATTCTTTCCCATGGATGTGATGGCAGAGTAGCATATGGTTTATCTGATACAGATTCTACTAGCAACATAACACTATGTGAGCAAGGAAGGCACTTGTTCAAATTTCTATTTCAAACCAGCTCCATTATTATTTGTTTTTAGCTTTATGATAACAGTTGTAGAAATATTTCCTGTGTCAATTGATGCCAGTAACAATAAAACACCAACTAAATTCAGCAAGAAAAGCTCCAAACTTTGTGTTCGTTCTTTAGAAAGCTTGTTGAAGAATTTCAACTTGGTCTTTTTTTTTTATTATTATTATTTTTTTTTTTTTTTTATTAACAACAGTCTCTGCTGGAGCCTCAGAACTTCAGCTAAAAACGTCACTGCCTGACTCAATAGCAGTGCTTTTGGAAACACATCATACTGGCATGACAAAAATCTTGCATTTTTGAAGGAGTACTTTTCTATTTATTTTAGTAACGCATATCAGTGATGCACAAAGTCTGTGAAAAACTAATGCTTCATGGTTTAGATGGTTAGATGGTTCATCTACTCTTTCAGTTTTAAAAATCAAGCTGATAAGGAAAACAGTAGGTGGCAGACTACACTGTTGTTCTGACAGTAATTCCAGGTAGCTGCAAATACCTATTTGCATGACATGTAAGCGATGCGTAATGCTTATCATCATCAACTTGTTCCAGAAATCCCACCTCAACAGGAGTTTATGTTAGGAAATCTCATACATTTCCAGCTCATGAATCAAAGTTTTGTAGAAAGAATATCTGGAGGATTACATCTTCCCATATTCATAATTATAGAATGTTTCTGCAATACTAAAAGCAAATGTCACTAAACAGTATGGAAAACTGAGAAAGTATTTAGAGTATTTTTAGCCACTTTTATGTGATTCAACAGACGGATAAAAGAACAACAGCAAGCATGCCCAGTAATCCACAGATCACAATTTCAGAATTGCTGCTTTAGTCCTCTAAACCCCAGAAAACATCAAATTTTTCAAAAATACATTGTAAGCTCCCACTGTAAAATCAGAGGTACTATTTAATCACATGTAATACATTAGAAAGAAATACCTTGGCACATAATTCTAGTCACAGTATCTATTTTCTTATATTTTTAGCACTCTGTTAGGAATGTATTGGTAACCATTTTTTGCTAACAAAACAATAATATTCCACAGACTATTTCTTTTTAGAAAGTTTAGAAGTTTAGAAAAATGGCCCATTGGGTCATGTGACATCTTGCTTATAGAACTGCTGAAAATAAATTCAGAATTAGATGAGACTGGACAGATACTGAATTGTATAAACAAACATTTAGGAACAATCCTTTCATTTAGTATAGACATAGTTATTTTACTGTTTAAATAAACAAGGTATTGAAAAAATAAACAGACTTGTTCATTAGGAAAAATAATAATAATTTGCTCCCTTCCCTCAAATCTGCACTTTCTAGTTTGAAAATTTTGGCAACAAAAGTCCTGTTCATAACACAATGGCAAAGAGTTATATAGAAGGACCTCATTTACATTTTAAGCTTGTTATAGCCATTATTTATCATGACCTGAATTTGGCTTCAGTAGGATCCAAACTCTCTACTTCGGATGACAGTAAAAACTGTCAAAACTCAATCAATGCCTAATACATTACTTCAGTTTACTGGATTGCTGTCGATTAAATAGGAACAAAACAAGATGCATAGTAGCTCAGTTTCTCAGAGCGAAAGCACATCCCTCATGAAACAGGCATGGTCAAGCATACACTGCTTATACTACTAGAGTACAGTCACGAAGTGTTCTGACTTACTTTGGTGGACATGGAGTGTGAGGCACCTGCCTCTAGGAGAACTGATGCAACATCAACTTGTCCCTCTCTGGCAGAGATGTGCAGTGGAGTGTATCCATTAGTTGTTGCAGCATCAGGATGGGCCATGTGCTGTAGCAGAAGCTGGACAATCTCTGTTTTACCCAAGCGAGAGGCAATGTGCAGTGGAGTCTGTTCTTCCTACAACTCAAATCAAGTAGACAATTAGAGCAGGTAGAACTATTCTGAACCCAATATCATGTTTCATATTAATAAACATTTCTATGCATTTATCTTGGAAAAATACTAAGAAGCAACAGCACAAAAAAGCAGTAGAAGAGGGCAGGTTAATTTTTCAGATGAGATTCTTCTTGTAACAGAAAGTAACATAAAGAAAAACATCATTTTTCTTGTCTCAGTAAGATGACGCATAGCTCCCCCCTCACTTGTAATCTAGTTCTAACTGCTATCAGAATGCCTGATGTTTGGATTTAGGATATTGCTGTATACCTTCTCACTTAGATGGAACAGCTGCTGCTGGTCTGAATCAGGCATATTGTATAGAGTCTGCCTGGGACTGGGGGTGATTCTCTTCTAGCAGCTCCTATGGTGCTGTGTTTTAGATTTATGACCAAAATGGGATTGCTAACACACCAGTGGTTTAGGTATTGCTGAGCAGTGCTTGCACAGTGTCAAGGCCTTCTTAGCTGGAAGGTGACACAGCCAAGACAGCTGATCTGAATGGACCAAGAAGATAATCCATTCCCTGTAATGTCATACCTAGCAATAAAACTAGAGGGTGAGCTTTTCCAAAAAAGCTGTTGCTTGGAGACAGGCTGAGCACCAATCTGCTTGTGGGAGGTGGTGAGTGATTGCCTTTGCGTCACTTGCAAGGGGGGGAGTGCTTGTTTTGTTCTGTGTTTATACTGTTCTGCTGTTATTTTTTCCCTTTTCCCTCACTTATTAACTGCTTTTATCTCAACCCAAGAGTTTCAAACACTTTTTACCTTTTGATTGTCTATCCTGATCCCACAAGGAAAGAACAAGCAATGGCATGAAGACAGCCAGAACGACTAGCCAGGCAGGGTCAACCCACTGCACACATTCTATTTGAAACATCCACACAGAAATACATTGCTGCTTTTGGAACTGTTTAAGATTTGTTTAGTGTTGAATTCACAGACTATATAAAAATGAAATTAATTCTCCCTTGGTTCCCTGTTTCAGCGATAATTTTTAGTAAGAAAAAGCAAAAAAAAACCTGTGAGCAGAACACCTACCCTGGCTCGAGCGTCAACTAGGGCCCCATTTCTCAGAAGACAACGAACTACTTCCACCTGCCCGGCACGTGCTGCCATGTGCAGTGCAGTTTCTCCACGCTGCAGAAAAGTAAAAAAATTTCAATGTTTTAAGCCTCCATGAAGAAATATAGCTCTGCATTTCTGCCAGCTGAGACAGGGAGCTAAGAACAGTGCATGCATGCATGAGCCAAGCCTGGGTAGTTTATGGTTTGCAAATTCGGCGATCCTGGAGAAAAATTATTTATACAGTATTCTACCTTTTACACCTGCCTGGTCACATATGTTCCTCAGGTTTTTATATACAGGTGCATCAGCTTCTGCTGATGTACACTGAACATTATCTCTCTGTGCAATCGTACAATGAACCTGTCTCTTTCTAGGGATTGTGAGGCACACAAGCCTCAAAATGGAAGCAAATTTTTCTCCAGATGGTCTCTTTCTGCACACTGCGTGGAGCTGGCAGCTTTAAAATGCCTTGCAGCAGCTGTGCACAACTGAGCCAGTATATGAAACGTGTAAAATCTGTGCTCAGCAGCACAGATCTGTCTGTAGGCTATGAAATGAATCTTGCTTCAAGCCTTCTACAGCAAACAGAATTTGAAGGAGCATATGAAATTCTGGAAGGCTAACTGGAGTGATGTTGAATTTCAGATCATGATAACGAAGTACAGGTGACACATTTGAAGCATTTACTTTTTGCATAGGTTTGCAAAAAAACACTGAAAGTGACTATTCCTTGATGATGGCATTTCAAGCTGAATTTTGCACAGTTCAATATTTTCTGAGCTCAGTGTCATAAAGTGAACTAAAATAGTCCCTGTGCAGCTCACTGGTATCTGATACATTAGGCGCTGGGACAGTTCTGCATATATCTGTTAAGTATGACAACACAGCAGGACTGATCATTTCTATCTGTTAAGAGTTTTTTTCTTCTTACTATAGAGCTGGACTGTATGTTATTACTGTGACTGTCAAGTTAAACTGTAACTGCCAAACTGAACACTCTTGTCAAGACCTTCTGTGTCAGAGATCAGGTCTTCTCAACCTTCTGCATAGACATGGCAAAAAGAAGTAACCTGAGTTTGCCTCCAATTATGAACTCAAAGCAAACCCTCTGGACATGTAGTTGATTTGCTAATGATCAATTTAAAATTAATGTTGGATCACCATCTGTGATTAGTAAGTAGGCAGCAAACAAAATCTCACAGCCTCTGTTACAAATCATAATGCAGAATCTACGTAAACATTATTACCTGAAGAATAAACTGTTTAAAATGAGAATAATTTTTACATTTCTCACAATCCAATAATGAAGTTTCTAGAAACACCCTTTTATACCTGAGTTAACAACACAATTCAGCATTTGGAAACACTTAGTAATCCAGCAGGGGACTTCTGCTTACCAAGTAAAAGCCAAGATACCTATGTAGCACAAACTGTAAAGTGTTAAACTTTGCATAAATATGTCCAGCAACACCACCACAGTATTTTAAATTGTTTCCACAACAATTTCTTGTTAGCTTCTGTCTCATCAATAAAGGTTTTATGTACAGATTGCTTTTACAAGAGATAGAAACCAGTAAAATGTTTTATCAAGAAGAATCTGTCCTAATGATTCAGACAAACAGCTTGGTGTACATAAAGCTGTCACTAGGCTCCATATAAGATTTTTCTGGACAGGAAAAACTAATAAATCAGCGTACCTGAATTAATAACTTTTTCTTGTTATTTTCTTCTTGGGAACACTTTTTTATAACATTACTGGTAAAGAGCTGCTTTTAATGAGCAGATAGTCAGAAATTAAATATTTGTTTATAATGACAAATTCAAACAGTAAGATATCTATGAAATACAACTTAGGAAATCATCACATTCTTTTTATGGTTATTATTCTTGGTAACTCGGTATTGGTATACAAACACATCCATTATTCTATGATAAGTCAGGTTCTGCATTTAGTTATCCCCCAAAGGTCACATTTTCCAAGTTTAAATATGTTCTTTCGCAAGGCACTAGTCCCTAGAATTTCCTGTATAAAAGGAACACCTTGAATTTAATATTTTAACTTCTTGTTTAATTAGGTTTGAGCATTTAATACCCTTTTATTAATACAAATGACACAATTTCATTATGGCCAGCAAGGCTATGCAAGTAGAAGTTAGAGTCTCTTGGAGATAAATTTCATCATTCTGAATTGACTTGGTTTATAATCAGCTTGCAATGTATTTGGCGAGCTTTGACTGTTTTTAAGGGAATTTTACCTACTCAGGCATTGCAGGAGAGTACACAAAACCAAAAGTGGCTTACAATGCCTATACAGTAGCTATTTTCCCCTCTTCACTGTTTGGGAAAAGTGCTAGCATAATTTGTCCTAACAGAGAATAAAGTAATGAAGCATCATTAAAATGTGACCTTTGTTTGCACCACATGGACCTTTTTGTAGTGAGCATCACACAGATGATTCTAGTCAAAGCCATACTCACAATGTTAGTGACATCGGGAGAGGCTCCGTTCTGCAGCAGAAGGAGGACTATGTTCAAGTGGCCCATAAATGCAGCCACATGTATTGGTGTGAGGCCCGACTGCGAAACAAAGCAAGAGCAGTTTTACTCCTCTGCACGAGCATAGGGGAGGGGCTTCTTTGTTTAAATAAACATAAGCGAAGGTGGGGCATGACAGGAAAGAGAAAAAAAGAAGCAAAAAAGGAGAAAGAGAAGGAATGTTTCTTCAGGGTATGAAACATTTTTCTACCTCCGTTATAGCCTGGATTGAAGCCCCATATTTCACCAGGAGTTCCATGACTTTGATGCGATTTTTCTTGCAGGCAATGTGCAGTGGAGTAAAACCATTCTGTGCAAAAGACAGTCATGTTAGTTAAAAACATGCAGCTACACTTTCTACATAGCTCCATGCTGGCACACTGGGAGCAGAGGTGTTAGAGTAGTAGAAGCAATTGTTCTTTAAGCAGAAGAGGTTATGAATTACAGAAATCTCCCAGGAGCCTCAAGGAGAACAAAGCAGTGCTGCTGCTTTCTTCTCTAGCAATGGAGAGAAACTGAACTTAGACCTCTCAAAACCAAATACAGATGTGCCCGTTCTGAGTCACAAAGTTATGCCCATGTGCATGCATGTATGCGGTTCCAAAGACCGCATATATATATGTGTAAGAATAACTTTGAAATCAGTTAGGGTCTTTTGAGATGTATAAAGCACATACTATACCTTTCTAAGAACGGAACAGAGTATTTCTACCAGATTCCATCTTTTTTTTTTTTCTTTATTCTGTAAGCTTATAAACTAAGTATCTATGTATATTAATTTAGTATTTACAAATCAACCTGCAGTATACTGTATTCATTTCTAAGTGTGTGTGCACATTTTAAGTGTGTTACATTAATACCACTATTTCAGCTTTTGTTTCACAATACCAATTCTTTACCCTTGGTATCTGGGTTAAAATTTAATGGGAAGGAGCAGGAACAGGAGAGAACGAGGAATAGAGGAGGGAACATCTTAAACCAGAGTTGCAGCCTAGCACTTTAAACTGCGAGACAGTAGTTTTAGTGTTTTGCTTACCCTCAGTAGATATTCATTTCTTTCAAAATGTTTATTCAGTAAAACTGGGGCTTTTTCAACAAAGCATGTCTTCACATTGTGTGTGTAATACATGCTTTGACTTCAAGCTGTTTTTATGCATTGCTAACACAGGGTGTGTGCCTAAAGTTAAGCAAACACATTATTCACTGCATGTGAACGTTTTAGTGAAAAGCACAGATATATATATATATATATATTTTTAAACAATGTCAACTACATGCTCTATTTTCTAATAAAAAGGATCAGTACTGAGAAACACTCAACTAGCAGTAAATAACTTAGCTTGTAGAAAGAGACACATGACAGTCAGCTTCTGTTAAGAGAAATGTTAATTACCAGTTGTTTTAAAGGAACTTTAAGGAGTACAAAAATTGAAAAAGCTAAGAACTCATGAGGTGCTTGTATCCCCACAACATTTTGCAAATATTAAGGATTTTTTTAATATAGTACAAAATGAGTAATTTATAAAACTTCTTCCAACACAGGACTCTCTGCTAAATATCACAAATAACCTTCCCCAGTTTCTTAAGAAGTAATCAAAACCATCATATATTCTAGCTCCTGCATTACATCTTTCAATATATTTCATTAGAACTTTTACTGCTTCAGAAGTTTCCATTTTTTCCACTTAATTCTACTGCCTGAGTTTATTTAACTTTGCTATTTAAGTGAGAAACAGTTTGAATGAGAGTCAGGAAAAATCTGAAAAAACTTCACTAACAAAAATGATGAGCATTCTGAATGTATTAAATACTATAAACAAGCCAGTGGTGACAAGTCCCTACTGTGGGGGAAATGAGAGAGAAGAAAAACAACACTCTGGAAGTAGGAGAGCAGAGAGGCAGTAGCCTGAGGGTGTACTCCTTTCCTTCCAGGATAGATATTTCTCAGGAAGGGAGGAACAGAAGGTATGTTCTTGTCATGGAAGGGAAGAAGAAAGATGCGGAGGCTAGCATATAGTGTGTCTGTGTGGGCAGCTGAGGAAAGTACAGCTAAAGATTATCGGGAGACTGGTGAAAAGAAAAACTAGAAATTAGGATGAAAAACACCGTTGAAGAAAATCAGCAAAGTGAAAATGATAATGGGAAATACCAAAGAAGAAAAACATAAGAAGAAGAAAGAAGGATTATGAGATTTGATGTATAGAGAGGCCACGAGTGATGTGCAAAGAGGCAGGGAAGTATAAATTCCTTGGGGATGCAGAAGCTATCACAGAAAGAAAAGTACACATTCAAGGCAAGAAGCTGAGGAAGATATCAGAGGGGACTGCAGCAAAAAGACTGTGGAAGCACTGAATACAGCAGGCAATGGCAGAGTACTTGTCATGCATTGGTGTCAAGTGCTCACAGTCTCATTCTTTCCCTCATCATATGCAATTTATTGGTATTTCAGGCTCTTCCAGCGAACAGTTCATGGGAACACTTCCAATTAGAGAAAGTCTTGTGCAAGTTTGGATAGTTCAGACTCTTGAAAGTTATTTTTTTAATTTCTGAAGACAAATGTGATGTTTTTCTCCCAAGAGATAATGGTTTGCACAGCGAGTGAAAAGAATCGTACCTGTTTTCATGTAAGCATCAGAACTGTTTTTTAAAAAGGAAGAAACATGGCACCTAATACAAGGGACATCATAATTTGTTATAATTTGATAAATATAGACATTTTATAAACATAGAAATTCTAGCTTTTTTTTTACATATTTTCTCTGTGCCCATTAGCTTAATGACTCAACTGAAAGCTTTTAAAAGTGTTCTGTGTATCATGTAGCATAATATGAAAAAATAAATTATTAATTCAACAAAATACCAATGTGTAAGTTACCATCACTTAGGAATGGTTTTTGGTACTCCATAGAGCTATCAGATCTAAACCTACAGCCACTTGGCACAGGCCTAATGATGCAAGATATAATACTGGCAATCAGTAATCTGGCAGTAAACCCAATCCTAGGTTGTGACAATCACTGTTATGACTGCAACTATTCAGGGTTGCTGGAGTCTGTTGGCAGCTTTCACTTTGCTTTCCTACTAAGGGCTACTCATGCTCCCTTGGTAGGTTTGTTACATGACACAAGTGTGACAGATTTACCAGGGCACGAGCATTGGGATTTGCTCTCTTGTCCAGGAGGAGCTTGGTGACACGATAGTGGCCACAGTGTGCAGCTACGTGGAGGGCAGTCAGGTAATCCAGCGTGACATCATCCACAGGAGCTTTGTGCTGCAGGAGATGTTTGACGCATTCCACGTGGTCCCCCTGGGCCGCCATGTGAAGTGGGGAGAGCCCATTCTGTGGCAAAAGAATACAGAACGGTAACTTCTAGCATCTCTCACTCAGATAGTGGCACATAGTCAAAGAAAGCTGACATGACTTTGCAGAATACCCTCACCACAGAAAAGGAGCTGCATCTGAGCTACAGTCTGGAAGGCTGTAGCCACCCTTGCCCTTCCAGCAAATACAGGGATATTTAAAGAAACAGTTCTGCTCTGCTCAATATTCTGTTTAAATGCTGCCAGTGCAACCCTGATATTTTCTCCTGGCTGACAAAATCTGCCTTTGAACACAAACACCTGGGAATCCTTCCTGAAGGACACACAACATATGGGTAGGGTCTGTTCTATGACAGCCTTCTACCATTTAGTGATGTAAAGGCATTAACAGATAGGGTTTACCTAACCACGCTCTCCCACCAAAGGGACCAGTAAAGTGCTAAGGAACTTATTTAACATCTCAGTGTGGATTCTTCCTGTATAAAGAGATGATACGTACTACCTGGTGCTGTAAAGGGATATACAGCTTGAGCACATCCTTACTTGATGTATTTGATGTGCATGAAACCCAGTGATCTCCCCAGAAGATTACCAAGAGAAAACCTTTGGTCTCTATTATGGATAACAATGGCTCTGAGTACAGTAATTACCCTTGTTTAGAGCCATGTTTGAAGAAGTTTGAGGGCCCAGTAAAGCATGCATGGTCTGAAAATGATATTTCAACTGCCTGTTAATCTTGATCTCCCAAGTATTGCATCTCACTGCAATACTCCGTTGCACCGTTTTGCAATTAATGATACCAGAGACATTAGTCAGGCACTCTGAAGTACTGCTCACCAGGGTTTGTTATTAAGCTACAAGTGCCTTTTTCTAAATAATCCGACCAAAGAGACAGCTATGCATTCATCTGAGATGCATTATTTTCAAATATCAGTAAAAACACACTAAAATAACTTCCCAAGTATGAAATAGTCCATGAAAATTACAGGTCAAGAATCAGGAAATATTTACCACAAATCATCTCTTAGGAGTCACTGACACAGTTTTTACATCTTTGTGTTCTATGGCTGTAAAAAGCCACAAAAGTAAAGTGATTTCAATTGCACTCTGCATTGCATTTAGTCTGAATTTAGTAACGAAGTGTATACTGTTTCACATACTTGGAAAGGATAGTCCTTAATTTGGTAAGAAGGTTTTATTTTTGGATCATTCTCCCCATTACTACCTTTCCTTTAACAGAACAGAAATGTCCTTCTTCCTCATCCTTTCAGTAACATTAAACATTCTTTGGAAAGTTACATAGAGCCATTAACATATTCTTCCAATAAGGCACACACCTTGGTCCTTGCAAGGAGTGGGGCACCTCGTTCCAGAAGCAGCTCCACAACTTGGTCATGTCCACTTCTTGCAGCACAGTGGAGCGGTGTGAGTCCATCCTTAAAGCAAAACAAGAGACAGTGAATGAGCACATCCTCCCTGTGTTAACCCTGGCACTCTGAGCAGCCTGTTCTGACTCCTAACTGAAGCTGGCTCCACAACACAAAGTTTCCTACCTATTTTTAAATTGTTGCACTGAAGGACACACTAACGTTACAGTTCCAGAGAAGTCCATTCTGTTTGGAAATCTATTCTCAGAGACATTGGTGTCAGCATGCATTGCCTCCTTCTCTCCTTCTCCTCTGCATGGCTTTGAGATTGTATTGCCTCACAGTGTAATGTATGCTGGGCCAAGGTTGCTTCATTAATCAACATTTGTCCTTTGAGTTGCTTTTGATGCAGGGATGAAATAAGACACATCCATGCTGGAAAATTTACTCTAGAACTCATTTTATTTTTTCCAAACAGGCAGCAGGAGAAAGATGATTTTAAAACAGAAGGGAAAAAGAGAAGGAGAAACCAAGAGAATGAAAACTTTCATGTCTGAATTTAAGAACAAAGAGCTAACAATTCTTTCCTAAAATAACTTTGAGAGCTCCAAAATATTTTTTTCACTGCAGAACACTATCTTGTATCAAAAGACTTCTAACTTGTTTAGTAATGATCACAACAGTGGTGACTAAAGATACATCAATGAGACAGGAGAATGCATTCTAGATAATTCCACTAGGATTAGACTTTTTTCTAGATTTTTCCAGTGGAATTAGACTTTTATACAGAAAAAGACTGGAAATACATAGCAAGAAAAGTGTATGGGAATGAATATCAATGCTGAAGACAGAAAAAAAGGAAATTCACAACCCAAGTTTTTCATCGCATTAGAATCTGATACTGTTTAAGCGTACCTTCATAGAAGTCATCAATACTTGTTCAACAGATACAATGGTACATTTCTAATTGTTAAATGCTAATAGCTTTAATCACAAAAAAGCCTTTCCCTTCAAGACAAGCTGATTGTCTTAGATGAAGTAGATGCTATACTCTAGGGCTCTTTCTGAAGAATCCAGTAACAACACAATTATGAATATGTTTGTCTGTGATTCATGACTTACAGGTCAAAAAGATAGTGGAAATGCAGTAACATAGCCTTTCTTACACATTAGTGACTCTCCTTCACATGCAGACACAGTTCGTCGTGCTGGAGTTTGTGGGAACGCTACATCATTTTTACTTCTGCTAACATACTTAAATCGTAGCTCCATATTGCAACATCATTTTGGTTATCCAAACACTGCCCTTTCATGCTCCACAAATGGTACGTCCAAGAAGCAGATCCCCTCTCATCCTCAATTTTATAAGCACAGAGCACCTTTTGGAGCTAGCAATGCGCAAAGCAAAAGTGAGGAACTGAGATTTGGGAAGAGTTTTTATCATTATTTATCTACTGTTTGCAGAGATTTTTCAGAAACACGTGGCAGGGTTAGGTGTGCCTTGGCACTTGCTATTTCAGAGGCAGTTGCTGCATCACTAAATTCTATGAAAGCTTTGCAATGAAATTAAGTGGATGTAAGATCAAACTCACAAACAGAATTAAAGGGTGTTCAGCACAAAGTCAATCTGGTCAATGTAAAGGAATTGTGTATAGCTAGCTTATCTGTTTCTTCTTTGCAACTTGAGAGTACCCAAATCGAGCCTTTAAATATATTTGCATCTCACTGCTGGAGATACTTATACACAATTCTCATTAGCATTACTAAGGCAAGAATGTTTCAAATGTATTCTAGAAAGGGAATTTATTTGGTATATCTCTCCCATTTCTGGCCTTTTGTACTCTACATTTTAATCAAGGTGGAATATTCACACTCCTTATTTGCATAGTGACTTTGTTGTTATTCTATTTAATCAAATAGTGAAAGAAAGGTAGAATCATGATGCCTTAGACAAAAAAAAAAAAAAAAAAAAAAA